GACTTTCAGCCGCCTGCAAAGCGCTTCCTTCCGCAGTCTGAGGAGGGTGGAAAGTGACCTCAGGTGGGGCGTGTCGGGGGAGGGCCGAGCCGACCGCGGTGCTTTGGGGACCCCGGCCGGCGAGCTCCAGCGCCCTTGCGCTCAAGGCCCCGCCCGCCCACAGGTGTCCGAGAGCACGTGAAGCGCGGGGGGAGGGGCAGGCGCGGGGGGCTGGTCCCCGCTGCAGCCTCACCCCCCGTGACTGCTGTGAACTGCCGGCGCCGCCCCAGCCCCCCTACGTCTGAACCCTGGGGCGCCCGCTGCTGCGCTGGGCTTCTCCGGCACCGGCGTTTCTGTCCCGCCCGTCCGGGACTGAGCAGCAAGAATGTGAGCTTCGCTGGGAGAAAGGCTTGTGTCGGGTCTCTAACCCCGATTCACTGCAGTCTGACTCGAGGGCCCCTCCCCCAACAAGGTTTCTGCCTTTAGCGCAACTTTAATAAGAGCCCCGTAGTTTATAGATATAAATCAAGGATTTATGCATAATTTTACTGTTTCTTAGGTACTGTTTTTACAAATCATTCTTTTAAAAAAATAGCATTTTTATAAGGTTGAAAAATAGCATTCTCTATAAAGTATGGATAAAGTGCATAATCCTATCTGCAATCGGAGGGTCTTGGAGGAAAATTTGCCCACTTTTTTTTTTTAAAGGTTTATTTATTTATACATAAAAGAGCTGGGGTACAGACCAGAGGTGTGGGGGGTGAGAGAATTCACCAAAGACAGAGTGGGGAATAGAACAGGCAGATTGACCAAAGTACACTGCTGAGGGGAGCAGCAGGCAAGACAGGAGAGGTCTGCTGGCCATGTGGGTAGCTCCCTGGCCGGTTGGGAATGGAACTTGCGCTGCAGTGGCTGTGGCCAGCTTCAAAGGTTGCGTCTTAACCCTTGGGCCATCAGGGGGGCCTCTGCCCACATTCTTGGGTAACTTTGGAGTCTTCCTCAATTTACCATTCTTTCTCTCTAACAATAATAATTAAAATTTGGTTGCCATTAATTTTTCCTAAAAGAGTTTTGGACGATTTTTAATTATATTTAGAATGCTGGGTTTTTTCCCAACATCCAAAGCAATAAGGCTGAAGTGGTTGGGAAAAGTGTAAAGATGAATTTTGAATCAGGAGTTGTTGCTTTTAAGGTCCTGTAGAAATTTTTGCGGCCACCTGTTAAAGCATTCCGGTGTCCCAACATGTTACTGAATATACACACATTTATAAAAATTATTGTCCACAGTAGATCTGTTTTTCAAACTTGCTAGTGATTGAATTTCACCAGAACTTTGTACTTTTCTCTTACTACAAACGGGGACTACCATATCTCTAATTATTACAATTTTCAGGTTGAATAAAAGTACTTAAGTTTGTAATGTCATATTTTAATGAATTGTGCATATTTCACAGAGGTCACTTGTACTAAATTGAAATTATCTTTGCTATTAATCCCTCTTACCAACATCCGCTTTCATTTTGACTTTTCCTTTCTTAGATTTAGTGTCAACTTTAATTCTGGATTCCATGTAAAACTTTCAGATATCCAGCTTTTAGTGTTTGCATTCTTCCTTCGTGTCACTAGATAAACATTTCCTTACATTCTAAAAAATTTACTATTCCCGTTAAAATCTTTTATGTTGTATTTTCTCCAACAGTGTACAAACCAACACCATTTGAGGCATACACGGCTAAAGAAGATGTGGAAAATAATTTAATATAGCATCCTAATTTTTTAAAAAGATTTTTTGGATTTATTTATGCATAAAAGAGCTGGGGTGTAGGCCAGAGGTGGGGGAGGGGTTGTGAGAGGATTCACCAGAGACTGAGTGGGGAGCAGAACAGCAAATCTACTGAAATACACTGCTGAGGGGAGCAGTGAGCAGACAGGAGAGGTCTTCTGTGCCAAGAGGGTCAGCTCCCTGGTGGGGGATCATACTCCTGTATCAGTGGCTGGGGATAGCTTCTTAGCGCTGAGATTTTAACCCCTGCACCACCATGGTGGCCCTCAGCATCCTAATCTTGATCTGAAATAGCAAAGTGTACAGTTAAGTTAATATTACTGTGGTACACAAAAATTGATTGTGGGCATCTAGTTCCAAAAACAGTAGTCACTAATGAATATTTCCAAGGAAATAAATAAGTGCAGAGGTATTTCTATTGTTCTATTGCTAGTGATTGAGTTTCACTGGTACTTTGTACCTCTTTCTCATTACAAATAGGGAGTAGCATATCAAGATAAATTTATTTCACATGGGTGGGTTAGAATACTAGGGAAAAAAAGAAATGTAGACATAGAAAAGGCTTTTGTGGCTACAAAAAGGTTATATGTAACTCTAGGGACTCTATATTGTAGTTTCTTTCATAAAACTATGAAACAGAAAAGCCAGATTTTTGGTAGTTCATATCTACAGAGTGGTAAAACAAGCTATAGGAGACCTATTTCAGAAGATTTCTTTCATTTAAAAAAGAAAAATGGCATCTGGATGATAAGTACATGAAAGTTAAGGTGACTATATTCTACAGTGAAAATAGAAATTATGCAGCATACAAGTTTGCCTTTAACTGTTTCCAATTGCTTTGCATATTGGTTTTCCTCTTTCAATTTGATTGTGGGTTCCTCTCTAAAAGGATAAATTTCTTTTGCAGATGCCACGGAGCTTTGCTTAGCACTTGACACAGAGTAGGTTCTGAAATATTTCTTAGGAGATTGGTTAGAGAAGCTGTAAAATTATGTTGTACACCTGCAGGAAGAGACATAATGATCTAGTAATTAGCTCATTAAAAAGAAAGGTTCTTCCTTCAAAGGAGCATTTCTCAGAATCTGCCCTGATTGCCAGCGATAAAGGCTTCAGCCGATCTCGCCCTAGATTTCTGCTGAAATTCAGCCACAATGACAGAAAATGAAGCCGTTTATTGAAACGGAACGAGCCATTTTTGAGAAGCAGTGATTTCACAGCAAGCGTTGGGTATAGCAAACTGGGTGGATAAGCGGATGTAGATCTTAGTCTACGTGAGATCATGTGGAAAGACTGAACTTGAGAGATTCTTTTTAGGTTTCTCATGCTTCCAATCAAATGAGTGTACACTGGAAAAATGTACTACGAGGATAGACCCACTCATGGATTCTTTAGCTTAATAAAACTACTTAGAAGTAGAGCAAGTTGTAGACTTAAAGTCTAATCTAAACCGAAAAACTGGACGTCAAGGAGGACCAGAGAGTGAACGGGCGACTTGGACTTGGAGAAAAGCAGCTGGCTTTGAATGGAACACTCCGAAAGGCCAGCCAGGAGCTGCCCACAGAGTTGATCACTCCCAGATTCTGGGATGAAGACGCCCTCCAGAACCCCCACCCGGCACTCCCCGGCCGCGGGAGGGACGCTGAGAGCTGTGGGGAGGGAGCAGCCAGTCCTGGGCCGGGATGCGACCAGGGGAGGAGACGGCTCTGGGGGCTTGTTCCGAACCTGGAAAAGGGAAGGCTGAAGACGTGGGGAGTAGAGCGGGGTGAAGAGATGCCCCAACGTCGATATCATCTTTGCAGTTGAAACAGAAATGGTCAAGAAAAGATTCTGGACGACCCCACCGGGCCACCTCCTCAGCGCCCCACCCCCCAGCTGGATCTGAAAGTAATTCGTACAAAAGGAGGACTCGCCAGTGCCGGGGGGAATCCTAGGGACCGTCGTTAAACTCTCACTTACGTAGAACCAAGGGATGCTCGTCCCCGCCCTTCAGCTGCTCGCTCTTTACTTCATCGGGGTCGACAGGAGCATGCGCGAGATCATGTGTGCTCTTCAAAGGCTGAAAGCACAATGCTCACGGTCCCTGGGAGATGGGGGAAGGGGACGGCGATTGAGCGGGTGCCTGGTGGAGGTGGCGCGGGGTAAACTGGGAAAGTGGTGTCGTGTGCTGGCTCCGCCCTTTCCCCCCCGAGGGTGGGGAGAACCGTATATAAGTGCCGTAGTCGCGCTGAACGTTCTTTTTCGCAACGGGTTTGCCGCCAGAACACAGGTGAGTGCCGGGTGTGGTTTCCGCGGGCCTGGCCTTGAGCGGCAGCGGCCCTCACGTGCCTGCGTCTGCTGCCGTATTTCTGGGCTCCTTTATGGTATTCTTTACCCCGAATTTCGGGTTGGGGTGGGAGGGAGAGTTCGAGGCCTTGGGCTTCCTTCAGGCGCCCCTTCGCCTCGTGCTCGAGTTGAGGCCTGGCTTGGTCGCCGTGGCCACCGCGTGCGTGTTTCCTCGCATGTTCCCGCCTTCTGTTAATCTGCCTTAAAATCGGCGGCCACGTGAGTTTTCAAGGAAAAAAAGGCCGCCCGCGGTTTTCCCCATCGAGATAGTCTAGGTGAGGGGGGTCGGGATCGCGACGAGATGGGCTGCTTGGCGTTCGGCGGGCCGTGGGCCGCGGCGAGGCCCCCTCCTCCTGGCGCAGGCGCCCGGCGAGGTGGGGTCCGCGAGGCGGGGGCGGGGGCGGAAAGAGATGGGGGTTTCCGTGGAGTAGGCGGTGGACGGTGGGCCACCTCGCGCCACGTTCCGCCGCCCCGCCCGGCCGCCAGCTCGGCCCGCTCGCACCAGTTGCGTGCGCAGAAAGATGGCCGCTCTCCGGCCCTGCAGCTGGCAACTCAAAATGGAGGACGCGGCGGCCCGGGAAAGCGGGCGTGTGAGTCACCCACACAAAGGGAAAGGGCCTTTCCCTTCGCCGCCGCTGTTTCCTGTGACCCCGTGGTGAACGGGGCACCGTCCTGGCAACTCGATGGCTCCTCACGGCTTTTGGAGCCGGCCTCGCTTGGGGGAGGGATTTATGCGATGGAGTTTACCCACTCGGTGGGTGGAGACCAGAGCTTGGCACTGGCTGAAATTTTTGGAATTTGCCCTTTGAATTTGGATTGTGGCTTATTTTCAGCTCTCGGGGAGAAAGTTAAAGTTTTTTTTTTTCCCCTTTTTCCAATTTAGGTGTCGTGAAAGCCACAGCTAATCTAAGCCAAAATGGGAAAGGAAAAGACTCATATCAACATCGTCGTCATTGGACACGTCGACTCGGGCAAGTCTACCACTACTGGCCATCTGATCTACAAATGTGGTGGGATCGACAAGAGAACCATCGAAAAATTTGAGAAGGAGGCTGCTGAGGTAGGTACAAACACATGAGCACAATTAGTCTGACAGGCATATTCACTGGTAATTTTCTGAAAAGCAGTTAATTTGTAGATCTGGATGTCAAATTGCTAGTTGTGGTAGTCTGTTAATGTTAACTATTAAATCAATTGACTGTAACTTAAGGGGACATGTGTTGAATAAGGGAAAGCCATTTGGTTTTGTAATTGTAAAGTGGAATGTATCATTACAGCCAAACACAGTGGGGTGAAGAATTTAAAGCTGAGTTTGATAATGTTTTTAGTTGCTAAGTAACCGTTTTTAATCCTTACAGATGGGAAAGGGCTCCTTCAAGTATGCCTGGGTCTTGGATAAACTGAAAGCTGAACGTGAGCGTGGTATCACCATTGATATCTCCCTGTGGAAATTTGAGACCAGCAAGTATTATGTGACTATCATTGATGCCCCAGGACACAGAGACTTTATCAAAAACATGATTACAGGCACTTCTCAGGTTTGTACCATTAATAACTCTTGAAAGCAACTTTTTGGATCTGTTTTCTACATTGGATAAAATGGCATTTTTTTCTCTCTCCCAAAGGCTGATTGTGCTGTCCTGATTGTTGCTGCTGGCGTTGGTGAATTTGAAGCCGGTATCTCCAAGAATGGGCAGACCCGTGAGCATGCCCTTCTGGCTTATACACTGGGTGTAAAACAACTAATTGTTGGTGTTAACAAAATGGATTCCACTGAGCCACCCTACAGTCAGAAGAGATATGAGGAAATTGTTAAGGAAGTTAGTACCTACATTAAGAAAATTGGCTACAACCCTGACACAGTAGCATTTGTGCCAATTTCTGGCTGGAACGGTGACAACATGTTGGAGCCAAGTGCTAATGTAAGTGATTTTTAAGGCAGTTGAAAGGTGGTAGAAGGGGCAAATTTGATGGTGATGCTAATTGACAATTTTGTTTGTAGATGCCTTGGTTCAAGGGATGGAAAGTCACTCGTAAAGATGGTAATGCCAGTGGTACCACATTGCTTGAAGCTCTGGATTGTATCCTGCCGCCAACTCGCCCAACTGACAAGCCCCTGCGCCTGCCCCTGCAGGATGTCTACAAAATTGGTGGTAAGTTGAATATTATTCTTGGAATAGAGCCCGTGTACACTCCTAAGATACTTTCCATTGTAAAGTATTGATGATAACTCTTGTAAATATTTCAGGTATTGGGACTGTCCCTGTGGGCCGAGTTGAAACTGGAGTTCTCAAACCCGGTATGGTGGTCACTTTTGCTCCGGTCAATGTTACAACTGAAGTAAAGTCTGTTGAAATGCACCACGAAGCTTTGAGCGAAGCTCTTCCTGGAGACAACGTGGGCTTCAACGTCAAGAATGTGTCTGTCAAAGATGTTCGTCGTGGCAATGTGGCTGGTGACAGCAAAAATGACCCACCAATGGAAGCTGCTGGCTTCACTGCTCAGGTAACACTTAATGTGATAAGATCTTAACTTCCTGCCCAATCCTGTTTTTGAGGCTAAATGCATATACGTGTTTCTTAGGTGATTATTCTGAACCATCCTGGCCAAATCAGTGCTGGATATGCACCTGTGCTGGATTGTCACACAGCTCACATTGCCTGCAAGTTTGCTGAGCTGAAGGAGAAGATTGATCGTCGTTCTGGGAAAAAGCTGGAAGATGGCCCCAAATTCTTGAAGTCTGGTGATGCTGCCATAGTTGATATGGTTCCTGGCAAGCCCATGTGTGTTGAGAGTTTCTCTGACTATCCTCCTCTGGGTAAGGATGACTAAGGTGTAATTAGGAAATTTTTACTGAAGACCTTTCTATACCAAGTGTTTCTAATTATAACAATGTTTTAACAGGCCGTTTTGCTGTTCGTGACATGAGACAGACGGTTGCTGTGGGTGTCATCAAAGCAGTGGACAAGAAGGCAGCTGGAGCTGGCAAGGTCACCAAGTCTGCCCAGAAAGCTCAGAAGGCTAAATGAATATTATCCCCAATACCTGCCACCCCAGTCTTAATCAGTGGTGGAAGAACGGTCTCAGAACTGTTTATCTCAATTGGCCATTTAAGTTTAATAGTAAAAGACTGGTTAATGATAACAATGCATCGTAAAACCTTCCGAAGGAAAGGAAAATGTTTTTGTGGACCATTTGGTTTCTTTTGTGTGGCAGTTTTAAGTTATTAGTTTTTAAAATCAGTACTTTTTAATGGAAACAACTTGACCAAAAAATCTGTCACAGAATTTTGAGACCCATTAAAACAAAGTTTAATGAGAAACCTGTGTCTTCTTTTGGTCAACACTGTACTGTAGTACTAAAGATGTAAGAGTTGCTGAGTTCTGATGTTGCATCCTAGGTATATTTATTTCTGGGTGGGGATTTCTGGAGTTTTTCCTCTATAAGGAGTGAACCCCTAGTTACAAGCTATGGAAGCCTACTTTTCATTGGCAACACACAAGGACAGAAAAGTAGAGATGTTTATATGTAAGCTTTTAAGAGGTCCAAATTCTGTATTGTTAAAAGTCCATGTGTTATAGTTTTTGTAGCACTACATTGAGTAAATATGTGGTTTCAGTTATTAGTATGTGTATCCTCAAATCCTGAAATAGATTAAAGAACCTAAAAGTGAGGCTTAAATAGTATTAATTGTATCTAGATTATAGGAATAATAAAACATACTGGAAGTTGAGTGTGTTTTCTGTCAAATTAGACTTCCAATAATTCTGTATTAAAAGCAAGGTTGGGTGAAATACAAACATTGCAAGTTTAGGTAGTTCAAAATATGAAGAGCTGGAGCAGTGGACTGGTAGGGAAGAAAGGTGGGGGTGTGTGTGGGGAAAAGGGTCTTAAAAATTTTTCAAGTGCCATTACAGGATGCTTTTGTATTAGATGTATTTTAACTAGTTTGGCAGTTGGACAAAGCAAAGTGGCCCCCACCTTTAAAAACTAAGGTGGGGTAATTCACAATCTGCAAGGGGTAATTTGACTACCAAGTTACGTGGTTGTCTTGGCTACAGTGCTTCTTTTTCATAGTCGGCAATAACCGTATGTAAAATGCCTTTGAAAATATGACAATCTAGGAATTTTAATCTGAGGCTTTAATCTTAAGAAAGGGGACTTTGTTTAACTCAGAAAGTGGAACACCTGTTAATGTACATTTATGCCTGGTGCAATGTGAACCTGTTAAAGTAACCATAGAATATTTTGAGCTGCACTTAACAGGATATTTCAATCTGCTTCATTCAATTGTAAACTTGAGTTTGTGGTGGATAAATTGCAGTATTTGCAGCAGTATCCTGAAGCAACTGCGTATAAACAGAATGGCAGCTCACTGTTTTTAAAAGATGTAAGAGTAGCTGGCCTGAAAGGTGGGTTGACAAACTTGTAAAGCTACAGAAGTTAAATGATCCCCACCCAAGGTACATGACTTGCACAAGATTTGCCACCACTCAAGAAGTAGGACTGCTGGGGTCCAAGAAAGCATCAGTTACTTGTTGCACACTTCATAGATGGCATGAGCACATTAGTTGATTTAATTTTCTGGTTTGAGCGCCACCTACTGGTTCAAGATACAAATGTTTTACTTTGTGCTCTACATTATGTTGTGTTTGAGTCAATTGAATGCAAATTTTCCTAAACTGGTGTATGACTTTAAAGTCCACCTGCCTGTTTGTGCTGGATCTAGTTGAATTTTGTCCCCAGGAATTCTGGTGTGATGAAATAAGAAAGGCATTCTGGTTCAGGTATTTACACTGGTTACCAAAAATATAAAGCCCATACCCAAAATAGGCAATCCAAAATAATAGTCTTAGCCAGGTCAAATCTCTTATCCACAGTTAATCCTATAGGTAATTTAGCTCCCAAATCTCAACATGTTACTGTGAACTAACAATTGTCTTACTGCTTTCTTACCAATGTTGACAGTCTACTGGCCAGCCAGAATTTTAGCTTTGGATAGTGTGTCTAAGTTTGGGTTTTAGTGACAATACCTGAAGTGGTGAAATCTTGCAAAAGATTTCATTAAATTTAGAGACACTGACTTAAGTATCCCTGCTTTATTTGCAGCTATCAAAAAACAAGCTCCCTGGTGTTCCCCAATACCACTTTAGATTTAAAAATACTAGGTGATTTTAACTGAGGTGAAATTGGGTTAAAATTTTTTAAAGCTTTAAGATTAGGTGTACAGTGTATTAATTGGGTATCTACTATGTGATTGCCACCACTAGTCTGCATATACAACCATAAAATTTATCTTAACCCAATTTACTCACCACCTCAGCTAACCATTTTGTTCTTAGATAATTTGTTTTATCTTCCACATGTGTGAAGTCATTGTTACTTGCATTTGCATCTGACTTAGCTTCTAAGTCCATGTTGTCACAAACTTGTCTTTATAGCCAAGTATTGTATATATGTATATCTTTACACACATTCATCCATAGCATAGATGGGCACTAAAGGTTTTTTTATATTTTTTACATCTTCATTTTTGTAAAATGTATGCTTGGGCACTGAAGTTTTTAACCCACTAAGTATTTTTTATTCTGATACTTAAACGTTCCTTTTAGAAGAAAAAATTAACCGCAACTTTTAAGTCTTACAGGAAAAATGTCAAAAACTGCTAAACCAAGTTTAATGTAAGGTTTGAAGTTTGATACAGCAACAAGACACCTGTAGAAGCTATTTTTTCCAAGAAAAAAGTTAATCTGGTTGCTTGAGTTCGGTTCTGTCTAGTGAAGGCTACTGACTGAAGAATAAAAAGCTCTTGACTTCTAGTAATTTCCAGTATGGAAGGAAGTAAAAGAACCTTGGAAGAATATTCCTACAACTTTTTATATTTACTTTGGTTCTCTTCTTTGCTGAGTTTGCCAAAACAAGATTTTTGAGTATTCAATTCCTGAAATGCGCAACTCTAGAAAAAGTGTGCTGACTCATTTCTCAAGTGCCAAGATGAGCTACATAAATTTTAGGTTGGTAATCAAACACTAGTTCCTTTGTCGTGAAATGCTGCAGCAATCAGTTGACTGATGGGGTTTCCTCTGGAGTTCAGTCCTGTTTTTTTTTTTAGGGAGAGAACAGCATGAATTCTGGGTCTTAGATGAGGAAGGATAGCATGCTGCTTCAGATGGGAGGGGAGGTAGAATTAGACGTTTTCCCCTTCTCTTATCTTTCTGAATTTTTCCAGAAGTGGTTTTTGCTTTTCAAAGTTTTATGTTGAGTATTTTTTTTTTTCCACTTCCAATTCCATAGGTTCTCTTGCCCAGGTGGACATCAAAGTCACTTCCATTTTTTGTATAGGAATTGCCATTACTAGCTAAAACTACAAGCATAATTTGTTAATACATGACTTGCTTAATTAGTAGTGATTTGGAAGAGGGAAGCTGTTTGGAAATTGTCACACAGTTCCTGAAAGGTTGGCCCCTGATTCCATGGAAACCTCTGAGAGTGACTGGTTTTATATTCTTTGCTTTCTAAAGAAGGTTAGTAATCTAGTAGTCATCAACAGAAATGAAAGAAATAACCAGAAGAAAATGATAATTTACCTTGTACTGCCCTTGGCAGGTTCAATGAATCTAAGGCTTTAAAGTTAGTGTGTAGTCCCTATAGGGCAAACATTGTGACAGCAAAGATAATACTAAGTTACTGTTAAAATAGTTACATCCCAAGCAAGCAGAGAATATTAGAAAATTTACTAAGTGAGCAAAATAGATTTCCCACTTTTAAAAATTAAGGTATTTACATAGGCTAAAATTCACCCCTCAAATTAAGTTTTGACATGTATACAGCTTACCACAATCAAGATAGAGTTCTATCACCCCCACCCAAATTCCCCAAAATCTCCCCTTGAAGTCAGCCCCTCTCCTCTACCCAACCCGTGATAACCACTGATTTATTTTCTGTCCCTGTAATTTTGGTTTTTTAAAAAGATTTTATTTATACAAGAACTGGGGTACAGGCCAGGCTCACAGGAGGGTGAGAGGATTCACCAGAGACAGTGTGGAGCAAAACAGGTAGACTGACAAAACACTGTGGAGGGGAGCAGCAAGCAAGACAGAGGTCTGCCGGACCATGTGGGTATCTCCCTGGCCAGAAATTGAACCTGTGCTGCAGAGGCTGCGGACAGCTTCATGGTACTGTGCTCAACCTGCTGCACCACCAGGTAGGCCCCTGTCCCTGTAATTTTGTTTTTTAAAGTAATTTCCTATACCCAGATTCACATAATATTTGAGTCTGATTTCACTATGATTTATTTGAGATTCATCCATTTTGCATTTGTCAGTAATTTTTTTTTAAAAGATGTATTTATTTATGCATACAAGAGCTGGGGTACAGGCCAGAGATGCAGGTGGTGAGAGGATCCACCAGAGACAGAGTGGGGAACAGAACAGGCAGACTGACTGAAAATACACTGCTGAGGGGAGCAGCGGGCAAGACAGGAGAGGTCTGCCTCGCCATGTGGGTTTCTCCCTGGCTGGCCGGGGATCACACTTGTGCTGCAGAGGCTGTGGATTGCTTCATAGTGCGGTGCTTAACCCCTTGTGCCACCAGGGAGGCCCAGTAATTTGTTCTTTTCAATGGGTATAAGACAGTTTATTCCCAACTGAAGGATGTTTATTTTTCAATCTTGGACAATTACTAATGAAATCACTATTAAAAACAGGTTTGTATATGGGTAGGTTTTCAGTATTTGTGTAAATACCTAATGAATGGGATTGCTGGGTTGACATGGATAAGTTAAATTTATAAGAAATTATCAAACTTTTTCAAAGTGGTTGAACCATTTACTAATTGATCAAATTTTTTTAAGATTTATTTATGCAAACAAGAACTGGGATATAGGCCAGAGGTGTGGGAGGTGAGAGGATTCCCCAGAGAGTGTGGGGAGCCGAACAGGCAGATCTACCGAAGTACACTGCTGAGGGAGCAGCGAGTGAGGCAGGAGAGGTCTGCTGTGCCATGTGGGTTGCTCCCTGGCAGGCTCGGGATGGAACTTATGCTGCAGTGGCTGCCAGCAGCTTGATAGCGCTGTGTTAACCACTGCGCCACCAGGGAGGCCACTAATTAATATTTTGGTGAAATTTAGATTTTTATTTTGCTACAGTTTTTCAAAGAAGAAAAATAATTTGGGTGTTAGGCCAATTCTGCAGGACAACAAAGAACTATGCAGTTTTTAAAGAACATGCCTACTATGTGCCAATCATTATCCTAAGCATGTCGATAGAGTTGTGAACAAAATGGAGACAGTTCTTGCCCTTTGAGAGTGATACTAAGTGATAATATTGAATTATGGTTATGCTGTGAAGGGAAAGAGATGATACTATGAGAAAATGAAATGGACATAATTTGTATTGGCTAGCGAAGGTATTTGTCAGGAATAGGATAGTATAAAGGACAATTAAGTTGCTGAATTGGAAATATGAAAACATTATCTCTTAGACATGTCAATATATGAGGTTCAACTTAGCCTCAAAACTTAGAATTACAAAAGTCTAAATTCAAAGAAAATCTAAAATCCTTTCATCTAGCTTACTGTATTCAACATTGAAATCTCATCTACATGTATGTAAAATACTAGAGACAGCTTATTGAATTCTCACAATCAGTTTCATAAGGGGCAGGTATTATATACATCTTACAGATGGAGTGTAGAGAAGTTCCTAAGTCATCCCATTGCTGGATAGACATTTTTAGCAATATTTATTTAAATTTTCCTGTTGGTAATTTACTGTCAGACAGACACTATTCTCTAGGGTAATTAAATAATTCTCTCTTTTCCACAGGTTACTTATTTAATTTGAAAACCATTGCAATCCCTTAATCACATCTGAGATAAACATTTTCAGTTCCTATTCTCTCTTTTTTTTTTAAGATTTATTTATTTATATAAGAACTGGGTTATAGGCCAGAGGCATAGGAGGGTGAGAGAATTCACCAGAGACAGAGCGGGGAGCAGAACAGGCAGATGGACCGAAAACACTGCTGAGGGGAGCAGTGGGTGAGGCAGGAGAGGTCTGTGGGTTTCTCCCTGGCCAGCTGGGAATCGAACAGGTGCTGCAGAGGCTGCGGACAGGTTCACAGTGGTGGGCTCAACCAGCTGCGCCACTGGGGAGCCCCCTACAGCTATTCTTAACCATAAGTCACATGGTTTGTAGATTCTTTCCTTGCTGTTCTCCTTCCCAGTTTACACCTTTTAAAGTGTTTTCACAAAAATTAAACATAGCTGTGGAAACATAAAAGACTGAGCTCTCTTTTTATAGTTTTTATTTATTGAGGCAAGTTGTTTTACAACATTGTGTTTTAGAGGTATAGCATCTCCCCCTTCACCACACCTACCACCAAATCACCCACTGTCCATCCCCACAGTCCTTAGGGCTCCCTCCCAACTTTGTTCTCATCCCTACGCTACCCCTTCACTCTCTGGATTTCTCAGTTCTATAGTTTTCAAGGGTTACTTCTTGTTTGTGAAAAGGAAACAAAACAAGGAAGGAGATGGATGAAGCCAAACTCAAAACCTCTTAATTTACTTTTCCCTTTTGAGAGAACAAAAATAAATTGCCAAGGTGACAGTAAAATCTTTGTACTATGAATTACAATTTTCTATTTTAACCAATTATGATTTTCCTAAAAGAGTTTAAGTATTTGGGCTTTCTGTCAAATTTTATTTATATTCTGGACAGATCAAAGCAACCATGCAGTCTGGATATTGCCTTTAACACAATCTTTTTGAGACATTATCTAAATAAGGTTACTAGATTGTATAAAGAATAGATTTTTAAAATAGGTGATTTATTACATTAAAATTTTCATTAACAACATTTTTAAGTGTCAGGTATGCATCATTGAAAATAGATTTTAAGTAGACATGCAGAAGTCAAAAATAGGTAGTTTCATTCATTCCAGTCAGTATAACTGGCAGTAAAATTCAATGGAAGACAGTGACCCTACAAGTGTGGTTTCCGGAGGCCAAATGCCAGATGGCTAAAAACAAAAGAAAAAATAAAGTATTTCACTTGGTTAAATTTTCAGTAAAATCATGTGATTGAGGGAATATCCTAGTTGGTATTGTGATTAACTGTAATGTGCTATCTGAAGGCACCCAAGCATGACGGAGTGGTTCTCTCCTTCTCCTGAGGGCATTTACATTTTTCTGAGGCCTGAGTTGTAATCATTTAGGTGTAGAGGATGCATCTATTTCACTGCAACAAAGGAATGACTTGGCTGAGCTTTGACCTGCATTCCCTCCTGCTAGCCTTTTGTCATACCTTCTTCGTTGACTCTTTGTACTTCTATGTTGGGCTTCCTACAGGGTTCTGCATAGGGCTAGCAACTCAGTACATGTCTAATAAGAAATGAAGTGGTTTTTATTCAGTTATGGTTGGGTACAGAAAACATTTTTTCAGTCTTTATATTGAGGTCAGGGACTGCATCTCTTGGAACTTGGTTTCTTATATTTTATATAACTATATTTTATATAACTTTTCATGGATTTTTTTCTTGGAAGCTTTGATACCTTTGAGGTTGTTCTGTGGAACTGGAAATACAGAAAATTCAGTTTCCTTTCATTGCTTGAAATACCATACTTAACACACACACACACAGAGTATGGTCTAATATTAAATACAGTATATCTTAGAAATGTTTACCTTTAATTTTTGAAGTGTGATTTTTATGTATCTTAGTATGTTCTTTTAAATTTGGATTGTTTTATTTTATTTTTTTTAATAGAGGCATGTTTATTTATTTGTTTGTTTGTTTTGTTTGTTTTTTGTTTATACATGCACTGGGTACAGTCAGAAGCACTGGAGGGTGAGAGAATTCACCAGAGCCAGAGCGGGGAGCAGAGTAGGCAGAAGGACCGAAGTACACTGCTGAGGGAGCAGTGGGTGGCAGGAGAGGTCTGCGTGCCATGTGGGACCCTCCTCCGGTGGCTGGGGAGCAGCCGGGGATCGAACCGGCTCCGCAGAGGCTGCGGGCAGGTTCGCAACCCAGCGCTCAACCGCTGCACCACCAGGGAGGCCCTAAATTTGGATTGTTTTAAAGGAGTGTAGACCAAATCTAAAAAAGAATTCAAAGAGCAACCAACATACGAGTAAAAATGAATGAATTATAAGGTATTAGATTGAAAAAAATTATTCAGTCTAGCTAACACTGGAACACCAGAAAAGTATTACTGTTTTCAAGTATTTTAACTCTGCAGAGGATGCTCTTCAAAGTGAAATACAACTCTAAATTTACCTACAGCTTCTTGACTCTGGGAAAACCCTTAGGTTGAGTGCTGTAATGGTTCATTAAATATGGCAACACCAAAGAGGCGGATCATGAAAAAAGCCATAAAGGGAGTAGAAATTGAAGGTTAAACCAAGAAAAACAGGAAGGACAGAGAAACTTTTTATCCAGTGACGGGCCTCTACTCCTCAGGAGGAAAATACTCACTGAAAGTGGCATAAAGGTTTCTCAAGGTTAAAGTACCTGAAATTTATACCCAACAACTTGCAGGTTTACTGTAATCATACCAAATAATCAGGCTGCACCATAGGAAGAGATCAATAAAACTTGTTTTGAAACACTTTTTAGAGAAAATCTTACTTTAAGGAATATACAGATATAAATGAATCCTAAATGTATTGAGGTATTTCCAAGCCAAAGACAGAGGAGTTTTTTTAATTTTTTTTGACTAGGATCAAGTGAGAAATATATTTTCTTTTCTTTTTTTTTTTTAAGTCTCATTTTTTTTTAAAAAGATTGATTTATTTATTTATACAAGCACTGGATACAGTCAGAAGCGTGGGAGGGTGAGAGAATTCACCAGAGCCAGAGCAGGCAGAAGGACCGAAGTCCACTGCTGAGGGGAGCAGCGGGCGGCAGGAGAGATCTGCGCGCCATGTGGGACCCTCCTCCGGTGGCCTGGGAGCAGCGGGGATCGAACTGGCGCTGCAGAGACTGCGGGCAGCTTTGCAACCCGGCGCTCAACCACTGCGCCACCGGGGAGGCCCGAGAAATATATTTTCTATTGCAACATGGTATAAGCATGCCATATTTCACTATATCTAAGACATTTTCAATTGCAAGGCACAAATTCTGCCAATTATTGTTATAAAATGCCATCTCTTATAGGACGTACACCAATTTAGAGATGCAAAATGCAGAAAAAAATAAGCATCTTAAATTGAAATATATTTTGTACATGAATTACTGGAATAAAAGTTTTTCAAATAATACTTCCTGTGATAAAAAAAATATTTAATTCATTACTTTCAAATTGCAGCCAGAAATTTGAAAAATGTTGACTTAGGTCTATGACAGCCAAAATGAGGTACTAGATAAAAATAATTGTATCCCTTCTCCATGGCATAAAAGCTTAAGTGTAATTTAGTCAATACTTATCTAGGCAGGCATTCAAGTGGGCTTACATTTGAAAAATTTGATCTTATCCAAAAATCATCATTGGATGGTAGACTGTAACAAGACTTGAATTCCTGTTACAGAATTTAAGTTCAGTTTTCTCCACAGCTGAACTGCTCTAGTACTTCAATAAACTGTTTAGATTATTTGTATTCTAGGTTCCTGAGCCAGCACACGCTGTAAAATTAATTGCAATCTAGCTTTTGCCAAATGCAGCTAAAACAATGGATATTTATGGAAGCAAGCCAGCGGTATTCACAGCTGGCTGGGCATCATAATAACCTATGGAGCTTGTTAAATATTGATGCCAAGAATTGCTTGCAATAAGACTTGGCCATCTACTTTTACAATCTCTATTGGGAATTCTGATGTCCAGCCAGGTTTAAGAATTATGCTCAAAGGTTTGACAATCATAGATTCTTTTAATTTTTTAAAATACAAGTTTTGTTATATAATTCACATACCATAACTGTTTATCTGTACAACTCAATGGTCCTTAGTATCTTCACAGAATTGTGCAACCATCACCACAATCTAATTTAAAACATTTTCATCACCAAGTTATGAAGTTGTGTTTTACATATATTATTGCACTTAACCCCAGCAGTGTACATCAGGTACAAGTGATCTTGTTGAAGATGAACTTCGGTGGCATGGCCTGGTAGAGGCAGCTGGTGTCAATGAACCTAAATTTGGGACAAGTAAAGAAAGTTGCACCTTGTTCTCCTTGGAGTTGGAAAGCAGTTCAATTTATTCCTTCTATGTACCTGAGTGAGCCCCTACTCTCTGTTGGTGGCTTTCTTGCTATTTCTGGTCATTTCTCCTGGACAGAGCATTCCAGGAGTTAAATTTCCCGAAGTGGGAAAAACCATGGCTATTCCAACCTAGGCTAAAACTCAAAATTGACAAAATACTTTAAAGCAATCAGTAATAAAATCCAAATTTTTGGCTATAAGTAATTCAAGGCCATGATGGTTTAAATTAGCATACATCTGTTTCTGCATCTTCCCTACCTCCCCAAACCAGCAACCATTTTACAGATGTATGGTATTTTAGTTGTCTCCTTCTTTCTGTTTCGGTGTTCCCGTTGAAATGAACTTTGGTACCTAGTTTTTCTAACTTCTAGGCAGTGTGATCTGTAAGAGGTGGAGGAATTACAAATTCATTCCAGCTTCTATTGGCGACTATTGTCACCGTTGGGGAATTTCAATGAAGTAACTAGACAGGGTAAGGCTGTATTTTCAGTTACCTTTTTTTTTTTTTTAAGATTTATTTTTATTTATTTATGCATACAAGAACTTGTTGTGTATAGGCCAGAGATGAGGGGTGGGGTGGGGGTAAGAGGATTTTACCAGAGACAGAAGTGGGAAGTATAACAGGTGGATCTACTGAAATACACTGCTGAGGAGAGCAGTGGGCAAGACAGGAGAGTTCTGCAGTGCCATGTGGGTTAGTTCCCTGGCTGGGGATCAAACTCAGGCAACAGTGGCTGGTGACAGCTTGATAGCACTGAGACTTTAACCCTTGCGCCACCAGGGAGGCCCCATTTTCAATTGCTTTTTCCCTAGGGCATCATAGTCTGTAGTAAGTTTTGAAAATATTCTTTTAAGTGAGATAACTTTGTATAAGCTAACATATTGTAAATTATGGATTTGAATAGCAGAACTTAAACATGTTTTCCATCAAATATTTTTCAATGAGACAGCTACTACTGGAATTACAATTAGAAAACTTAAATTTCTTTATAGGAATAGTATCACAAGGTCCAAATTAGAGCTGTTGAGAAACTTCTAAAGCATTTAAGCACTTAATGTTTTCTCAAGATAAATTTTTGTTTTATTGTATTCAGTAAGCACACTATTCACTGCTTTTATGTGTGTATTTAACTAAGAAAAAACAAAGTTAAAAAGAGTATTTCCCATCTAGTGCTAAATAGGTAAGACAAAATACCTTCTTCAAAAAATATAATATAGTACTATAATCCATACTGCCTCTGTAATGATAATTCTGCCCAGGAAACAGTCATGATAACTAAAAGAAGTTTCTACTTTTTGAAATAATTAAATCAAGTATCAAAAAGAATTCATCATTGGTAAATGATCCAGATTTTTTTTTTTACTTGCTACTGATCTTGACTATTTTATGGAAAAACTAAAATTATATGAAACAAATTCATGAAAATTGAGCTCCATTCAAGCAGCCATATATGACTATAGTTACAAGATATCTGACTGCCTTACACCCTTAATCAGGCTTAATACATAGATCTCGAGTCGAAGTGACTTAGGCACCCTTGGAACTGTCTTAAGTTGACATGGGAACTTCTCCATAGACTGATATCAGACACCTGACTTGGCATTTTCAGGGACAAGGAGAGTTCTCTGGCACGTTTGGCTATATTCATCCTCTGATCTATCCAGAAAGGTTGAGCTGTCTGAGGAGCCAGTCAAAGACGGTCATCCCACCCTAATCATTGTGACTGTATAACAAAAGAAGTGCTGGGGCTCCCTGGTGGTGCAAGGGATTAAGTCTCAGCACTATGAAGCAAGAGTTTGATCCCCAGCCAGGGAGCTAACCCACATGGTGCAGCAGACCTCTCCTGTCTTGCCCACTTCTCCCCTCAGCAGTGTATTTCTGTCAATCTGCTTGTTCTGCTCCCTACTCTGTCTCTGGTGAATCCTCTCACCACCCCCCTCCAAGTACCTCTGGCCTACACCCCAGCTCTTGTATGCATAAATAAGTGAAAAAAAAAAAAAGAATTTGTACTGCTTGAAATTCCTTCCTAAGCTAACATAACCGAGCACAAGACTACTTTTCAAAATAGATGGAAAGATAAGACTTTTAATTTGTGTTCACTGTATCTCTCTTTGATGAACAGCACAAAATCATATTAATAGGCCCATGAATTAAAGCACCTAAGAGTATAATTTGAGTTTATAACTAATTTTTCAGATACACAAAAAGACTAGACACCTCAGTTGGTATTTCCAGCACAATTATAATCTCTGTCCTCTTCATAAATTAATGACAAACCCATAATAACCTAAGGTTATTTTAATATGTGCACATTGTAAAGACTTCTTATCCCATATCTATAACTGTCTCTCTTCAAATCTGTCTTTATCACATAAGCTTTGATCAGGTTTGGTCAATTCATTCATAGCTGCCTGTCTTTGCTGAGTGGTCTTCACAAATCTTAGCAGATTGATGATGGCAGCAGGTGTCACACCAGGTATACGACTAGCAGCCCCAATCTAAGGATTAAAACCACAAAAGAACAAGTGAGCTATGTCAAATCAAATTATGCCTATTCCCCTCTTAATTTGTATCATAATTTGCAAAATATTTTCAAACTATTATCTTAAAATATCTTCAATACAACCATATATAAAGTAGATAAAGGAAATGTGATCACTGTTAGTTCTTCATTACAAACAAGGAAAACCGAGACTTAGGGTAGTTTAAATGACTTATACAAGATCACAAAAGTAATACATGCTAGTGTTCTTACTTTTTCTTTTCATTGAAGCTAATGTAATAACCCTAACACCATGCTGAGAGCACCCTAAAATCAATCTCACTAATATTCTGAAGTATATTTTTACAGTGAAATGTATAAATATTCACTCCAAGGAGTATAAAGACTATTTAATCACATGCTAGCTCAGTCCAGTTTTGCTACCAAATGAGTCTGTAGCAAATGTTGGCAGACTCTTTTGTACTTTAAGAATGGTGGAAACGGAGTTGTGAACTCTGATGGCCAGTACTGAACTATCTATGGTAATGGCAATTTTCTATAATACCAGCACTATATTAATGCACTACACTAATATGATAGCCACTAGCCACATGTGGCTGTTAAACATTTGAAATGTAACTAATCTCACCACAGAGTTGAATTTTTTTTTTTAAGGACAGAATTCACATTTTATTTTGCTTTCAAATTCTTTTTTTTTCATTTTTTTAACATTTATCATTTTTTACATTTTTTTAGATCATATTTTCTTCCCCCTACCCCCTCAGATTGAGTCCCCATAGAACCTCCTTCCCCAATGCACCTGTGCACCATCACTACAGTCCCCTGTGCTCCTCTCTTCCTCCCTCTGAACCCTCTCCCTCCTCCTCCCCTGCAGGATGTCTCTGGTTTATAATTGTCTGTTTTTGCTTTGTGGTGTTTTGTACTGTTATTATTATTTTTTACACTGATGTCTTATTTGGATCCCCTATATTCCTGTTATAAGTGAAACCATATATCTTTCTTTTTCCTTCTGGCTTATTTCACTGAGCATAATTACTTCTAGCTCCATCCATGATGTTGTGAATGACAAGCAGAGTTGAATTTTTAATTTAATTTTATTTTTAACTTTAATTTGGCTACTATTACTTTGGGCAGTGCAGCACGTGATTATCTATAAAAACGTAACCCAAAATGAACTATACAGAGTTTAAAAATTTAAGGTCTATTTGCCTGGTTTCCATGATGACTAATAATGCCATGCATTATTGATGAAATCACTCTTCCCTTAAAACATTTTTTCCAAAAATTTGTACAGGTCACATTTTTGTTAAAATGTCTCTTTAGGGGAAGGTTCTGAGCAGAGTTTGGAGGAGGCCCAATTGTCTATGGTGTGGAACCATAGTGGTAGATGTTGTGTGGTAATATACATCTGAAAAGCGTGGCCCTACACCCTGAATCACATACAGTGCTGTAAACCAATGTTACCTCAAAAAAAAATGAAAAAAAAAAAAAAAAAAGCATATGAATAGAAAGAACAATAAATAAATAAAGTACCCCTTTATTTTAGGAACCAATACCAAAATAAACATGGCTATTAAATTATGATACACCATGAATATTTAAGGCATAACTCATTTTTAGAGATGTTATAAAATGTCAGAATCAATAAGTATAGCCAATGTATATTTAAATATTAGTTATCAGAGGTACAATACTATACTTCTTGCTTACAGTCATGCATGTGCACACACTTATATACTATATTTAGGCTGAAGCATGGGGTGGGGGATATCTTTGGCTCCCTACTTCTTACTAGTAGGCAGCTCTCAGGGCAACACTGTGGAACCCTTAGAATCACTACTTGGGATAGATCCAAGTAGTGATTTGAAAACCACTGATATATATTACATTTTAACCTACTGTAGTTTCTTTTAAGACATAAACATATACTAGACTGCACTGATGGCTTGACACATGACTAGAACTAGCAAACAATTACAATCAACCCAATTCTTGACTTTGAGTTATTTATTTAGGCTAAGCTTTATCATTTCTCATAAAAACATACCAACATCTGTCATAGAAAGAGATATATGAAATAAGAAGTATTTTGTGGTGAAATAAAACAGGTGGCTATTTAAATCTAGGTTTAAAAAATTAAAGCACTGGCTCTATGTACTACCTATATTCTTACCGTCTGAGGGCGACTGAAATGTAGCTTCTCTCTAACTTCACAGGACAAAGACACATCCCTAAGAGTTAAATAATCTAGGTCTTCTGGCAGTTGGAGGGCTTCATCTCGTTGAACTTCCTTTATTTCTTGTTGCTGATGAAACACCACCGATTCGTAAGTAGCTGGTAAACAAAATTATGATACTCAGATCATGTTAACTTACATTTTTATAATTTTTTACAAATCACAAAGAGCTTTTGTATACATTATTTCATTCAACACTTATCTCAACACCACAAGATGGGTGGGATAGGTGTTTTCTTTTAGGGATGAGGGAATTGAAGCTAAGATTAAAAAGAATATCTAGGGCCTCCCTGGTGGCGCAAGGGGTTAAAACGCAACCTATGAAGCTATCTGCAGCCACTGCAGCACCAGTTCGATCCCCAACCAGGAAGCTACCCACCTGGCGCGGCAGACCTCTCCTGACTTGCCCACTGCTCCCCTCAATTGTGTATTTCAGTCAATCTGCCTGTTCTGTTACCCACTCTGTCTCTGGTGAATCCGCTCATCTTCCCCACACCTCTGGCCTGTACCCCAGTTCTTGTATGCATAAATAAACAAATCTTTAAAAAAAGAAAAGAAGGAATATCTTGTATAGTAACTATAACACTTATATGGTAGTTTATTGTATATCCTTTTCATTTCAAAAATCTAGAAGATTAAAAGCAAAAATAAATTGTTTTCAGTGACAATTTTAGTGCAACTGTGGGTTTAAGTTCTAAACCTAAAGATAGACTGTTTCTCCAAGAAAATGGTTTTCTGAATTATGTTCATTTGAAGCTATAATTTTAAAAAGTGGAGTTTTCTTAGATGACAACACATAATTAAAGTTTTTACTCACATGTGAAATTAAAAACATAATCCAGCAATTGTTTTGCAATCAAAACATTTTGTTCTTAAGAAAAGTAAATCAAAACCTGTTTTAAAACCTAAACCAGGGCCTCCCAGGTGGTGCGGGGGTTAAGCACCGCACTATGAGGCAATCCGAAGCCTCTGCAGCACAAGTTCAATCCCCGGCCGGCTAGGGAGCAACCCACATGGCGAAGCAGACCTCTCCCATCTCGCCCGCTGCTCCCCTCAGCAGTGTATTTTGGTCAGTCTGCCTGTTCTATTCCCCTCTCTGTTTCTGGTGATTCCTCTCACCACCACCCCTGCCCCACATCTCTGGCCTATACCCCAGCTCTTGTATGCATAAATAAATACATCTTTAAAAAAAAAAACAAACCTAAACCAAAATTTAATGTGGCTTTTTCCAGTGGTGATGACCTTTCCCCTCTTTAGAAGAGGAAACACAAGAAGAAATACCTGGTGCAGAACCCAAATTCCTACTTCATGGATATGAAATGCCCCAGGATGCTATAAAATCACCACTGTCTTTAGACATGTACAAAGAGTAGTTTTGTGTATTTGTTGTTCCACGGTCCTCTGCCAGCCTACAGGAGGAAATGTAAGGTTTACAGAAGAATGCTCCTTCACTAAAGCAGCATCAAAAACACCCTCATTCCTGATGAATGGAAAACCATTCCAATAAACACATTCTGGATTAAAAAAGGAACAATGTAGTATACACATGTTGCATATCTGAAATATTATAATGTTTGAATATAAAGTTACTTAAAAACAAGAACAACAACAAAAAAACCCCACCTACACTGAGGTGGTCATTCTTTTCTGTTTAAGAAAGCAAGTCTTCTTTAAAAGTTTCAGGAGCATTGGCTTCCATTACCTGACTGGTAGCCAGAAAATCAACAGCTCTGATTTGGCTCTATCTATGAATTATCCTCTCACTAGGGCACATCATTACTCTTCTGTGCTTTTGCTTCTTTACCTAGAATATGTAAGGGCTGACCTTGATGAGTTCTGATGCTTTCATGACATCTCAAGAAAGCTGTGAAGTATAGTATAAAGGCCTTGCTGTCAGGTAAGTTAGGTTCAAATTCTAGCTCTGCCACTCACTAATTGTGTGATCTTGGGGAAGTTAACACTTATCTGTAAAATTAAGACAATAATGCTAATACCCATCTTTCACAGGACAGTTCTAAGTATTAAATGAAATAATGCATATAAAGGGCTTATTTTACAATAACAATTTCTTTTAAGCAGACCTTTCCTGACTCACCCGCTGCTCTCCTCAGCAGTGCATTTCAGTCGATCTGCCTGTTCTGTCCCCCACTCTGTCTCTGGTGAATCCTCTCACCTCCCACACCTCTGGCCTCTACCCCAGTTCTTGTATGCATAAATAAATATTTTTTTTTAAATTATTTATTTACTTATTTAGCTTTCCTGTCTTGCCCACTGCTCCCCTCAGCAGTGTACTTCAGTCAATCCACCTATTCTGTTTCCCACTGTCTCAGGTGCATCCTCTCATGCCCTGCACCTCTGGCCTGTATCCCAGCTATTATATTTGTTATTTTACAATAACAAATTAGCACAGCGAATTATAATACAATTTTGTGACTCATGAAGAGATTCTTCAGGAAATCATGGAATATAAACGAGGAGGTAATGTATATATTAAAGGTATATTTGTTTAACCTTACAGATATTGAATTGTCAGAAAAGTCATGGTGCATTTTTGCTTGAAAATCAGAAAAAATATCATGGCCTCCTTGGTGGCACAAGGGGTTAAGTTGTAGCACCATGAAACTATCCGTAGCCATTGTAGCAACAGTTCGATCCCTAGCTAGGGAGCTAACCCACATGACGCAGCAGACCTCTCCTGTCTTGCCCAGTGGTCCCCTCAGCAGTGTACATCAGTCAATCCACCTATTCTGTTTCCCACTGTCTCTGGTGAATCCTCTCATGCCCCACACCTCTGGCTTGTATCCCAGATATTATATGCATAAATAAATATATCTTTTTAAAAAATATTTACATATTTATGCATATAAGAACTGGGGTAGAGGCCAGAAGTATGGGAGGTGAGAGGATTCACCAGAGACAGAGTGGGGGACAGAACAGGCAGATCGACTGAAATACACTGCTGAGGGGAGCAGCAGGCGAGTCAGGAGAGGTCTGCTGAGCCATGTGGGTTGCTCCCTGGCTGGGGATAGAACTCGTGCCGCAGTGGCTGCGGATAGCTTCATAGGTTGCGTCTTAACCCCTTGCGCCACCAGGGAGGCCCATAAATAAATAAATCTTAAAAAAAAAAGTCATGACTTTTCCAACAACCCAATATATAATAGCTAAACATAAGACATAATACAAAGAAAATCTAAAATTGACTTATTCCCTCCAAAACTTGATTAGTGGGAAGATTCAAATAGTGATGTTGAAAACACCTGATATACATATTTTAGCCTAGTGTGGTTTCTTTCAATCCCTGGATATAAATTAAAATTTTTATATATGCCTGAGTCTCTAAAGAACAAGGCAAAATAGTAGTTACTCTGTTGGCTGGAGTCAGGGTTTCTATAAGTTAAAGATAATTATTCTGGATTGCTCTAATCTTAATCTTATGATTTAATGAACAACATAAAGTTACAACCAAGTTTAAAATATAAAATTTAATTACCATTCCCCAAGTGCTTGCAGACCTAATATTCGATAAAGTAACTTCTACTAAATAAGAAATCATGATGCTGAAATAAAAGGTCAACATTACATCTTATGTATTAGTATATTTCTAGTATCTGGACACTTGGAAAAATGATTCTAGGGTTTTTATGAGTTTCCTTTTGTTGCTTGACTCTTGTTAACTTGCACAATAGGATGATAGGCAGCAATTGGATCATGCTACATATAAAGCCAATGTGATAGTCTCGAGAACTAAAAGAAAATGCCAGTATTAGAAGGAATGCAGCATTCTTACCACCTTTGCTAGTCCCTAAGGAGTTTACTAATGAACTTTGTGTTTCAATAATGTATCTTCATCCAATTTTTCCTATTCACTCTGTTCCCTGCCTTTTTCTCTACATAATTTCCCACCCCAAGAAAAAACATCTTCTATCAAAATCCAGAAGCTATATTATTCTCAGTATCACTGTTCATGTTTATGAAATTTTCACAATGAAAAACATTTTTTAAAAATGTAGTAGTCAATATACTGATCAAGAGAATGAGAACCGACCATGTGTTATAATGCAGATGCTCACTAAGTGGCTGGGTTGTAGCCTGAGATTCTGCAGTCCCAACAAGCTCTCAGGTGTTGAAATGACACGCTAGCTAAGAACCCCAGGCACAGAGCCTACACTGAGCCTCCTAATGGTAATCATGTTCCTCTTGACATAGAGCTTTCAGTGGGTCAGCTGTGTATTCATAATTTGCACAAATGGAAAAGAGAACATACAAGCATCTTAAGCAAAAAGTTTCTACCTTCTATTTTCAATCTTTCAGCTAGCTCTCTACTTTTAGTGTACTTCTTCAAGGTTTCTGGAACAGCCTTGGCCAACAATTCCATGTCAACTTCCTCATACTTCAGAACATCTAGAGCTCTGTAAATATACAAAAGCTTCATTTACTCTAGGATAAATTAGGAATAATAAAAAGCAGCATTAAAACAGATATACCTTTAAATCCACAAGCCTTTTTTATTAAAGATTTATTTATTTATTTATTTATATAAGAACTGGGGGACAGGCCAGATGCGCTGGAGGGTGAGAGGATCACCAGAGACAGAGTGGGGAATAGAACAGGCAGACTGACGAAACACACTGCTGAGGGGAGCAGTGGGCACGACAGGAGAGGTCTGCCACGCCAAGTGGGACCCTTGACGGCCAGCCGGGATTGAACTGGCACTGCAGACTGCAGACAGTTTCACAGCACTGCGCTCAACCACCTGCACCACCAGGGGAGGCCCCACAAGCCTTTTTACAAATGGAAAAATATACTAGCGACACAGTTGCAAGGTAAAGTGCCACCATATGTGTTACAATGATTGTAGATTTATGCTCGGAGTATCCCCACCACCCTAATTAGCTCATTCTTTTTTAAATAGGCAAAAACAGTGGTAAAATAGGTAGATTTTGAATTATATAAGATCCTTGGGAACTCATCTTTGAAGCAAAAAGCTCTAAATTTATGTCATTTAGACTCAGAATCCATATAATCAAAATAATAAAACAGAGACCAACCCTCCCCCCCCCCACTCCAAATACAGTATGGGAATTTTTAGCAGGTTCAGAGAATTCATAACCCTCGGCTTAATCGAAGAGGTTTCCTTAACATAATTCACAGACAAGATGAGTCACTGTAATTGCTCCATGCCTATAAGAGAAAGGAACTAACTCTCTTAGAAAAGCCAAAAGAACTGAATGGGAACACAGAGATTATATTTAAAAAAAAAAACAAAAACTTAGAATCATTTTTTTTAAAGATTTATTTATTTATGCATACAAGAACTGGGGTGTAGGCCAGAGGAATGGGGGTTGAGAGAATTCACCAGATAGAGTAGGAAACAGAACAGGCAGACTGACTGAAATACACTGCTGAGGAGAACAGCGGGCAATGCAGGAGAGGTCTGCTGTGCCACGTGGATCACCTGCCTGTCTGGGGATCAAACTCCTGGTGCAGAGGCTGCAGATAGGTTTACAGTGCTGTGCTTAACCCCTTGCGCCACCAGGGAGGCCCCTAGAATTATTTTTTTTAATATTTAATAAAAAGATAAATTTCATTTAAAGAACCCTGAAAAGAAGCCAAGAGAAAGCTACATTCACTTAAAATGTGTAGGTAGGAGTCTATAGGCAATGTCTCTGAAATGATCACATTTTTCCATAAAAAGTGAGAAAGGCCCACATTAAAAACTAAAAATGCATACCTGAGAGGAAGACTTTTGCCAGTACTTATGGAAGCCTCTGGGATTAATTGTTTCCATTTATAACTTGAAAACTCAATGGATTTTAGCACAGAAATGCCTTCCTCTAAAGAAGATTTCATCCAAGTAGCTCTTTGATATCGTTGTTGGGAAACACAGCCAGCTTCCTTGTATCCTATAGAAGGAGGGGGAGAATATAATGAGAGGGTTTAAAGAGGAGTAAATATGGTTGCAGGATGCAGCGAAGAATTACCTCGAAAAGTGAGCCTGCTATCAGCATTATCAGGGCGCAGTGATAAACGGAATTCTGCTCGGCTGGTAAACATGCGGTATGGTTCGTTGGTACCCAGGGTGGTGAGGTCATCAATTAAAACTCCTATGTAGCCTTCTGTTCGGCTAATGACAAAAGGAGGCTTGCATCTGACCCGGAGACTTGCATTGATTCCAGCTATCACACCCTACAAGAGTACTGAAATCATTAAAAGGCCATTATGAACTGAACAAAGAGCTATCCTATTCAGAGCACTACCTGGAAAACACAGCATGGGCACTGCCCCAAAGGGTATGAAGATATGATCTATATTCAGAAAGCAATTATGGGTAATGTATTACTTTAGAAGGCTATGAATTGTTTTCAAAGTAGCTAATATTCCTGATTCCCATGTGGGATAATCTTTAAAAAAAAAAAATCCACCTGTGATTACAATGCTGTAAACCAATAAAAACCCCAATAAAAAAGAAACAAAAACATCACCTGTAGGACTTTTTAGCCATTTCCCATTTACAAGTAAAAATAACTTCCCACTTAAAAGGAATAATGATAATTTTCAATAATGTTAAAAGAACTAAATTTTCTTTTTTTAAAAAGCTTCAGAAGCAACACAATAAACCTAATTAAAAAAAAAAACCCAATAGGAGTCAGAAAAGAGTAAATAAGTCATAATTATTTTTAAAATCCTATTGTATACAGAAGCCATTTCCATATACCTAGAAACAGAAATGTCTTTCATTACTTATGAGTTTTATCTAAGATCTTTGGAGTTAACATAACAGGTTCAAAGAAGGAACACCCTTTTTGTCCACTGTAACATTTGAACAATCTCTTACTTGAGCTGCAGCTTCCTCATAGCCAGTAGTGCCATTTATCTGCCCAGCAAAGAAGAGCCGTTGTACCAAACGAGTCTCAAGAGAAGGAGTGATCTGACGAGGGTCCAAGTAATCATACTGAACACCATAACCTGACCAAAGGATAAATGGCACAAAGTAAGTTAAAACAGAGCTGGGTTTGCCTCCAGGTAGAGATGTAAAAATTATCATTGAATGCTCTTCAAAAAGGAAGACCAAATGCAGAGATGTTAGGCTTTATCTTCAGAGGCTCTAAGCAATTTTGACTGTCATAAGATCTCTTCACTGTCTGCTCAAGTGACCTGAGTTCAAACTGAAGAGCAGCTGTGGTCCTCTTTACCTGGCTGAATCATTTTAGCTTTCTCCAAGCCTCTGATGCATGTGATCATTTTCTCTTGTAACTCAGCTGGCAGTGTCACAGATAACCCCTGGGGGTAGATGAGATCAGAATCCATTCCTTCAGGTTCCAACCAAACCTGATGTGAACGGTTTGGAAAACGTAAAACCTTTGATTCAATGGAGGGGCAGTATCTAGAGTAGGACAGTGATATTAAAAAATTGAATAAACAAAAGAGGGTTTATATCAATCCGCAAAGTAATTGTACACTGATATTTTGTCCTTACCGGGGTCCTCTTGTAGTTTCTTTAACATGACTATTAAGGTGAAGGTTCTCAAGGACAATCTCATCCACTCTAGGGTTGGTATGAGTCAAATAACATGGAAGCTGATCTTCTGGCTAAAACATAGGAACTAGTTACAACACTATTTTGCTGCTCTACTAGTATGTCCTTTATTCAAATAAATCCCACACAGGAACTGAACTTAATATTATACACACTAAAATATGCAAAAATGCTTGGCTTACTTTTATTAAGTTCTTACCTGTTAAAAACATATACCCAATTATTTGTAAGTGAAATGATGTGATTCTGGGACTGTTGCTTTAAAACTCAGCAAGAATAAAGTTTTGAGGAGGAAAGATGAAACAAGAATGCCAAAATGCTATTATCGAAGCCGGAAGATGGACACAGAGATTCACAATGCTATTTTTTTCTACTTTTTGTAAACTTGAAAAATTATAACAAAAAGTTAGAGAAAATATTATCAATGCAAAATAAAAAAGCAAAAATATAAAAATGACTTATTCAAAATAACAGACTCTTTGGAACTACTCATCAGGATAACACCAAACACTAGGATCACAAGTTACTAGTCCTTAACTCTAAACATACATATATATATATATATATATATAATTAAAAGATAGGCAAAAGTAGTCTGTACTCTTCAAAAATATCACTATCACGAAAGACTGAGGAACTGTTTCACACTAAAGAGAAATGACCATTAAAGGCAATACATGCTCCTAAAATAGGTAAAAAACAGAATGCTATAAAGTACAATGTTGGGACAATCAATAAAATTCTGATTATGGACTTTACACTAGTTTACAGCACTATATCATTGTGAAAGTCCCTGAGTTTCATCTTTGCATCAAGGCGAATGTAAGCTATCCTTGCGCTTAATTGAGAGATTAAACTGGAGTATTTAGAGGTAAAGGGTCATGATTTCCACAATGTGTTATTGAATGTTTCTTTAAAAAAAAGCAGGAATTTATGCTCATTGAAATAAACCAGAAAGAAAAAGAAAAATAACAGATGGTTTCACTTATAGGAGGAATGTAGAGGAAACAAATAAGGGATCAAGAAAAAAAAAGTAATTAAAATAAATTAAAAATCAAAATCAACAGACAACTATAAACCAGAGACACTCTGCAGCGGGGGAGAGGGAGTAGGATCAAAACAGGGGTGGGAAGAGCACAAGGGACTATGGTGATGGTGCACTGGTAAATTGGTGGTAGGAATTTCACGGGGACTACACCTGAGAGGAGAAAGCACACATTGTACAAAAATGAAGAATGATGTAAAAAAATATAAAATAATAAAACAATAAGATCAGTTGCCATCATATAAAAAAAAAGAGCAAGAATAAATGTGCATGTATTTATATGACCTATGTGGCTCTCTCTATATATACATATATAGAGAAAAAATATGGTAAGATATTAATAAAGGGTGAACTTAAATGGTTTGTAGGAGTTTATTTAAATAGTATTGCAACTTTTCTGTAGGTCTGAAATTGTTTCCAAAGGTTTAAGTAGCTAAAGTTACTGGAAGCAATAAAATTTAAGAACTTATGGGGAAACACCAAATTAGTCAAATTATGAAAGACTGAGGATCTGTTCCAGATTCTACTTTTTTTGCACCTAAGTAATAGTGATGTAGAATGCATTACAAACAAAACGAAAAGTTAGGTTATATCCTGCTATGAATAGCCATTATCAACTTTAGTCAAGTTTGCATAAATTATCTTACCTTAATCCACACGGTTTCATTGATAAAGCTGAATGGTACAGATGGGTTATCTGGTATCTGCTTGTTTAGAATGCTGAAATTAATGGACTCTTTGGCAATTCGGGGGGGAGTCCCAGTCTTCAATCTTCCCACAACAAACCCCAATTTCTCCAGAGTCTCAGCTAATCCTATGGAAGGCTGATCTCCTAAACGTCCGGCTGGATGCACCTCCAGTCCAATTAAAATCACACCTCTCAGAAAGGTCCCAGCAGTCAGAATCACACTTTCAGCATATATTGTGCTTCCATCCACTAAGTGGTAGAGAATAAAAATTGTGTTCTGTTACCAAGGATCAAACTGGAATGTGATTATTTTACATTAGAATTAGAGAAAAATTTTGTCTTTAGAGACCTGAGAAAGAATTTTTAATGAGTAAGAAGGCTGTCTGTCATCAATTTCAAGTCCCAAAAAATATTGGGAGGATATCCAATTCACATGTTCCTAAGATCATATCAACATTGCAAAGTTAGTTTTACTTTTTAAAATTAATTTCAGACTTTTGATTAAATATGACAAACTATCTCACATAATTTTCTCTCCTTCCTGAAATGCCAAGAAAATGAAATAAAGGCACAAAAAAGGTATGGAGGGCCTCCCAGGTGGTGCAGCAGTAGAGCGCTGGGATGCGAAGCTGCCCGCAGCCTCTGCGGCGCCTTTGGATCCCCGGCTGCTCCCCGGCCACCGGAGGAGGGTCCCATATGGCACGCAGACCTCTCCTGCTGCCCGCTGCTCCCCTCAGCAGTGTACTTCAGTCCTTCTGCCTGCTCTGCTCCCCGCTCTGGCTCTAGTGAATTCTCTCACCCTCCCGCACTTCTGACTGTACCCAGTGCTTGTATAAATAAATAAATCTTTTAAAAAAAAAAAGGTATGGAAAAGAACTTGTCAAAAGATAAGAAATTTCCATACATCTGAAGAGGTAAGAACTGATTCCCCTAAATCATATACAGTATTATGAACTAGTGTTACCTCAAAAAAAAAAAAGTATTTTCACTTTGACGGAAAGTAGTTGAAGAGTGATAGTTGATCTAGCAGAGGGTAGAATGATCAAGAATCTGAAAAATCTGAAAACTTTAATACAAAAGGATTTATGCATACCTGTGCTCATAGCAGCCTTATTCAGAATAGTCAAGTCCTGGAGCCTAAATGCCCAGAGACAGATGACCGGATAAAGAAATTTTGTGGAAAAAAAAAAAAAGAAGAAATTTTGTGGAATATGTACTCAATGCAATACTATCCAACTATTAAAAAGGATGAAATAGTGTGTTTTGGTACACAATGGATGGATCTTGAGTATACTAAATGAAATAACCTAGAAAGTGAAAGACAGTTACCTGGTGCTCTCACTCATTTGTGGACTATAAATAACCAAAGAAAACAAATTGGCAAAGCACAGCAAAAATAATTCTTAGGCTCTGTGACAATATACTGGTTATCAGTAGGGACGAAGGGGGGAAGGCGTGGAGGATACAAAACAAAAGTCATAGGATATTGGCTCTGGAACTCTTATGGAGAGTGACAATGCAGTCCCAAAACTGTATACTTATGTAACTGATCTACAAGTCAATAAAATGAGGGAAAAAGAAAAACTGGCAACAATTGAAAAGAACAAAGAGAATCTGAAGATAAGACACTTTGCCCTGCAAAGGCCCATAAAATTGGAAAAGTGAGAATGAGAAGTGAGGAGATGCTGGAATGAAGTTTGGGGCTGAAAATGAGAGAAATAGTTGAAATTTACATATAAAAATTTTGTGTAGAGTCAGATCTTAATGGAGCTTTATTCTTTTGGTACTTGGGTATTGTTTAATGCACAGTTTCAATTTAGGATGAAGAAAAAGTACTAGAAATGGACAGTGCTGAGAGTTGCATAACACTGGATGTGCTTCACAGACTGAACTGTATCGTTAAAATGGCAGTTTTATGTTATGTACATTTTAGCACAATAAAAAACTGTATTGCTGGGCCTATAGACAGGGTAAAAATAGCACCAATATAGACAGGGTAAAAATAGCATTCAAAGGTACTAAATTAAGTAACAGAAGTACAAAAAATTTAAAGGTCTGCATTAATCAAAATAATATAATCAGGCCTCCCCAATGGCGCAGAGGTTGAGTGCTGGGTTGTGAAGCTGCCCGCGGCCTCTGCAGTGCCAGTTCGATTCCCGGCTGCTCCCCGGCCACCGGAGGAGGGTCCCACATGGCGCGCAGACCTCTCCTGCCACCCGCTGCTCCCCTCAGCAGTGTACTTCGGTCCTTCTGCCTGCTCTGCTCCCCGCTCTGGCTCTGGTGAATTCTCTCACCCTCCCGTGCTTCTGACTGTACCCAGTGCTTGCATAAATAAATAAATAAATCTTTAAAATAAATAAATAAATAAAATAAAAATAAAAATAATATAATCATTACATCAGAGAAAAGGAGGCAAGGGGAAAAAAGAAAATGAAAACTATGACCTAATTGTTCACAGAGAGGTCTGTTTACATTACAGAAAAAAAGGGAAGCTTAAGCACTATATATATATATATATATATATAAATAAATTAGCTATAAAGGTAATTACCAGGACAAAAACTAAAAAAAAAAAGACAGACTTCTGAAAGCACAGCAAACATAGATTAAGTTGGGGGGGGTGGGCAGTGCAGAGCACTGTGTCTAATATGCTACTCCTATGTGAAAGGAAGAGCTATACATGATGATGTATATATGATGACACGTGTATGCATAGGCATATCCAGATAGAAAGACTACACAAGAAACTAGTAACACTCCTGAGGAGAAAAAATGGTTTGCTGGGGACAAGATGAGAGCGAAGACCACCTTTTCAATTTACATTCTTTTGTCGCCTTTGAATTATTGTCCATGTATGTATTCCCTATTCAGAAAATTAATAAATCTCTAAGAAAAACTATGCAGGAGAATTAAGAGCAATATCCCAAATGATGAGAGTCTCCAGCACCGCCCCTCTTACAGTTTTGTTCCTAGAATGCTAGTAGGCATTCAATTTCCTTATGCAAAAGATTAATTCTTCTCCTGAGAACTAACAGACAATGCTATTTGCTAATTGCCCAACAAACAGTCCAGATCACAGTGTGGGCAGCCACAGCCTCACCACCATGGCTCTCTAATGCCAGCCACATCTTCTACCTTGTTGAGCTCCAGCTAAAGAAAGCGTAAGTAAATCTCTGTAAATGGCTAGCACAAAGCTAACTGCCTGTAAATCCACTGGTGGTCAGGTATTGAAGAAAACAAGAGGCTACAGAAGCTGCTGACCAGGGTATGCCCTCTACTCTAGGGCTGAAGAAACCTCATCATTACTGGTCAGGTATGGTGGCACTCTGTACTATAAGACTTTTCAGGGCCTCCCTGGTGGCACAGCGGTTGAGCGCTGGGTTGCGAAGCTGCCCGCAGCCTCTGTGGCGCTGGTTTGATCCCCGGCTGCTCCCCGGCCACCGGAGGAGGGTCCCACATGGCACGCAGACCTCTCCTGCAGCGCCTGCTGCTCCCCTCAGCAGTGTACTTCGGTCCTTCTGCCTGCTCTGCTCCCGCTCTGGCTCTGGTGAATTCTCTCACCCTCCCGTGCTTCTGACTGTACCTGGTGCTTATATAAATAAACAAACAAACAAACAAATAAATAAATCTTTAAAAAAAAAAAAAAGACTTTTCAGAATGTCTAATTCACAAATTTCCCTTTTGACCCTCAGAACGTCAACAGATCTGTGCTTCCAGCATATAGTTACTGATGCTTTGCTGGAGGCAAGTAAAGCCAATCTGGTAGGCCTTTTTGAAGCCACCAGTCTGGATGCTATCCATGCCAAATGCCTAACAGTTATGCCAAAAGACATCCAGCTAGCATGCAGTACACATGGAGAACATGCTTAAGAATCTACTACAATGGGAAACATTCATTCTCAAAAACAAACATTTTCTATTCTTCCTGTTATTGGTAGTTTTGAATGTTCGATTTTTCCCTCCATGGGGGTTAAAAGGTACTTAAATATATGGTTGCAATTGAGAAAATAGAGGCCAGAAATCAGTTACTGGCAATTTTTTCCATTTTCATTTGTGTGTCAATTTTTAATATTAATGTGGGAACATGAAACATTAATGAAAGGCAAAATGTCTCAATGAACAGTTTTAGCAGTCCAACTTTGTAACTATTATAAACATGTTAAATTTTTCAGAACCAAAAAACAAACACTCCCCCGCCCCCCCACAATTAGGCACCAAACTATAGAGTTGACCAAGCAATAAAATTAACTGTGTATACACAAATCTTTCAATCAGTGTTTTGGTGCCATCATTTAAAAATCTGAATAGACAAGTTCCCTAAACACATGTACTTTCTCTGTGTACATGAAAGAAAGCAGCTCAACTAAAGAAAGAGAATAAAGAAATTTGTATAAACAATATATACAACAGAAGGAAATTTAAAAATCCATAATGAAAATCCTTACATAGATTAGAGAAAATACTACATTCAGAGATCAAGAGCAAGATGCTAAACAAAACAAATAATCAGGGGGAAAAAGGTAGTTTACAAATGAAAAATATCATAGATTTAAAAAATTCATTACTGAGCCTCCCTGGTGGCGCAAGGAGTTAAGCACTGCACTATGAAGCAATCTCACAGCCTCTGCAGCACGAGTTCGATACCTGGCCAGCCAGAGAGAAACCCACATAGCGAGGCAGACCTCTCCTATCTCACCCGCTGTTCCCCTCAGCAGTGTATTTCAGTCAGTCTGCCTGTTCTGTTCCCCACTCTGTCTCTGGTGAATTCTTTTACCCCCCGCATCTCTGGCCTGTACCCCAGCTCTTGCATGCATAAATAAATAAACCTTTAAAAAAATTCATTACTAAGATTTGGACAATAAAGTTAGGAAATCTCTTAAGATGATATGGCAAGATGACAAAAAATAAAAATAGAAAAATCTAGAAAACTAACTCAGGAACAGATAAGAGTTACAGAAAGAAATGCATAGAGAAATAATAAAATACCCCAGAAATTAAGAACACAGATTTCTAGATTGAAAGGGAACACTAGTTCCTAACCACAATGAATGAACAAAGGCCACTAGGAGACATCATTTTAAAGTTTCAAAAACAAATATGAGATCCCAGAAGTTTCCAAAGACAGAGGAAAATATATTTAAACCAGAATTCTTTCCTCAGTCAAATTAAAAGTCAAGTTAAAGAAAAAAATATTTTAGGGCCTCCCTGGTGGCGCAGCGGTTGAGCGCTGGGTTGCGAAGCTGCCCGTGACCTCTGCGGCGCTGGTTCGATCCCCGGCTGCTCCCCGGCCACCGGAGGAGGGTCCCACATGGCGCGCAGACCTCTCCTGCCACCCACTGCTCCCCTCAGCAGTGTACTTCGGTCCTTCTGCCTGCTCTGCTCCCCGTTCTGGCTCTGGTGAATTCTCTCACCCTCCCGCACTTCTGACTGTACCCAGTGCATGTATAAACAAACAAACAAACAAGTAAAATAAATAAATAAAGCATGCCTCTATTAAAAAAAAAAAAATTTTTTTTAGATTTGTAAAGATTCAAAAAAAGGTACCCCCAATGCATCTTTTCTTAGGAAGTTACTAGAAGATATGCTCCAGCAAAATGAGGAAGAAAGAGATAGACCGGAGTGACAGGAAACAAGGGATGATGCAACACAGCAGAGCAGAGAAAGGAAGTGTCAAAATAACATCTGTGCAGAAAGTCTAGAGATCAATTGTCCTGATTATAGCACGTGGGGGTGGGAGGATGTGGTAACTGATTATCTTTGGGAGCGAAGTATCCAAGAAAAAAAAATCAGAATTCACAGATTGAGCTTCGAGAAAATGATAGATTTTTTTTCCCATGGAAAAGTTGAACAAGTGTATGGGTAAATAAACAATGATTAAAATATAATAATACAGCAATGATTAACCCAAAGCAAAACAAAGCAATATATGAGAACAAGCATCACCACTTGGATCTCTAATGAACAATGCCTTACATTATGTTGCTCTACCCTCCCAATAAAATTAAGCCATAAATTTTGGTTGACAGTATTTATATTATTGAAATTATTAAAGAGAGCTACCATAAAAAATTTTAATAATGCCTAAGAATGATAATTTAGAAAATAAAAATATAATTATATTGTTTAGAAATATGGAGGTATATATGAGAAATGATAGTAAAAAAAAGTTGAAATGGTTAAATATGGAGAGAGACAAAATTATTTTTCAATATAAAAATTTAAATTCTATTTGATGGTTAAAAATTTACATGTTATTTTGATTGAAAAAAATGAATGCAGATCAGAACAGACAATTTACAGAGGAAGATATCCAGAGGGCCAATAGATACATGGAAAAATGTTCACCATCACTTTTAATAAGGGAGACATAGGTCAAAATTACAATGAAATATCATCTCACACCCATGCGAATGACACATAATAAAAAGACCTCCAACAATAAGTGTGAAAGAGGATGTGAGAAAGAGGAACCTGACTATACTTCTGGTGGGAATATAAACTAGAGCAACATTATGGAAAGCAATCTGAATTTAACTTAAAAAACTAAAGATGGAAATATCACATGACCCAGAAAACCCACTCTTGGGCATTTATCTGAAAGACATCAAACCATCCACTCAAAAAATTATATGCTTTACATTGCTCATTTCAGCACCATTTACAACAGTTAGGATATGGAAAAAACCCGAGTACTCACTGAGAGAGGACTGGATAAAGAAGTGGCACATCCATGTGATGGAATACTATTCACCCATAAGAAAAGATGAAATGTTGCAAATTTATAGCAAAATGAAGGGCTCAAGAGAACTACGTACGGTAAAGCAAGTCAGAGTGACAAATGCAAATATTGAACATTTATACTGTAGATGATATGACAAAGCAAATACCTATAAAAACTAGTAGAAGCTAATACAGGAAATGAAGTTTCTGAGATTAAGATGGATGGTGGAGGTAGAAAGGGCCTCCACCCTTGGTGATGGGGGAAAACGTTAATACATAACTCTTTAAAAGTATATATAAAATAATCTTGTAAAATAAAAATTAAAAAATTTTGAGTCAGAACTAGGAAAAATGAAAATTACAACAGAAAGACTAGGAGAAAAAGACATGCAGGCTATGAAATCCAACACTTGGATGGTACAGAGGAACCCAGAATTTGTGCTTCATGAAGGTCAAAATGAAGAAAAACGGTATTTTTGAAATAATTTTCCTTATCTGTAAAGTAAAAACACAATTTCCTCAAATAAACAAAACATCTATACATTCTGCTCTAAAATAAGTTTCCCACAAGCAGTTTGATATGCAATTGTTATCTATAACCAGTACATACCCAAAACAACACCACTGACACGACATTTTCCTGTGTGCTCTGGTTCTGGTTCTGTAAGAATAAGATCTTCTACAGCTCCCTCCTGAACAGTAAGCAGTGGGGTATTTAGGATTTCTTTCTGTCAAAAGAGAATGCAAGTTGACACATGACAGTTTAAGCTATCACTAGTCTCCTGCTTTCATGCCTTATTCTTACCTGCATATTCTGCTTGTAGAGTTTCCTATCAATTTGAGCTCTCAGACCCCAAACAGCTGGTCCTTTACGCCGGTTTAACACTTTGTAATGTACACCAGACTGGTCACAGATTCGAGAACACAGGCCATCCAAGGCATCTATTTCCCTCATTAAATGCCCCTTTCCAATGCCACCAAAGGAAGGATTACAGGACATCTGACCTAAGAGCAATCACAAACAAAATAAACATATAGCAACTTGTACATAGTGAGTGTTTAATAGGGAAATGTCTGTACAGTAACTAGATTCATCTCATATCATATTTAAAAAAACAAACCTTGAAAATACACTGTAAAAAAATCCCAGTGTCAATGACATAAAAGAGTTATTCAAGCTATCCTGAAAGATAACCATTGCCTATAATTTCTTTTGACTTGTTTCCTTGAAGCATAATTTTACTATTTCATTAGGTTGCTTTTTCCTGTAGATGTGGTTTTGAAATCCTTACCTCATAAAACCTTCTCAAATCAAACATACTTTTTATTTTTTAAAGATTTATTTATTTATGCATATAAGAGCTGGAGTACAGGCCAGAGATGCAGGGGGTAAGAAGATTCACCAGAGACAGAGTGGGGAACAGAATAGGCAGACTGACCCAAGTACACTGCTGAGGGGAGCAGTGGGTGAGTCAGGAGAGGTCTGCTGCACCATGTGGGTTTCTCCCTGGTGGGCCGGGGATCAAACTCTTGCTGCAGAAGCTGCAGACTGCTTCATAGCGCGGTGCTTAACCCTTTGCGCCACCAGGGAGGCCCTCAAGCATACTTTTAAAAGTATACTTTAAAGCATACTTTTTAAGTCCCTTGTTCACTGTTGTCTTCCACAATTATGTCTTCCACAAATACCATATACACTTTGCAGAAAAAATTAAATTACAAAATTCTTGAAAGTAGAATACATATTTTATATTTACCCTTTTAAGATCCTCTATTTTAATTAGTGGTATAAATTAATGTTAATTACCTCAAAGGACTTTATAGGAGGTAAGGGGTAGGAAATCTGTGTCAACATCCACAAAGCAACAGGCCACTATCAAGCTCTCCAAAAGTTTTTATTATCGCCATAGGGAAGCTATGATAAGCATGAGCAAGATCTGGCTTAATTCCTAGATCTACCAACTTGATAAGCTCTGTTATTTTTGCCAAGTTATCTGATTTTCTATAACAGTTTTCCTGCTGTAACAACAGGAATGACAGCTATATATATTTTATTCTTCCTCTCATATACAATTTTAATTTGATAAACACTCTTCTTTTTTTTTTTTTTTTTTTTTGATAAACACTCTTCTTTATGATGCTTTGTTTGAGGAATGTGAGATGACATCACCCAGTGATTCCCCCCCCTCAACTATTATTCTGTGCTATTCGTAGTATTTTTAACTAACCCCCTTCCCATCTTTAGAGAGGACACATTTCAGACATTTTCACATCAAAGTTTATAATCAACCACTTGCAGGTGATGTTTTGCTTGGTATATTCACAAAGCCTTTTCTTAAAAGTAAACAAACGACCCAGTTTTCCCAGCACCATTTATTGAACAAATTTCTTTGCTCCAATGCATATTCTTTGCTCCTTTGTCAGAGATTAGTTGACCATAAATCTGTGGGTTTATTTCTGGATTTTCTATTCTATTCCATTGGTCTGTGTGTCTGTTCTTGTTCCAATACCATGCAGTTTTGATGATTATGGCTTTGTAGTATAGTTTGAAGTCTGGGAGTGTGATGCCTCCATTCCCTTCTTTTTTTTTTCAGGAGAGCTTTGGCTATTCGGGGTTTTTGGTGATTCCATATGAATTTCATCAATAATTGTTCTATTTCTTTGAAGAATGACATTGAAATTTTTATTGGAATAGCATTGAATCTGTATATTGCTTTTGGTAGGATGGCCATTTTAATAATGCTGATGAGACTCAACAAAAACAAAGAAAATAATCCAGTCAAAAAATGGGCAGAAGAGCTAAAAAAGAAACTTCTCTGAAGAGGAAATGCAAATGGCCAACAGGCATATGAAAAAATGTTCATCATCACTTGTAATCAGGGAAATGCAAATCAAACCCACAATGAGATACCATCTTACATCAGTGAGAATGGCACATATTAAAAAACTAGCAACAACAAATGTTGGCGAGGTTGTGGAGAAAAAGGAACTCTCCTGCACTGCTGGTGGGAGTGCAAACTGGTCCAACCACTATGGAGAGCTGTGTGGAGATTTCTTGACCTACTCAACATAGAGCTTCCATATGATCCAGCAATTCCACTCCTAGGTATTTACCCAAAGGACACAGAAACATCAATTCCAAAGAACACCTGCACCCCTATGATTATAGCAGCTCTATTTACAATAGCTAAGCTTTGGAAACAGCCCAAATGCGCAAAAATAGATGACTGGATCAAAAGATGTGGTACATATACACCATGGAATATTACTTAGCATTCAAAAAAGATAAACACATGCAATTTGCAGCAACATGGATGGAGCTGGAAGGGATCATGCTCAGCGAAATAAGCCAGAAAGAAAAAGAAAAATACCTGATGGTGTCACTCATAGCAGGAATCTAGAAAACTTAAATAAGGGACCAGGAAAAAGAATAACTATAAGAAAGAAAATATCAAAATCAACAACTATGAACCAGAGACACTCTATGGGGGTGGGGGGCGGGGAAAGCAGGGATTGGGGTCAAAATAAGGGGGTTGTAATTGTATGGGGAATATAAAAATAAAATTTAAATTAAAAAAAAAGAAAAAAAAGAAAAAAAAAAAAAAAAAAAAGAAAATAAACAAACGAAGGGCCTCCCTGGTGGCACAGCGGTTGAGCGCAGGGCTGCGAGGCTGCCCGCAACCTCCGCGGCGCTGGTTCGTTCCCCGGCCGCCAGCGAGGGTCTCACAAAATAAATAAATAAATAAACAAACAAACAAACGAAAAACCTTTTATTGAAAATAAGTATCAATTCTTTATTTTTTCTAAAAATGTAAACAACACTTAAATGTACACTAAGCAAAGTGTAATCCTTCGGGTACTCCTAAATCAACAATGAATATTTCTCCACAGTTACAAGCGTAATGATACTCTTTAAAAAGTACTTCAGTATGCAATTATGTGATTTATTATGTGATTTATTAAGAGTACTACTTACTCTTAAGCAAATGCAGGAGGAAAGATAAGCATACATACTTTACAAGAAAATGTTTTAGCCTGTCTCTATGATGATGTTAGAGAGCTCTCTTACTTTTGATTAAGGTCTTTCAACCATTGCCTATTAAGCACTACCGGGTTCTAAGTACAAACTGGGAAACAAACATATAGTAGAAATAAGAAATGCCAAGTTTGAAAAGCAGCATCATTCTTCAAAAGGGCTCCACAAACCATCGAGGGGGGAAATACGGTCGTTTAATAAACGATTATTAATAATGTTAATTATTAGTGAATTAATAATGTTAATTCACTCTTTATCCAAAGCAACAAGCTAGTAAAGGGTACAGCACAAAGAAACCAGAAGCTAATAGCAAGGATTCTTATAGTTTCCCAAGGCACCGCCACGCCACAATCGGTGGTTCACGGAATAGCCGAATCCAGACTTCTAGCCCCAGATCCGCCAGATCCTGCAGAACAGAAATCAGGCTAAAACCACCGACGCTAGGATTGTCACTAGGTAGGGGAGAGATGGTCGATTTGTTATGGAGCAACCCCGCTATAAAACGGGTTACCTGGCTGTGGGTCCTCACCCGCGCGCTTAAAAGGGACTTATTAATACTCCACTACAGGCACACACAAAAGGTTAATAAAAGGTCATCCTTTTCCCCCTAACAGATACAGGAACTAGAAGGGGAAGAAAGGGTTACTGGCAGCTTGCGCGCTGTCTCAGCAACACAGTCCCCTGCCCCGCTCACCGATCGTGTCCACGCGGTGCGTGAGTAGCAAGGTCCGCGAGCCGCACCGAGCCGCAGCGGCGGCTGCTTCGCTCCCGGCGTGTCCCCCGCCGATGACCACCACGTCGAAGTGCGGACTACGGGGAGCCGCGCTATCAGCACTAAATCGGGCCAAGGGAAGGTGCTGTTTGGCTAGGGAAGCCGCGACCGAGCGGCCACAACCGCGGAGGGAGAACATGGTTGGAGGAAGGCAGAATCTGTGTGACTCTGACCCTAACACTAGCAAGGCGCAAACACTCAGGCTATAAGAGAAAAGTCTTCAGGGCGCAGCCATCTTGCTCTGATGTCATGGCGTAGCACGTCTACGTCTGACGTCACCATTAATTGGCTGTTTGACGGGCCGCCGGAGTCCGAATAACGGAATAACAGTGCAGGTGGCTGAGGGCGTGTAATTGCGGCCCTGGGCCGTGCTGGCCTTTGGTTATGTATGACCCTGGGTTAGGAGCCCTGCTTGGTCATCTTTTGTCCTTTCCGGCGAGTTGCAGCCCTGTCTACAATGAATTTGATTCCTTTGATCAGATTCTTTGCGCTTTCTGGTACATAGTTATCTTCACTTCTGTGTATAGAGTCTGGATAGGAATAGATTCGAACGAAGTTTAAATATATAGAGAAAAGATTCACGAAGGCCAATAAAGAGAATCAGACGGTTTCCGTGTACATTTTTTTTTTTAAACAAGTGAACCAGAGTTTGGTTTATTTCATGTTGTCTTGCACATTCTTGAACACATATCTTTTAAATTTGTGGACCTCTATACATAAAGATACTGGCTAAAACAGCTCCTCCGTATTTAAGATCGAATAACAGCTAAATTAACTTTCTAAAGAACTTGGGTCAGGTTGCAATACAATGTGTAAGATTACTTTATCACATGGTTGCCAGCACTGGATTTTAATTTTTTTTAAAGATTTAAAGAGCTGGGTTGTAGGCCAGAGATGCAGAGGGTGAGAGGATTCACCAGAGACCGAGTGGGGAACAGAATAGGCGAATTGACTGAAATACACTGCTGAGGGGAGCAGCAGGCGAGTCAAGAGAGTTCTGCTTCCGCATGTGGGTCACCTCCCTGGCGGTGGATGGAACTCGTGCTTCAGTGACTGCAGATTGCTTCATATTGCTGAAACTTACACCCTTGTGCCACTAGGGAGGCCCCCACATCCAATTTTTGATATATTTTCTTTACTTGTCTTTCAACACATCAAGCTATTCTAGTTTTCCTCTTAATTTTCTGGCTGCCACTCTTCATTCTGTTTTGTGGGTTCCTCTTCCTTGAACACTATGCTCACACCTAAGAATACAACCAAACCAATTCTCAAATCCCATCTTTAGGGGTTTATCTCCTGAGCTCATTTGCAATGCCAATTTTGTAGCTGTCTGGTCCAATCAAGCGAGATAAATCACACATAAGATTAAACAGGAGAGGGCCTCCCCTGGTGGCACAGGCGGTTGAGGACAGCGCTGTGAAGCTGTCCACAGCCTCTGCAGCGCCGGTTCAATCCCCACCGGCCTGCGAGGGTCCCACATGGTGCCACAGACCTCTCCTGTCACACCCGCTGCTCCCCTCAGCAATGTATTTCGTCAGTTTGCCTGTTCTGATCCCGGCTCCGTCTCTGGTGAATCCGCTCACCCTCCCACGCATCTGGCCTGTACCCGGTTCTTGCATAAATAAATAAATCTTTAAAAAAAAAAAAAGGCTGGGCCTCCCCGGTGGCGCAGCGGTTGAGCGCTGGGTTGCGAAGCTGCTCGCAGCCTCTGCGGCGCTGGTTCGATCCCCGGCTGCTCCCCGGCCACCGGAGGAGGGTCCCACATGGCGCGCAGACCTCTCCTGCCGCCCGCTGCTCCCCTCAGCAGTGTACTTCGTCAGTCTGCCTGCTCTGCTTCCCGCTCTGGCTCTGGTGAATTCTCTCACCCTCCCGCGTTTCTGACTGTACCCAGTGCATGTATAAACAAACAAACAAACAAACAAATAAATAAAATACGTGCCTCTTTAAAAAAAATTTAAAAAAAAAGGTTAAACAGGAGATATTTAATATAAGAACAATTAACCATAATAAAAAAGTATAAGATATAAGGAAATTCAAGGTGGTACCCTACAGCTGAAGAATCCCCATGGAAGAATAAACAGGGAAGGAGTTCAGGCCTCAAGTGTAGAACTGCAGAGATCATGGGCTATACAAGGTAGGGGTTTTGCAGCATCTCTGTGTGGATTTACAGAACCACGGGCAGTCTGCACAAAGGGCTTGCACAAGGATCAACTGTTTGCTGTGTAATACTTGGGCCCAGAGACAGCTATATGCAGATCAGGTGGGAATCTTGGTATCTGTTTAGTAAACTGTGACCAGTATATGATCGTACGGGCATCTCTTTCTGGGTCTGTGGCTGGGGATAGGCACCACCAGATAGTCTTCTATTCACTAAACTGATCTTACCCCTCTTAACTCCTTTCCACTCCTACCCCTATGTCAGAAATTGCAAGAAACCTTTTTTCTGCAGTGTCCTGCCAGCAATCTCTACTGAAAAAGTGCAATTTAGACGGTGTCTGAAAAGAGAAATGCTTAAAGGAATTCTGTTTATTAGAGATGACATATTGTCAGGTGTGCTCGGAGCTGAGAGATAGTAAGTTAGTAACTAACATATTTCAAACTGCAAGAGCTTCAGCCACACTTGCTGTTTGAACAATTAGGCATAATCCCACCTTAAGTAATTTCTGTTAGCTTTCCCTTCTGCCCGGAATACTTTGCCTGGAGATCCCCTCCTTTTCATTTGTGTGAAGATGTCATCTTCAGTGTTTTAGTATTTAGCACTCTTCATTTCTGATCTCCCTTGCACTATTCTTTTCCTTTTCCAATACAGCTATCATTTTCTATATGAAATAATTTGCACATTGTGTGATGTTTACTATCTGTTTCTCCCTACCAGAATGTAGCTGGCAAGGATCTAGCTCTAGCTGGCAAGGATCTCTACAAGAGCTTAGTGTAGAACTTTGCACATTGTAGATATTTGAATGTTTGGTGAGTGACTCAGTGAATTACTGAGACAAACATGAGATATAGAGAACTATGTGTGAGATCAAACTACGTGTAAGATCAAAGTATATAAAGTATTCACAATCTCTTCATCTATAAGGTAAAAATATGCAAGCTCCACATCAAAAGTCAGTTAAAAAGTCATTCTATGATTTGAACACCAGTTGTTGCAACAAGATTAAACAAATAACAAATTTTCCTCCTTTGATAGGTGAACAGTAGAGGTACTTGACTAAGGTCTGCTGGATTATTGCTTGCACAATTTTGGTTAACCATCAGTGGATCCAGAGACCTTTAAAACAGCTGGAAGACGGCATTAAACTAGCTGTAGAGTAATGTATAGGATTCCAAGACAAATAACCGAGCTTCTGGACAATAAAAATATAACTGTAGAGCAGAGGTCTTCAGAATAGAGTAGGCATGCACCTGGGCATCCTGGATGACTGCCCAAATGCACTTGCAGTTAAAGGAAATGGAATTTTACTTTTCAACTTCCATGTTATTCTTTCTGGAAACTGACAAGCCTGAACACAATAGTTCTCCCATTTGCCAAAGTAAAATATCTCTTGCCTCACAATTCTAGTATGACTCATTAGTCCTGTGGAAAAAAAATACACAAGACTTCATGCCAAAGAGAAGGATTATCAAAATGTTGTTTTATTGCTTTTAGGGAAAACTTTTAAAAAAGCAATCAAGGCACTTTTGTTGTTCATTGTCAGTTGAATGAATAAACAAAATGTGGTATATATGTAGATATATCTGCATCTATCTATCTATATATATATGTACATACATGTCTAAAGTTGAAATTAATCAAATTTAAAAAGAAAGTTGACATATGCTACAACACGGATGCACCTTGAGGACATTATGTTAAATAAGTCAGTCACAAAAGGACAAATACTGTGTATTCACTTAAATTAAGTACCTAGAGTAGTGGAGTAATAGAGACAGAAAGGTGAAGGGTGGTGGTCAAGGACTGGAGAAGGGGAAATGGGGAGTTATCGTTTAATACTTACAGTTTCAATTTAGCAAAATGACGAGTTCTGGGTATGGATGGTGGTTAGGGTTGCATTTCCGGTTGTAAAAGAAGCCAAGGCATTTTAAACCCAGGGGCATTCTTGCGTAATATGTATTCTTGAAAAGGTTGTGACTTTAGAAATAGATACTTTAAAAAAAATTATTTATGCATACAAGAAGTGGGGTACAGGCCAGAGTGGGGGGGGTGAGAGGATTCATCAGAGACAGAGTGGGGAACAGAACAGGCAGACTGACTGAAATACTGTGCTGAGAGGAGCAGCGGGCAAATCAGGAGAGGTCTGCTGCACCATGTGTGTTGCTCCCTGGCCGGGGATCGAACTCGTGCTGTAGTGGCTGTGGCTAGCTTCATAGGTTGCATCTTAACCCCTTGCGCCACCAGGGAGGCCCTAGATACTTTTTTTTTTTTTCCAAATACAGTAGCTGGGGTACCGGCCAGGGAAGCGGGAGGGTGAGAGGAATCACCAGAGACAGAGTGGGGAGCAGAACAGGCAGGCAGGCAGGCAGACAGGCAGACCGAGGGCAGCAGTGGGCGCGACAGGAGAGGTCTTCCGCTCCATGTGGGAATCGCCCTGGCCAGCTGGGAATCGAACCCGCGCCACAGAGCAGAGGCTGCCAACAGCCTCACAGCGCTGTGCTCAACCCGCTGCGCCATGGGGGCGGCCACTTTGAAGTAGTGTGTATTGAGACACTGGAACAACAAGGCCAAGGCAACATTTTGATGGAATTTTGAGAACCAACAATAAAACTTGTGAATAAGAACCTTACACAGTTTGCTTGTGTGTGCTTTTGAAAGTCAAAATGAATTAATTATTCCAATTTCAGTCAATCCTCATCTCATTCCAGCTTGTGAAAAAGTTAAACGTTTTCTATTTCCTATTAATTAAAAAAGACCTTTATTTAAACTTAATGGGAAAAATTACTGTCAACTTTCGTGGGCGAGAGAGAAGGCATGCAGCTCTTGACAAAGTTCTTTTAGGTGCTACACCACCAAAGGAATCTGGTTATCAAAGCTCAGGATAGTATTTTCTGCTTTCCTAGGTTTCACTTCTGTGCATTTCCCAGCCCTCTGTATCGCCCACACAGAAGGGTGAGAAAAATCGGGTGTTGGCTAAAGGGCTGCCGGGCCTGGGCGGAGGGGAGTGGCCCCTCTGACCTCAGGGATTGGGTAATCCTGGGCGAGACTGCGGCTTTCCCGCCAGATTTTTAACATCCTAGCCGGGATCTCAGCTTCCTCCTCCCGCCATCGCTCGGAAAACGAATCTCCTTCCGGGGAAGCCGCGAGCGCCAGCCATGGACCCACGTCGCGGAAAGGTGGCCCAGGGGGCTTCGAAAACTTCGAAAGCGGGAGCCGCAGCCCCGAAGACAGGCGCGCCCGGCGCGAAGGACGCCCAGGCCAAGCCCCTCGGGGCCTCCGGGCTCAAAGCGCAGGCCTGCGGCGGGGCTGGGGAGTCCAGACCCCCGCAGAAGAAGGGCGCCCGGGCCCCCCAGACTGGACGGCGAGTAAGCGCGGGGGATGCCGGCGCCAAAAAGGGGCCTCTGCCCTCCCGGGGCGTTGAGTCCCCGGGCGCTCCCGGCACCGACCAGCCCGACGGGCAGGCGGTCCCCGCGGAGGGGCTGGAACCTCCCGCCGACCTGGAGCCGTCCCTTCCCGCTGGCGGGTCTCGCAGCAAGGGGAGCGCGCGCTCCTCGCTCCGGAAGCAGAGGTCCCTGACCCGACCCCCTGAGGTCCCCCCGCGAGGCCCGCTGGTCCCAGCCCGGAGTCTCGGCGGGAGGGAGGTGACCGCAGGGAAGCTCCGGTCGGTTCTGGAGAAGTTGAAGCTGAACCGCCAGGAAATCTCAGCGGCGGCCGAGGTCGTGAACAGGGTCGTGGACCACCTGCTGCGGAGAATGCAGAGCCGCGAGTCCGAGTTCAAAGGGGTGACGCGGCTGTCCGCGGGGAGCTACTACGAGCACGTGAAGGTGAGCTGTTCAGCACCTGCCCTCTGTTCCCGCCGCACGAGATCCTCACCCTTCTCCCCAGCCTCGCCATAGCCCAGGGGGCACGGCACCTCGCTTCCCTTCGGAGTAACTCAGACTTGGTGCGCGGTGGCCTGTTTGTGACATAGTTTGTGACATGGTTCGACATTTGTTCGTTCCTTTAATCCTCCATACATGCTACAAACTCTCAGCTTTACATTTATGTTCCATGAACATATGTACGTTTAACGACCAACCAACCCATATTGATTGCCAACTGCTGTCAAGACACTGCTGCTGGGGGAGTTCCAATGTAGAGATGCGTTCACGCAAGCCGGCTTCTATTGAGTTTCTGTGATAGCACTACACTCAGTTTCTGGTCAAATTCTGATTTACATAATTTAATTAGGAGTGGTTTGAGAAAAATTTCTCAAAATTAATATATCTAAGAAATTTTTCTATGAGGACTTCTGTATTTCATTGAAATTTTTTTTGTGCTTATTATTTTTATTTTTTTTTAATAATAAATTTCATTTTTATATTCCCCATACAATTGCAGCCCCCCCATTCTGACCCCAATCCCTCCCCTCCCGCCCCTCACCCCCCCAAAAAGTGTCTCTGGTTCATAGTTTTTTGTTGATTTTGATTTTCACTTTCTTATAGTTATTCATTTTCCTGGTCCCTTATTTAAGTTTTCTAGATTCCTGCTATGAGTGAGACCATCCGGTATTTTTCTTTTTCTTTTTGGCTTATTTCGCTGAGCATGATCCCTTCCAGCGCCATCCATGTTGCTGCAAATTGCATGTGTTTATCTTTTTTGAATGCTGAGTAATATTCCATGGTATATATGTACCACATCTTCTTGATCCAGTCATCTATTTTTGGGCATTTGGGTTGTTTCCAAAGCTTAGCTATTGTAAACAGTGCTGCTATAAACATAGGGGTGCAGGTGTTCTTTGGAATGGATGTTTCTGTGTCCTTTGGGTAAAGACCTAGGAGTGGAATTGCTGGATCATATGGAAGCTCTATGTTTAGTAGGTCCAGAAATCTCCACACAGCTCTCCACAGTGGTTGGACCAGTTTGCACTCCCACCAACAGTGCAGAAGAGTTCCTTTTTCTCCACACCCTCGCACATTTGTTGTTGCTAGTTTTTTTAATATGTGCCATTCTCACTGGTGTAAGATGGTATCTCATGGTAGTTTTGATTTGCATTTCCCTGATTACAAGTGATGTTGAACATTTTTATTTCATTGAAATTTTTTTCTTCAGTCTCTCCCTCCAGTACCCATAGGTCCCGTCTCTACTCAATTTGTTATACAGATGTCTTGGGAAATAGTGAAGTTAAAAAAAATTTAAAAAATTTTCTGTGAATACTAAAAATCTTACATCCTAAATACACATATGATGCAATTTTTAAAACTGTGTATTCTACAGCTCTATTTGCTTCTGGGTGGTTGAGTCATTAAAGCCATCCTTCCAGTATAACTTGAAGATTTAGGAGCAAGTTCCTGACTGCTGTTTGTTTTCTGAAAATGACAGATTTCTTTGGCTGTGCTTTTGACCTCTTCTGTTAGTTTTCTGAGTTCTAGGCTGTGTACCTCCATTTGCTCTTGGTAAGATCATGAGAGTAGCATGAACAGAAGTAGAGGATGATAGCATATCTTTAATAAATAATCAAAATGTGTTTTTAGCTATACATACTGACTTTTTAAAATCACCTTCTGTCCTCCAGATTGTATATATATAGCAGTACAGGCCCATACCTACTAAAAAGAAAAACCTCAAATAATCTAACCTTACATCTTAAGGAACTAGAAAAGGAAGAACAAACAAAACCAAAACCTAGTAGAAAAAAAGAAGACAAATTGCAGCAGAAATAAATGAAGTAGAAATGAAAACGATAGCCTAAAAGAGCAATGAAATAAAAAACTGTATTTAAAAAAAATAAAATAGATAAACACACACACATGTACACGGACAAATGTACACCCACCCACTCCAGGGAGAAAACTCTAATAAATAGAATCATAAATGAAAGAGAAGTAACAACAGATATCTCAGAAATATAGGTGACCATAAGAAGATCTATATGACAATAAATTGAATAATCTAGAAGAAAGGGACAATTCCTTAGTGGTATATATTGTACAACCTTCCCAGACTGAATCAGGAAGAAATAGACAACCTGAACAGACCCAATTATAAGCAAGGAAATTGAAGCAATAATCAAGGCTCCCAACACAACAAAAGCCCAGTACCAGGCAGTTTTACGAATTATCAGAGTAACTAATACCTCTCCTTCTCAAACTCTTCCCAAAAAAATTGAGAAAAAGGGAATGCTTCCAAACACATTTCATGAGACCAACATTACCCTCATAGCAAAATCAGACACAAAAAAAGTACAGACCAATTTCTTTGAAGAAGATACATGCAAAAATCATCAACAAAATCTTTGTAAACTGAATTCAACAACGCATTAACAGAAAATTACATCATGATGCAAATAAAATGTGCATAAAAAATTCAACATCCAAAAATCAATGTAATTCACTACATCAAAAAAAGGAAAGAGGGTCTCCCGGGTGGCGCAGCGGTTGAGCGCTGGGCTGCGAAGCTGCTGCAGCCTCTGCAGCGCCGGTTCGATCCCTGGCCACTGGCGAGGGTCCCACATTGCGTGAAGACCTCTCCTGTCATGCCCACTGCTCCCCTCAGTAGTGTGCTTCGTCAGTCTGCCTGTTCTGCTCCCCACTCCAGCTCTGGTGAATTCTCTCACCCTCCCACCTTTCTAAGACTGTACCCAGTGCTTGTATAAATAAATAAATAAATCTTTAAAAAAAAGAAAAGAAAGATAAAAATCATATGATTATTTTAATAGGTACAGAGAAAGTATTTGATAAGATTCAACATCCATTTATGATAAAACTCTTAAAAATGGAGGTAGAGTAACATACATTAACATAATAAAGGCCATATATGACAAACCCACAACTAACATAATGGTGAAAAACTGAGTACTTTCCTCTAAAATCAAGTAAAAGACAAGGATGTCTACTTTGACTACTACCATTCAATATCGTATTGGTAGTCTTAGCTAGAGCAAACAGCAAGAAAGATATTAAAGTAATCCAAAATGGGAAAAAAGTAAAACTATCTCTATTTGGAGACAATTTGATAATATACATAGAAAACCCTAAGAAGGCCACTAAAAAAAAAAAATTAGGAACAATTAGTAAAATAAATGAGGCTACAAAATCTCATCCACAGAAATAAATTGTGTTCTTTTATGCAAATAATGAACTAGAAAGAAAGAAACCAAGAAAACATTCCCTTTTACTATTGCATCAAAAAGTCCTAAATACCTAGGCATAAACTCAAAGTGAAAATTCTTAAGACACTGTGAAAAGAAATAGAAGACGAAATGGAAAGATATTCTCTGTTCATGGATTGGAAGAATTAGCATTGTTAAAATGTCCATCTTACTGAAAACAATATACAAATTCAATGAAATCCCTATCAAAGTTTCAATGATATTCTAGAACTAGAACAAACATTACTGATATCATATGGAACCACAAAAGACCCCAAATAGCCAAAAGAAATCCTGACAAAAAAGAGGAAGAAGAGAGGTATCACATCTGGATTAAAAACTGTACTACAAGGCTATAATACCCAAACATGTATGGTACTGAAATAAAAATAGACACACAGACAAATGGAATAGTGAGACCCCAGAAATAAACCCACACTTATATGAATAGTTAATCTATGACAAGGGAGTGAAGAGTACATATTGAAGAAAGTCTCTTCTACAAATGGTGCTGGGAAAACTGGATAACCACATGCAAAAGAATGAAAATAGACCATTATCTCCAACTTACACAAAAATTAATTAAAAATACAATAGGCATAAGACCAGACCATAAAATACATATAAGAAAAGATAGGAACAACATCTGCCTCAGTGATGTTTAGGAACTTAACTCCTACAACAAGGACACAAAAGCAAAAGTAAACAGATGATACCACATCAAGATAAAAAGCTTCTGCATAGTGGAAGAAACTATCATTAAAAAACCCACTGAGGCAACTCTCCTGCCTGCTGCCTCTCTTTTTCTTTCTCCCTTTCCTAATAAACTTATCCTCTTAAAATGTACCTTTGAAAAAACCCCACTGAATGGCAGGAATAAAATTGCACATCATACACCTGACAAGGGACTGATACCACAGATCTCCAGACCCATACTACTCAACAAAAAGAAAACAACCCAATCAAAAAATGTGCAGAAGATTAAAAGACACTTTTCCAAAGAAGCAGCCATATGGGCACGTGAAAAAATGCTCATCATCTCTTATGAGGGAGGTGCAAATCAAAACCACAATGAAATATCATCTCACACCTGTGAGAATGACCCATATCAGAGTCCAGAAAGAAGGGTTGTTGAGGATGTGGTGAGAAAGGAATTCTCCTACATTGTTGGTGTGAATATAGATTGGTTTGGCCCCTATCCAAAGCAGTACAGAGGTTTCTGAAAAGATTAAAAATAGATCTGCCATACAACCCAAGAATTCCACTTCTAGGTATCTATCCAGATATTACAAAAACACTAATTTGAAAGGAAACTTGCAATCCCATGTTTATCGCAGCACTATTTACAATAGCTAGGAAATAGCCTGAGTGCCCAAAACAGATGAGTAGATCAAGAAGATGTGGCATATATACAATGGAATACTACTCAACAGTCAAAAAAAGATAAACTCATGCCATTTGTGGCTACTTGGATGGAGATGGAAGGGATTATTCTAAGTAAAATAATCCAGAAGGAGAAAGATAAATACCAGATGGTGTCACTTATATGTGGAATATAGAGAAATGAAACAAAGGGTCAAAGACAAACTTTAAAGCTAACCCTTGAACTGACCATAGAACTGAGGCATCTGGAGGGATGAGATATAGGGGAGTAGGAACAGGTTGGTGAGAGACCAGTGAACTATTGTGGACAACTATGGATGTTTGGTGGTGGCTACTATATGGTGACTGTACCTGAGTGGGAAAATCCCATACTACCAAAACACTAACAAAGATATAAACCAATAAAACCAAACAAAAAAAATAGGAATCTGACTATAAAACTGGAGCTACCAAATGGAAAGGAAATGGGAGGAAGTGTCACAATGGATTATGGTGGAGACCTGTGGGGCCTTGATATAGTGTGGTAGCATAGACTTGAGGAGGTGGGGATCAGTATTTCTGAATCATGCACAGTGTTGCATACCAGTGTTACCTTAGTAAAAAAAAAAAATTACTAACCGTGCTGGAAGGGATCAGGCTCAGCGAAATAAGCCAAAAAGAAAAAGAAAAATACCGGATGGTCTCACTCATAGCAGGAATCTAGAAAACTTAAATAAGGGACCAGGAAAATGAATAACTACAAGAAAGTGAAAATCAAAATCAACAAAATACTATGAACCAGAGACACTTTTTGGGGGTGGGGGGTGGGAGGGGAGGGATTGGGGTCAGAATGGGGCGGTTGCAATTGTATGGGGAACATAAAAATAAAATTTATTATTTAAAAAAAATAAAATTAAGAGAATACAAAGGTGAGATACAAAAAAAAAAAAAATTACTAACCAGAAAACCTCTTTATCTTTGGTCCTCAGTTAAAAGAAAATTAAAATTTTGGCAAACTTGCATTTTGTTGGCCTATAAGTTTCTGAATTAAAATTTTTCTGATGAAATCAGTGGTAGTATTATTGAATGAATATATCAACATTTGGGAGCTCTGAATTATTCAATGAATAATATTTTTCCAGTAACCATACAGCTATTGTATACTAACATAGATAAAGAATATGTCAGAGTTAAAGATAGACCTATAGATTTTAAAGTAAGAGAATGTGAACATTTCTTTGATATGGTTTAGATTCCCCATTGCAACTAACCTTTGAAATACTTCCACTGTTGAGTTCTAAGATAATAACAAAGAACACCACAATTATCTGAAAAGTATGATACTCCTGTATTTTCTATCCATGTATCTGTATGAGAACAGAGTCTCAGGGTGTTACAGGAGATTGAATGCAGAAGCAGATGTAATAATGAGAATATAGCTGTTTTCTCTTAAGCAAAAATTATAGATTTTCACATATTTATTTACATAGAAATGGTTCCTTTTCATAATCGTTCTTTAAGTTTACATATAACACAGCAAATGTTGTATTTCACCAATTAATAAATATTTTCTCAACTTTCATTTCTGTTATACTATGTCAACAGATGTAACAGAAATAAAAGCACTTTGATGCCCTCAAAATAAATAACATTGGATTCAGAGTTCTTTATAATTGGTAAAAGGTTAATCAGAATACACTTCCCTGTAGTTTATTTATGTGGTTACATATTGACATAGTTCTCATATATTTTATGGTAATATTTTAAGTTCTAGGTGAAAACAGATGTTAATGTACTTACTAACTGTAGAGTTTGGACTGCGTGAAAAGCTTATATAGAAATCACTTAACATTAGTAGTTTTAGCCAATGGCTCACATGTTATCATTTTTTTTTAATTATAAAATGCAAACTTGTGGTAAAAAAAAAATGGGTATAGAACCTAAAACTAAAATCAGTAATACTTTTGTACTTCTACTAGTCCCACTACCTGAGAGTATAAGTATTAAGAATTTACTTTTCAAGTTTGTTCAATAAATGGTGCTGGGAAAACTGGGTCGCTACATGCAAAAGAATGAAGCTTGACCACTACCTCACACCATACACAAAATCAACTCAAAATGGATTAAAGAACTAGACATAAGACCTGAAACCATAAAATACATAGAAGGAAATACAGGCAAAACACTACGTGATATTCACATCAAAGACATCTTTACAGACACATCACCCAAAGCAGTGATAGTGAAGGCAAAGATAAACAGCTGGGACTACATCAAATTAAAGAGCTTCTGCACAGCAAAAGAGACAATAACAAAAACAAAGAGAAACCCCACCAACTGGGAGAACATTTTTGCACACAACACTAATGATGAAGCACTGATCACAAAAATCTGCAAAAAGCTGATGAGACTCAACAACAACAAAGAAAATAATCCAGTCAAAAAATGGGCAGAAGAGCTAAAAAGAAACTTCTCTGAAGAGGAAATGCAAATGGCCAACAGGCATATGAAAAAGTGTTCAACATCACTTGTAATCAGGGAAATGCAAATCAACACTACCATGAGATACCATCTTACACCAGTGAGAATGGCACATATTAAAAAAACTAGCAACAACAAATGTTGGCGAGGGTGTGGAGAAAAAGGATCTCCCCTGCACTGTTGGTGGGAGTGCAAACTGGTCCAACCACTGTGGAGAGCTGTGTGGAGATTTCTGGACCTACTCAACATAGAGCTTCCATATGATCCAGCAATTCCACTCCTAGGTATTTACCCAAAGGACACAGAAACATCAATTCCAAAGAACACCTGCACCCCTATGTTTATAGCAGCACTGTTTACAATAGCTAAGCTTTTGAAACAGCCCAAATGCCCAAAAATAGATGACTGGATCAAGAAGATGTGGTACATATACACCATGGAATATTACTCAGCATTCAAAAAAGATAAACACATGCAATTTGCAGCAACATGGATGGCGCTGGACGGGATCATGCTCAGCGAAATAAGCCAGAAAGAAAAAAGAAAAATACCGGATGGTGTCACTCATAGCAGGAATCTAGAAAACTTAAATAAGAGACCAGGAAAATGAATAACTATAAGAAAGTGAAAATCAAAATCAACAAAAAACTATGAACCAGAGACACTTTTTGGGAGGTGGGGCGTGGGAGGGGAGGGATTGGGGTCAAAATGGGGGGGTTGCAATTGTATAGGGAATATAAAAATAAAATTTATTATTTAAAAAAATAATAAATAAAAAAAATAAAAATAAAAATAAAAAATAACCCAGTGGGTATAGGGAATAGTCTGTAGTTTGATTGTGTTGGTTATATGATGTATATATTTATTCCAAAGTGCTTGAATTGTATACATTAAAAACTGGTGAATGCAAAAAAAAAATTGAAAATAGGATTATTTTATGATCTAGGGGTGAAAAAAAAATTTACTTTTCAAAGAGTTTCAAGTAGAAATTTCACGGTGAAAGTTGTGGCTGCTTGGAAAATGTTCACAAGTACATATTTCAGTGTTATTTATTCTTTATCTTAGATTTCTGCTCCTAATGAATTTGATGTTATGTTCACATTGGAAATGCCCAGAATTCAGCTAGAAGAATATTGCGACAGTGGTACTCATTACTTAGTGAAGTTCAAAAGAATTCCCAAAGGAAATCCTCTGAGTGAGTTTTTAGAAAAAGAAGTATTATCAGCTTCTAAGATGCTGTCCAAGTTTCGGACAATCATTAAGGAAGAAATTAAAAACATTCCAGGTAAGAATTTTTATTTGAATCTCATAGGTCTACTCTGCCTACTAACTGATAATGTACCCATTCCCTTGGTGATCTTTAAACAGCCCTCTGCAATAGACTGTTGACCACTCCTTCCTAGAAACTCTTTGCTTTCAATTTTAGTCTTGTACTTCAATATTAATGTTGGCTCTGTTTTGATCTTCACAGAATTTTCACTGAACTGTTGCTGCCTGTGCTACTGGGTATATGTGGTTGAATAAAATTTGTGGGATCTCCTCTTTGAGCTTGTAGTATTACACAAATTGCAGTGAGTGCTCTGGAGAGAATGAACTGGGAAAAGTGATGGTAGAGGGTTGTAGTGGGATTGTGGAACAAGGTCCTGAGGCAGAACAGTGCTTCGCAAACTCAAGGAAGAAAAAGAGACCCCTGTAGACAAGGGAAGAGTGACACCAAATGAAGTTGGAGAAATGACAGGGAACCAAAGTCTGAGGAACTGTAGATGCTGGAAAGGAATTCAGATTTTATTCTATGTTCATTGAAAAGCCAGGTTACATTAGGGAGTAATGGTTGGCTTTGCATTTTAAAAGTTTACAGTATTCTGTGGTTTTGTTCTATTTTGTGGTTTTGTTTTCTACTTGTGGTCAACCATAGTCCAAAAATATTTTGTGCAATGTTTTGAGTGAGGGAGGGGGAGATACTATATTCATATAACGTTTCTTTCAATATTTCTATTTTATCACATTGTGTTAATCTTTTAACTGTACCTAATTTATAAATTAAAATATTATATGTATGAGTAGGAAAAAGTATAGAATAAGTAGGGCATATGGTATATATAGTCTATAGTATATATATAAGTATACATGTGGTTTTAGGCATCCACCAGGGTCTTGGAACACATGGAGAAGCAGGAACTACTGTATTTAAAATTCAGTGCAAAAGATAGTGTAAGAAGGAGAATATTCTGATAGTTCAGGTGAAAGATGGGGGTTGCTTAGCTGGGAGTGGGGGTGGAGTGCAAAAGGATAGAAAGGATCAGACACACCCACATTGTAGCACTGCTCACTTCTGGGTTAAATGTAGGGGTTCCAACAGAGGATTGAGTTAAAGATAGCTTCCTGGTTTCTGGATTGGACACCTGTTCTGGGTTGATTGCGTCATTTTCTAAGGTGGGGAGGACTGAGGAGGAACATTTTGGGGTATGAACAAAGACTTTAGTTATGGATATGTTAGAGATTCCCATGGTACCGTGAAGTAAATGTGTCACATACGTAGTTAGATATGAGTTTGAAGTTCAAGTGATATGTTTGGGCTGCTTGTAAACATATAAGTAGCACTGGGAATGAGTGAGATACCTAGGCAAAGAATGTATATTCATTTCTTTGTTAATTTAATCAATACGTATTGAACATCCAATATACCAGGTGTTCTAGGTGTTTGGAATTCATTAATAAACAAATAAATGGAGGCCCCTACCCTTCTCTGTCTTATAATCAAGTAAGGACAGCCATGTTTAATAACAATTAGAAAAAATATATTGTGTACTAGAATATAGTAAGTGCTATGATGAAAAAATGTGGCAAAGTAATGGCTGGAGGGATCAGGGGATAGGGCTGGGGGAAAATTACAATGTTAAGTAGAGTGGTAAGAAGAAGATCCCATTAGAAGTTGGGGAGAAGACCCCACTCTGTCTCTGGTGAATCCTCTCACCCCCCATCTCTGGCCTACACCCCAGTTCTTGTATGTATAAATAAATAAATCTTTTTTTTTTTTTTTTTTTTTTAATAAATAAATCTTTAAAAAAAAGAAGTTGGGGAGAGGAGAAGGAATAAAGGACAATGACCATTTTGCAGAAGGATTTGTAAGTGGTTAGAATGCTGCTGACATCCAGAAAACCACTGAATTTGCTCTTTGGTTTAGCAGTTTCAGTGGGTTATAGTTAAAATATAGAGAAAGGGCAGGGATGGAGTAGAGACAGCATGAGGCAGCAACTCTTCAGAAAGGTTTTGACTGAGAAGGAAGTAGAAAATGAGTAAGTATTGGAAAGAAAGCTGATGTAGAGTGGAAGGAAGGGTATAATTTAGAGAGGGAGACACTGGAACCCTTTGTATGCAGGTAGGCATGATCCAATAAGGATGGGGAGGCCACTGATGCAAGAGAGGAAATAACTGAAGCACCAAGGTGCTTGAGATGAAAAGGAGGGATCCAGAGACAGTGTGTGATGGTGGTTTTTAGGGGTAAAAGGAGGAAGAAGGATATAATGGTTAAGAAGTATGGGCCTTCCTGGTGGCATAAGGGTTAAGTCTCAGCACTATGAAACTATCTGCCGCGGACCAGCACAGCGGTAGACTAGCAAGGCCAACTCAGGGATGAGAAACTGTGCAGGGTGGTCAAGGATTCGGCTCATAAATGACAGACAGACACACTTCAGAAGTGAAAATCTGACTGTAATGTGCTCAAATCATTATGCATTTTTATACATTTTCAAACAGCATTAGGTTACATAAGATCAACAAAAGATGATATCAATCATAAATGACATAAGTGATATATTTTCTTATTTTTTATAAAAGCTGTGTGCAGTGTTCCATAGCAAGGTACAGAATACAATTTTTTAATGATGCTTACAAGAAACTAAGCGTATGTGATTAACCATACATGAAGTGTAACTATGGCTACATTATTTCCAAACCTGTTTTTCTTGTTCTATACAAGTACCTTGATTTCCCTGGCAACGTGTTTCCACATCATAGACTTCTAAAACCATATTGAAATATTAGCTTTACTGTGCACTAAATATGAAATCCATGGCGACCCTAACTCTTTGATTCTGTTCCTAAGTTTAGATGTCTTTTAGTTAATTTATTAACTATTCTTTTACTATTCGGGTAAGTTCCAGTATATAATGTAGGCTCGTCAGTAGGTTATGTGACTGAATTCTCTCCAAGACTACCTTGAAGTGGTTGCCATGGACGTTGTCCAATAACACAAATCTCTAAGTGAGGTCTTGACTGTTGGGGGAAGTTTCCCAGCTACATTCTGTAATTGTTTTTTTTTTTTTTTAAAGATTTATTTATTTATGCATACAAGAGCTGGGGTACAGGCCAGAGATGTGGGGGCAGGGGTAAGAGGATTCACCAGAGACATAGTGGGGAACAGAACAGGCAGACTGACTGAAATACACTGCTGAGGGGAGCAGCGGGCGGCAGGAGAGGTCTGCGCGCCATGTGGGACCCTCCTCCAGTGGCTGGGGAGCAGCTGGGGATCGAACCAGTGCTGCAGAGGCTGCGGGCAGCTTCGCAACCCAGCGCTCAACCGCTGCGCCACCGGGGAGGCCCCTGTAATTGTTTTTTTATGAGCCTCTTCTCATGAAACAAGAGGATTACAGTTATTAAAAGAATTAAAGAAAAGTTGTTCATAACCAGACAAGTTAACAGAGAAAAATTAACACCATTACCAGATATATTCCTAAGAGTCAGGAAATGAACAGACAAAGGGTTATTTGCATTGCTACGCAGGAAAAGTGAACATATTGTAAGCATAACTTTCAGCAACAATCTTCTCAGGATCCAATGTGTTATCCGCAGTAATCTGGGGGTTTGAGGCGTTCCTCCCCCGTGCACGGTGCCTTGACTGCTCCGAACATCAAGGACTAGATTGTTATCACTTGAGTTCTGCCGCGGGAGGGGGCGCCGCAGCTATCCACAGCCACTGCAGCACAAGTTGGATCCCCAGCCAGGGAGATTACCCACATGGCACAGCAGACCTCTCCTGTCTGGCCCGCTGCTCCCCTCAGCAGTGTATTTCAGTCAGTCTGCCTGTTCTGGTCCCCACTCTGTCTCTGGTGAATCCTCTCACTCCCGACACCTCTGTCCTACACCCCAGCTCTTGTATGCATAAATAAATAAATCTTTTTTAAAAAAGAAGTAGACAGGTGCAAACATTATTTAGTGATGAGAAAATGAGGATATTTTCTAGGGTTTTCTTTTCTTTTTTTTCCCTTTTTTTGTATTTTTTCTTTTGAGGCTCTGTCTTCTCTCATTATAGGTCCTTCCAGAAGTCTTTTCTGGGCGTGATCTTTAATACTGCTTGTACACCCCAAGTTCCAAAATCAGTGTCTTACATGTAGAGGCCTTTCCCAAAATTTTGACTATCATAGCCACCTACCCAGGGGCTGTCTCTACTTAGGTATCCCACAGCATCCTAGATTTCAGTGTGTCTAAAATGGAGTTCCGCTAGGCATGATCTTTCTTCCTTTTGCTTTGTCTGCATTAGAGAATGAATCAACAGCAACTATTTCATTTTTTTAAAAAGATTTATTTATTTATGCATGCAAGAGCTGGGGTACAGGCCAGAGGTGTAGGGGTGAGAGGATTCACCAGAGACAGTGTGGGGAACAGAACAGGCAGACTGACCAAAGTACACTGCTGAGGGGAGCAGTGGGTGAGTCAGGAGAGGTCCGTAGTGCCATGTGGGTTGCTCCCTGGCTAGCCAGGAATCAAACTCGTGTTGCAGTGGCCGAGGATTGCCTCATAGGTTGCATCTCAATCCTTGTGCCATCAGGGAGGCCCAACACCAACTATTTCTGAGACCAAAATCCTGGGATGGCATACGAGACTCATACCTCCTTCCTTACCTCACAGATTCAGTCCAAATACCAGTTCTGTTGATTTGAACCTCTTTAATTGTTCTCGCTTCTGCTACCTATGCCAATTTTAGAAGTAAAAATTGTGTATATTTAAGGTGTACTTCACAGAGTGTTGATACAATCACTGAAAATTTAACACAGTGAAGCTAATTAACATACTTCTCACACAGAACCTTTTTTTTTTCTGGTGTATAGTTAAGAGTCTTTTAGCAAATTTCCAGTATTCAATGTGGTAGAAATAACTGTAGTCATCATGCTATACATTAGGTCAGATCTGTGGACTTATTCACCCTCCCTAACTGCAACTTTACACCCTTTGACCAATGTCTTCCCCTTTTCCCCAACTCTTTCTGCCCCTGGTAACCACCGTTCTACACTTTGATTCTATATAAGGATTTCTTTGACTTACCATGGTTTATGTCTCAATGAACCTACCATAAGTGAAAATGTACTTAATATGCTTAACCTATCAAACATTATAGCTTAACCTAGCCTATTTTAAGCATATTCCCAATGCAGTGTGGCAAAATCATCAAACACAAAGGCTATTTTATTAAAAAGTGTTGAATTTCATGCAATTTATTGAACCGTTTTTTTTTTTTCTCTCTTATTTTTATTGAATACTAAAAGTGAAAAACAGAATGGTGGTATTTGGTTTTTTTTTTTAAATATTTATTTATTTGTTTGTTTGTTTATTTATTTATACAAGAACCAGGGTGCAGGCCAGAAGCACGGGAGGGTGAGAGGATTCACCAGAAACAGAGCAGGAAACAGAACAGGCAGACTGATGAAATACACTGCTAAGGGGAGCAGCAGGCAAGACAGGAAAGGTCTGCAGCACCATGTGGGACCCTTGCCCGCAGGCCGGGATCTAACCGGCGCTGCAGAGTCAGCGGACAGCTTCACAGCACGTCACAGCGCATCACTCAATAGCCTGCGCCACCAGGGGAGGCCCCAGAATGGCGGTATTTGATCTCACTGTATTTGACCTCACCGTTAACATACACAGCTGAAAGCATTATTATAAAGTTGAAAAATCGTAAGTTAAAACATATTTATTCAGGGATCATTTGTATTTGACTTTTTTAGATTCCACAATCAGGTGAGATCATGTAGTATTTGCCTTGCTGAGTTTAACTTATTTCACTTCGTGTAATGTTCTCCAGTTTCTTTCATGTTGTGGCAAATGGCAGGGTCTCCTTTCTTTCTTTCTTTTTTTTTTTTTTTGGTTAAAGATTGATTTATTTATACATACAAGCATGGGTACAGTCAGAAGTGCGGGAGGGTGAGAGAATTCACCAGAGCCAGAGCAGGGAGCAGAACAGACAGAATGACGAAACACACTGCTGAGGGGAACAGTGGGCCTCAGGAGAGGTCTGCGTGCCATGTGGGACCCTCAGCTGGTGGCCAGGGATGGAACTGGCGCTGCAGAGGCTGCAGGCAGCTTCGCAACCCAGCGCTCAACCGCTGCGCCACCGGGGAGGCCCTCTTTCTTTACAAGAGCTGGGGTACAGGCCAAATGTGCAGGAGGGTAAGAGGATTCACCAGAGATAGAGTGGGGAACAGAACAGGCAGACTGATTGAAATACACTGCTGAGGGGAGCAGTGGGCAAGACAGGAGAGGTCTGCTGCACCATGTTGGTAGCTCCTTCGCTGACCAGGGATCAAACTCGTGCTGCAGAGGCTGTGGATTGCTTCATACTGCCTTGCTTTACCCCTTGCGCCACCAGGGAGACCCAGGGTCTCCTTTCTTGGACTGAGTAATTCCACTGTATATTATAAACCACAATTTTTTACCCATTCATCCATCAATGGACACTTAGGTTGTTTCCGTCTCTGACTAATGTAAATAGTGCTGCAATAAACATAAGTTATTTTCTGGGCCCTAGTGCTCAGTGCCTCTGTGTTAGCACAGGTGCCCACTCTGTGCTGGGCTGTTCTGTGGTCTCCATTACCCTTCTCCTCATCATTGTGCTCACACCTCTCTCCTCTCTGACACTCATTTGGCCTTCTTTTCAGATTCTCATCAAACTGCCATCTATAAATTTAAAGGAAAATTTAATCCCAAATGCCAGAGTCTTCAGGGGCTCCTCAGTATATTTCAGGCAATCTTGATAATGCTTATCCTCACAAGTTAGGTATCAGTTATACATTTTGCTTAGTGGGTGGTTTCTATTTTAGAAGTGACTTAACATCTTACACTTAGCACTTTATTTTTTTAAGATTTATTTATTTATGCATACAAGAGCTGGGGTACAGGTTAGAGATGTGGAGGGTGAGAGGATTCACCGGAAACAGAATGGGAACAGAACAGGCAGACTGAAATACACTGCTGAGGGGAGCAGCGGGTGAGTCAGGAGAGGTCTGCTGCGCCATGTGGTTTCTCCCTGGCTGGCCAGGGATAGAACTTGTGCTGCAGAGGCTGCGAATTGCTTTGTAGTGCGGTGCTTAACACCTTGCACCACCAGGGAGGCCACACTTAGCACTTTATAGATCCCCAATTATAGTCATATTATTTTCTGTGTGTTACCAGAGAAAATTGGATCAATAAGCCCTTTCTTGCCTTTTATGCATTTCAACAGGTACAGATATCACTCTGGAGAGGAAGAAGAGAGGGAGCCCTGCTGTAACACTTCTTATTAGAAACCCTGAGGAAATATCTGTGGATATAATCCTGGCTTTGGAATCAAGAAGTGCTTGGCCAGCTTGCACTGGGGAAGGCCTCCCCATCAAAACCTGGCTTGGAGCCAAAGTTAGGACCAGTCTAAGACGGCAGCCATTTTACCTGGTACCCAAGCATGCAAAAAACGAAAATGGTTTTCAAGGTATTTTGAATGTGGAAATTAAAGACATATGAAAGAGATATTAATATTTTATACTAGGACAGTAAAAGATCAGACGCTGGTGTTGGCATTCCAAGAGTTATCCAGGCTGAATGTTTTGCAAGATTTTATGCCTCTGTTGGTGAGTGGTCCCAACACCCTTGAATTAAGATGAAAGTGGAGTCTGGTGATGGGTGCTCATCTCTCCTCTGTTCTTTGTTAACCATAGCTAATTTCCATCTCCCATCATTCCAGTTTATATTCAGACAAAGCCTTGCCTGTGTATGTGTGTGCACGTGCATTTGAGAAACTGAACACAGGGGCACATTAGCAATGAAAAACTTGACTACATTAGTAGTACTTATAACACCTACTTTAACTTTCTCTTTCCAAACATTTTACCATGAGATTCCTGGTATCATAAGCTATATTTTAAAAAATATAATTTGTTTGATGTTGAATTCTGTACCTGTTTCAAAATGATACCAGTGTTGTTACCAAAATGATAGTTATAAAAAATAGCAAGTAGTAAGGTTTTTTGCATCTTTTTTTACTTAAAAGATCAGTTAAAGTAATCAAGTTTAAACTCACTTGATAAAACTTTGTATATGTGTATATATACATATCTCATTAGTTTAGATTCATTTCTATAATATTTTGGAAGAATTAAAACTTTGAGCATGTGAGGGGGAAATAAACTCACACGAAAGGATATTTTTATTTATTTTTTTAAGATTTATTTATTTATGCATACAAGAGCTGGGGCACAGGCCAGAGATGCAGGGGGTAAGAGGATCCACCAGAGACAGGGTGGGGAACAGAACAAGCAGACTGACTGAAATACACTGCTGAGGGGAGCAGCGGGCGAGACAGAAGAGGTCTGCCTCACCATGCGGGCTTCTCCCTAGCCGACCAGGACGAACTCATGCTGCAGAGGCTGTGGATTGCTTCATCGTGCGGTGCTTAACCCCTTGCGTCACCAGGGAGGCCCAAGAAAGGATGCTTTTAGGTGGTTGAACTACTCAACAGTTATAGTCAGCTGTTTCTTTGTGGTTTCTAATTTTAGCTATTGGTTTTTAAATTTTCATTTAATTTTGTTTCATAAATTCATAAAGCATTCACATAGTTCCAAAATCTAAGTTACAGAAAAGATGTTCTTAAAGAAGCAACTTCCATTTGTGTCCCCTCCACACTTTTATGTCCTTCCCCGATCAGTAACCCCTTTAATTTTTTTTGGTTTTCTTTTCATTTTAAGAAAAAAAGTAAATACATAATGTATATTCATTTTCCACTCTTCTTTTTGGATAAAATGTAGACCTTTTTCTCCTTTTAAGATATATTGGCTATCATACCAGAGCTCTACAGAGAGCAAATACCCATTCCTTTTTACAGACTATTTTTACATCTGGTTAATGAATAAATCCACGTATAATTTTGCTTGATATTGCTAGTATCACTACATTAGGGATTGTATCAGTGTACATTTCCACAGTAATGAATGAGAGTGCCTACTTTATCCTTGGCCTTAGCAACAGAACTCATTAAACTTCAGAATTTTTGTCAAAAATCCAAAAAGTGAGAAATGATATCTCAATATAGTTTTAAAAAATAACTGAATTTTAGAATAATTTTAGATTTACAGAATATTTGCAAAGATAGTAGAGTTTCCCTCTATTCCATACCGGTTTCGCTATTATTAACATCTTATATTAATATATTTGTCACAATTAATAAACCAATATTGATACAGTATTGTTAACTAAAGTCCATACTTTATTCAGTTTTTCTTTTTTTTTTAAATTGAGGGAACATTGGTTTACAAAACTGTATCATTCAGGGGTATAGGATCACATCCTTTGTGCATATGTTACCATACCACACCCACTCCGAAGGCACCCATAGTCCTCCATGTAGTCCATTGTGTCTGCTCCCCACTTTGCCTACTCCCTCTTCCTCCCTCTCTGGTAGACTCAGTTCTATAGTTTTTCCTTAGTTTCTACCTAATGTTTTTATTTTCCTGTTCCAGAATCCCAGCCATAATATTACATTATATTTCGTCATCATGTCTCCTTGGAGTCTCTTTACTCTCCCAGCTTTTCATTGTTTCTTTCCTTTGATGATTGAGATCGGTTTGAGGAGTGCTAATTGTGTTATTTTTAGAATGTCCCTCATTTGGCATGTGTATGATATTTTTGTTATGGTTAGACAGTTTTGAGGTGGAATACCACAGAGGTAAAGTTCCATTGCCATCATATGTCAAGGATATATGCCATGAAATTGATTTTGCACTACTATGTTGACCTTGATCCACTGACTGAGGTAGTATTTGTCAGGTTTTTCCACTGTTAAGTTGCTCTTCTCCCCACTTTTCGTACTGGACTGTTTGGGAGGTATCACTGCATGGCACACACTTAAGTATTTTGGATTTATGTGTACCTCTTTAAGAGCAGAGTATTTATGCAAATTATTTGGAATTCTTCATCATAATAGATTTGCCTCTCCTTCCCATTTATTAATCATTTATATCAGAAGGAACTCATGGATATTTAGACTATAATCCAAAAATATTTTATTGCTTAAATGGTCCTGCTTTGGCCTTTAGGAATCCTCTCAATCAGTTCCTGTGTCCTTTTCACATGCCCCCTGTAATTGTGGAGCTATTCTTAAATTTTAAGCACTAACTCACCTTTTGGCACCTTTATGCTCCAGACTCATCTTGTATATTTATTGCTCCAGTCCTAGAATCAACCATATTTCAAGGACCCTGGGTGCTTTTATTGCAGAATGTACTATATACCAAGATCTGGGTGTTATGTATTCGCTACTACTAACTAGGGTGTTATCACTCAGCTGGAGGAGCAAGGAAATATCTGTCTACTAACCCATATATATACACATACTATAGCTATTTTGTTTTTTGCCCCCTACCTACCTCCTTCCTCTGTAACTCTTTCTTTATGTAATCCCCTGTCTATATTGTTATACATGAGCTCACTATAATTTCTTATCACTTGGATCATTCTGCCTTCAGTTCTTGCTGTCTATAACCTTTAATTACAGCAGTGAAAAACATGATTCCCGCCCTTTGCCAATTGTTACCTTAAATTGTGCAGATCCAGTATATTTGTATAGTTGGTTTAGAATTGTAAATCCATATCAACTAGAGTATAGGGTTGATGTACAGTTAGTTCCTTTTTCCTTCTGTCTTTCCGACACCATTTATTTCCAAATAGCTTAAGTCAGCTTAAGCACTTACTTCAGAGAGCTTGTTTCATACATGTGTAATTCAGTTAGTCTCCCTATTCCCAGCCTGCATTATTTCCTAGGATTCTTTGACCCCCTAAATGATTTTAAATTTACATATGTTAACTTTCACTCTTCATGCTATAAATTTCTACTGGTTTTGCCAAATGCTAGTTATCATAATAATTCCATTAACCTTACATAATAATTCCATTCCATAATAATTCCATTAACCTTCCATAATATTTCCATTAACCTAAAAAATCCCTTGTACTTCCTTTATTCAACCCTCTGTCTCAAACCTTTGCAATCACTGTTCTGTTTACCATCAATAGTTTTGCATCTTCCAGAATGGCACAAATGGATGTCATAAATGGATTTACAGTGGGAATGAGCACACCTAGCTCAGAGCCAGCTTTTCCATAGATTCATTATCCATATATTCATTACCCGTATAGCTTTTATTGCATTCTTTAATCTGTCCCTTTAGAATCTTTGTCTACCTCTTGCACTAACACTATTTTGTCATACAAAGTGTAACATTACAAATGTTGATATCCAGTAGGGTAAGTTCTCTCACTTTGTTCTTCTTTAAGAGTGTTGTAGGTATTCTTGACCTTATGCATTTTTGATAAAAAGTTGATATCTTGTCAAGTTCCACAAAAAGTTTTTCGAGTTATTGAGAGTATATTGAATTATAGATAAATTAGGGCAGATGATATATTTAAAATAATGAATCTTCTAATCCATATACCAGGTACCCATCCCTACTTATTTAAATTTCCTCTAACACTTCTCATTGAAGTTTTAGAGTTTTTTTCCATAAAAGTTTTATAAATCTTTCATAGGAATTGATCTTTTAAGACCTTGTATTTTGAAAAAAATTTAACCAGTAGAAAAGTAGGCAATACATTGAACTTCCACGTACCTGTCACCTAGTTTTTGAATTTCTACATATACAGTTGTATCATCCATCAGTCATAGATTTGTTTCTCCTTTTCTAATGCTCCAACCATGTTTTATTCCCTTATGTGCTAAGATGGTGAGTACATCTTTAAAGAAATAAGATAACAGACATCCTGCCTTCCTGATTTCAAAGGCAAAGACCTCAACTTTTTTTTTACCTTCTATTATCATGTTTCTGGGCTGTTTTTCAACCGATCGTTCATCAGATCTAGTTCCTATCTAGCTTTATATTACTGATTGGTGCTTTTTGTTGAATCATTAATAAATATTACATTTTATTAGCTTCATTTTCTGTTTCTCTTGAGCTGACCAGATGCTTATTCTCCATTATGTTAATGTAACAGTATATTGATTGATTTTTAACTTGTAAACCAATCATGCCCTTCCAGTATTTAAACCAACTAATGGGATGATTACAGTTTAAAAGAGGGAGAAAAGAGTAGAAATAATTCTGTTCTCATATGACTCTCCCAAGGAATAAAAAGGAAATGTTCCCTAGTTCATTTTACATGAATACCAAAATTTTGCATGGATAGTATAGAAAAATAAAGAAAATGCTTGAATCAATTAATTCAATTATTGAAGAAATACATCAACAAACTAAATTTAGCAATGTCTAAAAGGTAATACTTGTTATCATTGCTAACTTTGACCTTTCCCTCACCCCTACTCTCCAATTTTTTCTATCTTGGCCCTTGTTTGCTTCAAAGCACTTGTTTCCATATTCCATTATTTATCTGTTCACTTTGTTTGATCTGTCTTCCCCTAAAATGACATTTTAATGAAGGAGTTCAGTTAAATATTGTGTTGCTTGTAAATTGGTGCTTTTAGTAAATTATTTTTCTATTTTTGTTTTGAAAATTAAGAAGAAACATGGCGACTTTCCTTCTCTAACATCGAAAAGGATATTTTGAATAATCATGGACAACATAAAACATGCTGTGAAAGTGAGGGAGTGAAATGTTGCAGGTAATGTCTATATTTTGTTAAATGTTAGATTATTTATGGAGTATTTTATCTTTATTGAGTCCCTACTTCAACCTTGATCATTTCTGGGTTGAGTTTTGGGGCCAGTGCTTAACTGAATTGACCTGGAAAACTAATTAGAGGGTGAGCTTGAAACCAGGGAAGCTGGATCCAGCAGATCAAGGAAAGAGTATAAGACAAGGCAAAGGAGCATAATCCTGAACCTGTATCAGACAGCTATGTAAAGTAGGACAGAGAGAGGTTGTAGGCACTAGCCATTACTAGTCATGACAATTGGATGTGCCTTAGTATTCTGGTTGCTTAAAGATAATGAATATTAGTGTCATAAAATGAAGGGACAAAGGGTCACTCTTTGTTGACACTAGTGCCCGTTTTGAGATGGTTTGATTGTGTTCAAAAGGAGGGACTGACTAGCTAAACTTGAAACAACACTAAGAGTTGGGTAATTCTGTTTTTGTTTTTGGTTTTTTTTTTTTTTTGGTAGCATACACACCACAAAGAACTGAGATTGAAAAGGAATCATTCATTTCAGATTCTTTTTTTTATTTTTTAAAACTTTTTTACATCAATGTTCATTTTTTTTTATTTTAAAAGATTTTTTTTAATTTATTTTTTATTTATTTATACAAGCACTGGGTACAGTCAGAAGCGCGGGAGGGTGAGTGAATTCAGAGCCTGAGCGGGGAGCAGAGCAGGCAGAAGGACCGAAGTACACTGCTGAGGGGAGCAGTGGGTGGCAAGAGAGGTCTGCGTGCCATGTGGGACCCTCCTCCGGTGGCTGGGGAGGAGCCGGGGATCGAACTGGCGCTGCAGAGGCTGCGGGCAGCTTCTCAACCCAGCGCTCAACCACTGCACTACCGGGGAGGCCCTCAATGTTCATTTTTTTTTTAATTTTTTTTTTAAAGATTTATTTGTTTATTTATTTATACAAGCACTGGGTATAGTCAGTAGTGCGGGAGGGTGAGAGAATTCACCAGAGCCAGAGCCAGAGCAGGGAGCAGAGCAGACAGAAGGACCGAAGTACACTGCTGAGTGGAGCAGCGGGTGGCAGGAGAGGTCTGCGCGCCATGTGGGACCCTCCTCCAGTGGCCGGAGAGCACCTGGGGATCGAACTGGTGCTGCAGAGGCTGCGGGCAGCTTCACAACCCAGCGCTCAACCGCTGCACCACAAGGGAGGCCCTCAATGTTCATTTTTAAACAATATTTGCTTCCCCCCCAACCCTGTCAGGTGTAGTTCCCAAAGTTTCCTTCACCAATGCACCCATGCACCATCACCTCAGTCCACTGTGCTCCTCCTTCTCTCCCTCTGATCCCTCTCCCTCTTCCTCCCCTGTAGTACGTCTGATTTATAATTGTCTGTTTTTGCTTTGTTATGTTTTGTATTGTTATTTTTTTACACTGATGTCTTATTTGGTTCCCCTGTATTCCTGCTATAAGTGAAACCATCCAATATTTTTCTTTATCCTTCTGTCTTATTTCACTGAGCATAATTCCTTCTAGCTCCATCCACGTTGCTGCAAATGGCATGAGTTTATCTTTTTTGATTGCTGATAATATTCCATTGTGTATATATACACCACAGCTTCTTGAGCCAGTCATGTATTTTTGGGCATTTGTATTGTTTCCAGATTTTACCTATTGTAATTAGTGCTGCAATAAACATAGGGGTATAGGTGTTTTTTTGAATCAATGTTTTTGTGTCCTTTGGGTAGATCCCTAGGAGTGGAATTGCCAGGTCATATGGTAGCTCCATTTTTAGTAGACTGAGGAACCTCCAGACAGCTTTTGATAGTGGTTGGGCCAGTTTGCACTCCCACCAGCAATGTAGGAGAGTTCCTTTTCACCACATCCTCACCAACATTTGTTGTTGCTTGTTTTTTTGATATGTGCCATTCTCACTGGTGTAAGGTGGTATCTCAATGTGGTTTTGATTTGCATTTCCCTGATTATAAGGGATGTTGAACATTTTTTCATATGCCTGTTGGCCATTTACATTTCCTCTTTGGAGAAATGTCTTTTAAGTTCTTCTGCCCATTTCTTAACTGGATTGTTTACTTTGTTTTCATTGAGTCATGTCAGTTCTTTGTATATCTTTGTGATCAGTCCTGTATCAGTTGTATGGAGGGCAAAGATTTTTTTCCCAATCAGTGGGGTGTCTCTTTGCTTTGGTTAATGTCTCTTGCTATACAGAAGCTTTTCAGTTTGATGTAATCCCAGGTGTTTGTCTTTTCCTTGACTTTCTTTGCTTTGGGTGATGCGTCTTTAAAGATGTCATTGAGATGTATGTCTTGTAGTGTTTTACCTATATTTTCTTCTAGGTATTTTATGGTTTCAGGTCTTATGTCCAGATCTTTTATCCATTTTGAGTTGATTTTTGTGTGTGGTGAGAGGTTGTGGTGTAGTTTCATTCTTCTGCGTGCGGTGGTCCAGTTTTCCCAGCACCATTTATTGAACAAACTGTCCATGTTTCATTGCATATTCTTTGCTCCTTTGTGAACGATTCAGTTCCATTGGTTTGTGTGTCTGTTTTTGTTCCAATACGAAGCTGTTTCAATTATTATGGCTTTGTAGTAAAGCTTGAAGTTTAGAAGTGTGTGATACCTCCTTTCTCCTTTGTTTTCACTAGTAGGGCTTTGGCTATTTGTGGTTTTTTTGTGGTTCCATATGAATTTCATTAGTATTTGTTCTATTTCTTTGAAGAATGTCATTGCGATTTTTATTGGAATAGCGTTGAATCTGTATATTGCTTTTGGTAAAATGGCCATTTTAATAATGTTAATTCTTTCAATCCATTTCTTTGTGTCTTCTTCTATTTCTTTTAACAGTGTTTTATAATTTTCTTTGTATAGATCCTTTATCTCTTTTGTTAGGTTTATTCCCAAATATTTGAATTTTTTTTGTGTCACTTTTCTTGATTTCTTTTCTTCATATTGATTGCTTGTGTATAGGAAGGCTACTAATTTTTGTGTGTTGATTTTGTATCCTGCTACTTTACTAAACTGGTTGATTATTTTGAGTAGTTTTTCTGTGGTGTTTTTAGGGTTCTCTATGTATATCATATTGTCTGCAAATAATGATAGTTTTACTTCTTCTTTCCCTATTTGGATTTCTTGTATGTCTTTCTCTTGTCTTATTGCCCTGGCTAGGATCTCCGGTATTATATTGAAGAGCAGTGGTGAGAGAGGACATCCTTGTCTTGTTCCTGATCTTAAAGGAAAGGCCTTGAGCTTTTCACCATTGAGAATAATATAGGCAGTGGGTTTGTTATATATGGTTTTTATCATGTTAAGGTATGTTCCTTCTATCCCTAGAATTTCAAGGGCCTTCATCATAAATGGATGTTGGACTTGGTCAAATGCTTTCTCAGCATCTCTTGATAAGATCATATAGTTTTTATTTTTCTTTTTGTTGATGTGTTGGATTCACTGATTGATTTTCATATGTTGAACCATCCTTGTGCCCCTGAGATGAATCCCACTTGATCGTGGTATATTATCTCTTTGATGCATTGTTGTATTCTGTTGTCAAGGATTTTGTTGAGGATTTTTGCATCAGTGTTCATTGGGGAGATTGGCCTATAATTTTCTTTGTTTGGTTTTGGTATTCGTGCTGTCTTTGTTTGGTTTTGGTATTAGTATAACGTTGGCTTCGTAGAACGTATTTGGTAGTATTCCTTCTTTTTCAATTTTTTGAAAGAGTTTGTGTAGGATAAGCACTAATTCACTGCTGAACGTTTGGTAGAATTCATTTGTGAAGCTGTCTGGGCCTGGGCTTTTGTTTTTGGGGAGTGCTTTGATTACTGCCTCAATTTCGTTGCTTGTACTTAGGCTGTTTAGGTATTCAATTTCTTCTTTGTCCAGCTTTGGATGAATATATCATTCTAGGAATTTGTCCATCTCTTCTAGATTGTTGAATTTGTTTGCATATAAGTATTCATAGTGATGTCTGATTCATAGTAATATTCATAGTATTCATAGTAATTTTGATTTCCACTGAGTCTGTTGTGATTTCTCCTCTGTCATTTATAATTCTATTTATATGTGTTTTCTCCTGTTTTTTCTTTGTGAGCCTGGCTAGAGGTTTGTCTATTTTGTTTATTTTTTCAAAGAACCAACTTTTGGTTTCATTGATCTTTTCATTTGAGTTTGTAATGTCTAGTATAAGGGTCATAAAAGTTTAAAGATGAAAACAACAAGGTTCCAATTTCCAGCCACAAGAGGTTCTTTAAGTCTTCATATGCAGGCATTGAAGCAAGCATTATGAAAAGTATGTTGCTGCCAAGGCTAAATAATTTTACAAATATTAAAATTTTGTCAAATCTCAAATGACTGGGTGAATAATGTAAATATTTGCAGCCTAGTAAAGTAAAATCATTTTATAAAAGTGAAATATTGAAGTTAGGTAGCGAATAACTGGATAAACAAAAATATCTGTGAGTCTCATATAGTTGAAGTAATTCTTTTTTTTTTTTAATAGAGGCATGTTTTATTTATTTATTTGTTTGTTTTGTTTATACATGCACTGGGTACAGTCAGAAGCGCGGGAGGGTGAGAGAATGCACCAGAGCTAGAACGGGGAGCAGAGCAGGCAGAAGGACCGAAGTACACTGCTGAGGGGAGCAGCGGGCGGCAGGAGAGGTCAGCGCGCCATGTGGGACCCTCCTCCGGTGGCCGGGGAGCAGCCGGGGATCGAACTGGCGCCGCAGAGGCCGCAGGCAGCTTCGCAACCCAGTGCTCAACCACTGCGCCACCGGGGAGGCCCTAGTTGAAGTAATTCTGATGGAAAAAAAGTATGTTAGGATGAGGAAGAGGGAAGAAAATATGTTTGTGAGACTCAGCACATATATTTGTTTATTGGATTACAACACTGTATATGTTCTGGGAGTATAGATTTGTATCTCTTCAAATGATTTGTCACACTATTCTCAACACTAAAGTACCAATAACCATCCACCATAGTCCATTGGACCGTCTCCACCCTTTGCTCCCTCCCTTCCCCCTCTGGTAACTGCATATCTGCACTCAAGGGTTTATTTTGTCTGTTCCTTTGCAAAGCATATATGTTTAATGTTTTAGAGTGACTCTATATTATAGTGACTCTAGAATTACATTTATATTATTTATGTATATTTGCATCTCTATATGTTATATTATCTGTATTGTTTATTGTATCTATGCTTTTCATATAAGATGTGTAAAGTTCTTTGTGGAATATAGTAGGTTGTAAATAAATAAAAATAAATGGTTTTCTTTTTTATTCAACAGGAAAGATTGCTTAAAACTAATGAAATATCTTTTACAACAATTGAAAAAAAAGTTTGAAAACCGAAGGGACCTGGATAAGTTCTGTTCTTATCATGTGAAAACCGCCTTCTTTATTCTGTGTACCGAGTACCCAAAAGACGATCAGTGGCTTTCTGAAAAACTAGAAGAATGCTTTGATAGATGTGTGGCATACTTTCTTGATTGCCTCAACAAAGAAAATCTTCAACATTATTTTATCCCTTCAGTCAATCTATTCTCTCAAGAACAGATTAACAGAATAAGTAAGGAATTTCTCTCAAAGCAAATTGAACATGAAAGTAACAATGGATTTCCAGTTTTTGATGAATTTTGAAATTTTAAGTTTAAAAAGCATTAATGACTGTGGAAATTTGCTATAGCAGTGATTGATCAAATGAATGTAAATCATTTCTCTCTCAGTCTGTCTTAGTAAATGCTAATCAAGTACAAATGATTTTTGGCTATCTGAGGAAAGAAATTAGCCAAGGAACAGGAAGAAAGGAATATTTAAAACCTAAAATATTTACTAGATTGGAATGAAAAGGACAAAAACACATATTACCTTAATTAAGTTCATAAAGCACTTATTAAATACAAGTTCTCATATAGCACAATTGTTCAAGAGATACTATTAGAAATAACTATTGCCTCCATAAATTTGGAAGGTTTTGTTCAATGTACAAATATATTTTGAAGTACTGTCTTGTCCTATATGTTAATAGGTAAAAAGAAAATGAAAAATAAGTTGGATATTCATTATTTTACAAAAAATTAGAGTATTTAATACTAAAATAAATTAAATATAAAACATAACTTATTCTTTTATATATTTATTTTTAAGTAACACTTTTATATCTATACCATGTCCCCAAAAAAATGTCACTTTGTCCTAAGCTTGATGAGCAAAAACATTCCCAGCCAACATTAAATGAAATGACATTGAGGACATACTTTCAAATTGCTAAAGTTGCAGTTTCCAGGACACTATTGATGATATTGAGAATTTACTGTATTTTTGAAAAGGCAACACACATGGTGTAAGACTCATAGAACAGGCATGGAATAAAATGTCACTCTTTTTCCTTTGTGCTATAGCAGTATTCAACCTACAGGCAACTGCTATTTTTTTTCCTACTCATTTGCACACTTTATTGGCTACTTTATACTTTTTCTCATTGTTTTGTAGTTCTTTATATAATTTGGAATACCTTTTCCAATGTGTGTCTGTCATTGTCATCTTCTTCAGTGACTTAATAAACATGGTTTTAAGATTTTAATGTAGTTGAATTTATCAATCTTTTCCTTTATGGTTTGTGCATGTTATGAATCTTGTTTTACAAGCCATGTTTGAACATACTAAGAGAGAAAAAGTAATGGGAAGAAAGTAATGATAAATAGAAAAACATGGCATACAAAGAATACAAGCGACTCTTAACTCCAGGAAAACAATGAATGTATACAAGAAAAGAACAGTAACATAGTCTAATTTAAGAATATTGCTCAGGGCCTCCCCGGTGGCGCAGCAGTTGAGCGCTGGGTTGCAAAGCTGCCCGCAGCCTCTGCAGCGCTGGTTCGATCCCCGGCCACCGGGTGAGGGTCTCACATGGAGCACAGACCTCTCCTGCTGCCCACTGCTCCCCTCAGCAGTGTACTTCGTTGGTCTGCCTGTTCTGTTCTCCGCTCTGGCTCTGGTGAATTCTCTTACCCTCCCGTGCTTCTGACTGTACCCACCGCTTGTATAAATAAATAAATCTTTAAAAAAAAAAAAGAATATTGCTCAGCTGTATTTATGAAGCTAAAGTAATACTTGACTATTAATCAAAATTATGATTATTTGGGGAGGATAAGGCAACAGACTGATTACTTGTGTGGTCATGGTCATGGTGGTTGGATTGTATTTATTTCCTCTTGCAACATAAGTTAACATCAACTTATGGCTTAAAGCAACACACATTATTTCAGTTTCTGTGAGTTAAGATTCTAGGCATGACTGTACAGGGTCTCATAAGGCTACAACCAAGATATCAACTGGAGCTCTGGTATCATCTGAGGCTCAAGTAAAGAAGGATCCACAATTGTTGGCAATGTTCAGTTCCTTATAGTTTTAAGACAACTTTAGTTTCTTTCTGACTGTAAACTAGAGGATTTCCTTAGCTCCAAGAAACTGCCCAGAACTGAAGGTCATTGCTAAGTGATCCTCCCAACATTGGCAGGCCAAAATGTAGCAGCTCACCTCAAAGTCAGAAAGGGAGTGAGGAACTCCAACAAGAAGAATGTTAAGTTTTATTTAGCATAATTACATATTATAGTTATGAACCTCTCATCATCTTTACCATATTTAATTTTTTGGAAGTAAGTCATAGTTCCCTGCCATATTCAATAGTGCCATATTAGTTCAGTAAACTAGTTAGGGGAAAAGCATTGCCCACTCGATTAATTTCTGACACCACTTGCAGTTTCAGAAAACTTCCTGAATCATTCTCAGGTTTGATAATTCACTGAAAAGACACAGAACTCAATGAAATGGTTACAGTCATGGTTATGGTATATTACAATGTAGGGGTATGGGTTGAAATTAGCCAAGGGACAGCACATAGAGCAGAGTCTAGAAGGGTAGCAAACCAAGAGCTTGTTTACACCTTTTTCTATTCTTTTTCAAGGCAGTGATGTATGATAATACCATGGAATATATGACATCCAGGGAAGTTCACCTGAACCTCAACGCCTAGGATTTTTACTGGGGCTCAGTGGATGGCTGCCCACATATCTAACTTCAGTCTCCATTCCCTCTGGATATCAAGTGGTAGAAGCTGATACTGTGTGACCCAACACCCCCACATAAATCACATTGGCATATTCCAAGGGTTTAATGATCACTTCTTAAAAGCCAAGGGTAAAGGTGAGACTTCTCTGAGTTAGGTTAAATTCTCTACTACAATTGGTGGTGGGAATTTTACGGGGACTACATATCTGAGAGGAGAACGCATGCATTGTACAAAAATGGAATAATGATGTAAAATATACATAAAATAAAAAATACTACATAGACATGAACCCCAGTAGGTGGCAATCACTGGACTTTCCCTAAGAGTCTGACCATCACAGGCATAGGATTACAGTGGGAAGTCAGTAGATATGAAATTTGAAAAATCAAGAAAATGAAAATACAAGCACGTTATTTAGAAATGGCTAAAAAGGTGAATGGTTGCCTCTTGGTAATGGAAAATGAAGTGTAGAAAGGTTGAGGACTACTGGACTACTTTTTAAAAATAAGCCTTGTAGAACAATTTGATTCTATACTCCACGCACATAGGATTTTTGATACAAAGGAAAACATTGAAAAGTAATGTGTCCACCAACAAAATCATATGCTCATGTTTAAGTGTAAATAAGATGAGATAATGAAGGTATAACTAATTATATACAAATATAAATACCTGCCTAAGTGATAGATACTAATAAATATAACTATCATGTATAAAACAGAAAACTATATACAAAACTATATAACTATCATGTATAAAACAGAAAACTATATACAAAACTATAAGAAAAGTTGGTGACTGTTTAGTCAAAGGAACTTCCATGGAAATGAAATTATTTCCTAGTGTACATTTATACAGCATGGAGCTATAGGCTAAAATTTAAAGAACAGCTATTGCATATTTTGGTCCCATGAAACCCTTTTACTGTTTTATTTCCAAGCAAAGTGTAAGCATCTAAGAAAAGTACCCCAAATAAATATTTAGCAAACAAAATTAAAGGGCTATTCAGAAATAGAGATCAGCTTTTTTTTTAAGATTTATTTATACAAGAACTGGGGTACAGTCAGAGGCACGGGAAGGTGAGAGAATTTACCAGAAACAGAGTGGGGAGCAGAACAGGCAGACAAACCAAAGACACTGTTGAGGGGAGCAGTGGGTGAGGCAGGAGAGGTCTGCCGCGCCATGTGGGTTTCTCCCTGGCCAGCCGGGAATGGAACCCGCACTGCACAGGCTGCAGACAGCTTTACAGAGCAGATCAGCTTATTTTTTATCATACATATTAATTTATTTTGTTAACAGTATCTATTCCACTACCATTACAATATCTGAATAAGCTTTAAACCATTTAAAGGCTGGCCTTGATATAGCAACAATGCAGGAGACAAACTTTACTTTTATTACTTTTTAAATAAAGAGACAGTAAAAAGTGAAAAAATCTTAACGCTACTAATTCCTTAATATCCCAGAAAAAATTTTCAACAAGTTTAAATACTTTTGATTTTATTAAAGAAAGTACAAAACCTCAAATTCTACATTTTAAACACTATTATTTTAAGAATCAGTAGCTTCTTTATACTGTTAGCATCTTCCAAATACTTCCATCTATCTTAAACAGTGTATTTCTAAAAGATCTTGATTTCTGAAAAATAAGAAAAATTTAAATTGCTAGTTCCAAATTTTAAAAAATTTTAAGTGTGATAAAATACACACAACAGATAAAATACACACAACAGATAAAATACACCCAACTATTTAAATATACAATTCTGCAATGTTATTATTCACATTGGTTGTAGAACAATCTCCACAACTTTTTCATCATGCAAAACAAACTCTACCCACTAAACATCTCCAAATTTCTTCCCTCTCACCAGCTCCTGGGAACCACTATTTGTCTCTACAAACAGACTCATCTAGGTACCTCACATAAAAGGAATCAAAGTATTTGTAACTGGCTTATTTTCTATAGCATAATGGTGTCTCTAGGTTCATCAATGTTATAGCTTGTGTCAGCATTTTTTACACACTTAGTTTATCCATTTACCCACTGGATACTTACCTGGGTTGCCACCACCTCTGGCTACAATTAATAAAGCTGCTTTGAAAACGGGCATACAAATATCTTATATGACCCTACTTTCAGTACTTTTGGACTTACACACCAAAATGAATTGCTGGATTATATTCTTGATTTCTTGAGGAACTGTCATATTTTCCATAGTGGATAAACCATTTCACATACTCACCAGCAGTGCATAGGGCTCTAATTTCTCCACTCCTTGCCAACACTTTTGTTATTTTGTTTATTTGATAACAGTTATCCTGATGGGTGTGATGTGCATAGTGATTTTGATATGCATTTATTTCCTTGATGATTATTGAGACTTGCTATCTTTTCATGCTTATTGGCTATTTAGTCTTCTTTGGAGAAATATCTAGTCAAGTCTTAGCCCATTTTTTTTTAACTTTTTTTTTTTTAAGATTGATTTATTTATTTATACAAGCACTGGGTACAGTCAGAGGTGCAGGAGGGTGAGAGAATTCACCAGAGCCAGAGCAGAGACTAGAACAGGCAGTGTGACGAAGTACACTGCTCAGGGGAGCAGCGGGTGGCAGGAGAGGTCTGCGCGCCATGTGGGACCCTTGCCTGGTGGCCGGGGATCAAACTGGTGCTGCAGAGGGTGCAGGCAGTTTCCCAACCCAGCGCTCAACCGCTGCACCACTGGGGAGGCCCAAGTCTTAGCCCATTTTTAATGGGGCTGTTTTTGTTCAGTTGTAAGAGTTCTCTCTGTATTGTAGGTATTAATCATTTATCAGATTATGATTTGCAAAAAATTTTCTTCACAGTTTATTCAGATGATTACCTACTGACATTTAGGTTATTGTCTTTTCCTATTACCATACTGCTATAATAAATACTTATATATGCAGACATCTTTATAGAATATATTAGAAGAAGAGTTACTGGGAAAAAGGTATATATATATATATTTATAATTGATATATTACCACATTGCTTAGAAAAGTTTATAACACATTATACCATTACACTCTTAATGATATTTCTGTATAACTTTTATTTTTTCAACTCTGAATTAATACTTACAATTTTAAATAAAACACATTAACTGGAATTTAGGTAATGGGTAGAGAATGACACCCAGTAATTTATTATGTTAAAGACGCTAATAGATAATGCTAATTGTAATAAATATACAGAGCCTAGTAAAGGGAAACAGACATTTGAAAGTCTTTGTTACCCAAATTTTACCTCATATAAGTAGTCTGATGCCACTTTTCAACTCAGACTTAATCGTAAAACTTTTTGGGCTTTCCTTGGGGTCTTCCCAGTTTTTTTTCCATTTCTTTTTTCAGCTTATTTGCCTTGTATCTCTCAGCCATAGACACAAGATCCTCTGGGATACTCTGAAACCATTAAATGCGTTACTAGGATTGAGTTTTTTTCTTTCAGTACAATAGCTTTTCAACAATATGCTAAAATACCTTCAAATTCTTTCAGAGAATCTCTGACAAGGGAATACATGACATCTTTCAAATACAATGAAATGTATTTGAACTGCATCTCTGCATACTAACTGTGAATCTATCTTCAATCTATAAAACCAAACTAATCTTAAAATCACCCATTATTATGCTGCTCCCTCACTTGTGGAGTCCTCTTATTGCATACCTGGTGCCACTTTCTGTATCATTCTTTCTCTCTTCTGGGCCTGAATATGTTCCCTGATGAAACACTTAAATCATTCTTCTACAGTTTTCGCCCCTCCACCCTACTGATTTCTTCCTCAGTAGTTTTCATTTATGTTCACCACATTAGATTTGGTTCCCTGATTATATGATCCTACAGTTCCTTATCTTTGCCATGCCATATCATTTATAACATGTTTACTTGCTTACTATCTGTCTTTCCTGATAAGCAGTAAGCCCTCATACTTGCAATAAATGAAATTTAGAAAACTGATAAGTAGAATTGTAATGAGATGCATATTCTCACCTGATGTGCTCTTTCCAGAATACTAATTAATTCATTGGCAACCCTCCAATCATTTCTAGTGACAAGAGTAATTGATACTCCAGTCCTCCTTAGGAGAGGGAAAAAACAGGTAATATGAAAATTTGCATTCATGATTCAGTTAGCAAAATAGCAAAATAAAAACAGCAGCAACAAAACTTCAATTCTGACAAACCCAAATATGTATTATGTATTAAGACTTGGCATCACTCAACCAGAAACTTGGAATGTAAATGATCACAGTTTATTAAATGGCATGTTACAGGGGATATGACAGCAGTACTCTTGGGGAAAAAAGTCCTCTTACAGGCATCTCTGGTGGTGCAAGGGGTTAAGTCTCAGCACCATAAAGCTATGGTCAACCACTGCAGCATGAGTTCACTCCCTGGTTAAGGAGTGACCTACATGGCACAGCAGACCTCTCCTGTCTTGCCCACTGCTTCCCTTAGCAGTATATTTCAGTAGATCAGCCTGTTCTACTCCCCACTCTGTCTCTGGTGAATCCTCTCACCCCCTTATACCTCTGGCTTACACCCCAGCTCTTAATACATAATACATATTTATTTATAAATAAATAAATAAAATAAATCCTCAAAAAAAAAAAAGTCCTCTTACATATGCCAACCTGGACAACAGTAACCACTGGGTATATGGCTCAATGTCGTGACAATACAGATAGAAGAGTTGACTCAGTCATGTGCAGCTAACATCAAGGGGTCTGGCTGAATATGGAACAAGCCAATTCAAAAGGGGTTATGTAGTGAAGGAGGTTCTGGGGAGGTGCAAGCAATTTATATGCAAGAGAACAAAACAATTCTCCAGGTATTAATAGTATGGGGAGGAAGAAAGAGTCAGAATTGGCTTTTTTCATGGGTGGACTATGCTTACTTACCCTGCTCTTCCAGTGCGCCCTATTCTGTGTACATATTCCTCAATGTTCCGTGGAAAATCATAATTATAGACGTGGGTGACATCGTGGACATCGAGACCTCGAGATGCTAAGTCAGTAGCTATCAGTATTCTCACTTTACCTAAACAGTAAAACCAAATGAATGTGGACATGCTGACATAAACCAGTCCAACACACATATCAAAAGTACATTTTACCTTAATATTTAATTAGGTGAACTATTATTGCTTATAGTAAAACACTCATTAAAAGAGTAAAAATATGAAAGGGATATTTATATTCTAATTCCTGGTAAATTACAACACAATAGATATGTTGGTTCCACAAAGAGCCCCTGAATCATCTGAACCATACCACAAAACTATGTGTGTGTATATATATATATGTCTTTCAGGTAAATTCATAGAAATGTCTCCCACTGCAAATTATTACTCTAATACCTAGGTTTAAATATTAGCTTTTTGGGTCTGGATAGTTCTGAGAATCTGATAAATATTTAGAGCTCTTAACAACTATAGTTTTGGCATCTGCAAGTTGATGACAATCTTAGAAATGGGTTCCATGAAATGCTGCTGTCATTCAGACAAGCCTAGGTGCTGAGCACTTCTAAAATACAACAGATACAAACTGTATAAATGTACCTGTTTTAAAATTTTCTAATGCTCTCTCTCGGTCGCACTGTTCTCTATTGCCATGCAGAGACTCTACTGATATATGTCGGAGAACCAGGTCACTTGATAAGTGATCAGCACTGAAGCAAAAGATAAAGGTAGTGATCTTAAAATTAAGGGCTTATTCTTATACCATCTATTCACTAGTTTTTATTTCTATAAGCGAAAGTTTGATATACTACTCTGTAAGATATATATACCCCCATTTGAAGTTAACTGTACAAACTGAAATGATGTTTAACAAATCAATACGACTGATGACTAAGGTTGTAAAAGAAAAAATACCTACACAGATTTTCTGCTGACAAATACTATAACTTTATCTTTGGGAGACATGCTCTCTAGGAAAGTTTGAACATGAGATCGTTTCTCTTCTTCCGTGGTGACAATTATGTTCTGTTTCACGGTACTGACAGCCTAAAGGATTCAAAGATCATTAATATATCAACACTGAGGGGCAAATTCCATACATTGACATGAAATTCACCTTATTTCTATCATTGATTGGTTATTTTTTTTATAAACTACTCAGGAAAAAAGCAGGTCCTTGCAAAACTACCCATTTTTACTCTAGTACTTGTAGCTGATCCTTTCACTTTTTGTCACTTACTCACCTAACTAAATTGGGAACTCTTGAATGCTTGGCAGTGTGTTGAAAGCAAATGGTCACCATTGTAGGAAAAGAAAACTACAGGGTGAGGTCAAGTTTACAAAGGCTGTCATTATAAATTCTGGGTATAGTTCTTATACAATGAAGGAAGATGATCAGCTGATGACACAGGAGTTTCCATTTAATGAGTATTTTGACAATTTGCAAAATTTCAAAATATAATATCATAGGTATCATTTTTGACTCAGAGATAAAATAGATTTTAACAGCATTTTATGAAAGGAAAGAGTTAAGCATTCTATCTTTCATGAAACCTGTAGTGAAATAATGAGTCAAGACAAAGAGTCATTATTAGGGATTAAGAAAAAAGATCAGTTTTCATTAATGGCTAATTGAAAGGCTAATATCAATTAAGTGAAAGGTAAGAAATTTATAATGGGAGAGAGATGTGAGATATTTAATTATAAATTTTATTATTTTTAACATCTGAACACTTGATTAATCTTAACTTCACAAAAAGAATACTACACTTACATAAATACACATTTGTAGACCTTTTTAGAACTGGATTTAATGAAAATAGAACACTGACTAGACACTTACTAGTATTAAGAAATTATTACAATATTAAATGTGAAATAATAGTACTGTAGCATGTTAAAATGATTTTTTAGACATAAACATGTAAGTATTTATGGATAAAATCACATGCATTTAGGATTTGCTGTAAAATTGGTGAGTGGGCAGAGCAGTCATGCCAAAAAACAAATCAAATCCTTACTTCAGAAATAGTTTAACAACAGTAATAAAAAACAAGCTTACAACTAGATCCAAAGTACCAACATATACAATCATTGGTTCTTTCAAATATGATTGTGCAAGTCGACGGACAGCATATGGCCAAGTTGCACTAGAAATAAAACAAGATAACAAACATTAAAAATTTACTATAAACCAAATATTACTAAGGTTTTTAAGAGCTATGAACCAAATTACCCATGAAGAGCAAATTTATACTTTTCAGTGTGGCATACTTTACAAATAATGCATGCTTCGCAAAAACTGCTCAACTGCAGTATAACTACTATCAATAGATGAAAATTTTAAATAAACTTAAGTAGGTGGAGGACACTTATATCTTAAATTCTAATCTATGGAGAAGTAAAATGAATTCAAATGTTAGATTAGTTCTCTCAGTCTTTATGAAAGACAAAAAACAGTACTCATACATTGTCAGCATGCAGATCGAAGTGCTCATGGCAAATAAAAATATTTTAAGTATACTGATGAAAAGATATATAAATTAGGTTTCTTTAATCATATATATATTATGAAAGTAAGCACTTTTTGTACTTTCTCAGTAGTTACAATGAAATCTAACTTCATTTTTCTTAAAAGAGGAAGATTACTAATAAAATGAGGACATTTAGTATTTCCCTTCAACTATATGCTATTTTTTAAATGTTAGTGACACAAAGGATTTACGTTCAGAAGAAATTGGTCTACAGATCACTCTGCATTTAAATGAAAATCATTTCTTCCTCAGCTTTGTCTTGGGCAAAAAAAGTATCCAGTGATGAAATGTTTATCTCTATGGAGGGGTAACCATTTACTCAAACGTGAGGCTCCCCACTATGAAAGTGTCCCTTCTGCTTTTACAGAAATCTCTACATGTAACTTAGGAAACGCAATAGCAGTTCATACCCTTACACTTAAGTGCAAAACTGATATCTTTTACCTAAGGATCTCAATACTTTCAAGTAACGCTCTAAAATTCTCTGGTCCTGGGTGGAAATCAACCTCTATTCCATTGACATCTAATTTTGCAGACTAGCACTTAGGCACACACCTACCTTGTCATAATAGTTTGCCTGTCTGGGCGCACATCTAATAAAATCTTCATTATCTGGGGTTCAAATCCCATATCCAACATCTTGTCAGCTTCATCTAAAACCTGCATTAAAAATGATTGTGGGTAGATTAGATCTAGGAGGTAGCTAATGTGTTTATGCTCTGTTTTAATAAGTCTAATACTAACAGGTAAATTGTTCTCATTTCCCCTGTTACCTAAGGAACTACTTTCATTTCTCCAGGGGAATATAAGCCATTTGTTTTGGCTTTTGTAACAGCTTTATTTTAAGTTGACTAATAGTTTCTAAATCTATTTAATGAAAAAAAATTGTTTAAAAATCCATATGGATTCTAATTTTCTTTTGTATTTATCTGCATTTTCCCAACATGCATAAAAAACATTAAAATAGAATTATTTAAAAGATCCTTATTTAATATACTAGAGAGAATAGGAAATCCTCCTAAAATTTAAAACCATTATTTCAGCCATTAAAAAAATATATAAAAGAATTCAGTTCTCCCCAGTATCCCAAATTCATATACTTCAAGATTACCAAGTAGGTTACACTTTTCAGGTTGACAAAATTATTCATTTGCAGATCATTCAATCTCCCAGGAGTTGCAATAATGATATCTACACCCTTTGTCAAGTCTTGTATTTGTCCACCTCTGTCTCCACCACCATATATACAAACACTAAAAGAAAACAGAGGTTCATGTTCAGGCAAGGAATATCTCATCACAACTCAAAATTCCAACCAAGTGAAAAATTTGGAGCCTCTGATAACAAATTAAAGGTATATACATCAAATAAATGACAGATGTTCTGTAGTAATTACACCTTTCGGAGTACTAGTCACATCCATCAACAGAGGGTGGCATGGCCTAAAGAACCATGTTTATATTATTATTTTAACACAACTGCCGTGGCTATAGTTGATTTGGATTGGAGTAATACCTGACTCATTCTGAGCCAATTAGATTCTCAAAAATGTGTGAAAGATAACGGGGAGAATATGGTAAGCTATAAATTATTAAAATACTGATGCAAAAGTAACCAAATAAATGACTTACCTTCTAAGACCTTTATATATATATTTTGAACACTCAGCTTCCACTTGAAGAGCTAATTCTCGAGTGGGTGTAAGGACTAGCATACCAGGCCCATTCCTTTTTTCTCCAGTTCTTTGAAAAGAAAACAGAGTAATATTAGAATATCTTTCTTAGACTCCTGGTGCATTGTTGCAGTGCTTTCAGGATTTGTCACTATGAGTATCAAAGTCACAAACATTCTCTATGGAAGTGGAGAAATATAGAAAAATAACCAAATAAGGAAAAATCCAAGGGCCCAGATACTAGCCTTTTCAATTTACATGGTTAATGCTTTCTTGTGTCAAACATCCTCTCAGAAAATAGCATATTATATTTGGACATATACTACTTTAGACTATTTGATTCCAATGGTACATACACCATTTTTAAAAAAGATTTATTTATTTATGCATACAAGAACTGGGTACAGGCCAAAGGTGAAGGGGGTGAGAGGATTCACCAGAGACAGAGTGAGGAACAGAACAGGCAGATGTACTGAAACACATTGCTGAGGGGAGCAGCAGGGAGACAGGATAGCTCTGCTGCGCCATGTGGGTTGCTCCCTGGCTGGCTGGGAATTGATTTCGTGCTGCAGTGGCTGCAGATTGCCTCAGAGATTTCGTCTTAACCCTTGCACCACCCAGGATGCCCCCCAAGGGTACACTATTAAAGCTCTTGGTAGATACTACCATTGCTACCAATAAATATTTTGTCTTTGCTCTTTGACTAATGCAATAGATGAAAGAAATTTTAGTATCATTTTAGGTATATCTATTAAACCCCTATAAAGAGAACACAGCTGTAGAAATTCTTACACGGGTTGAGAGTCCAAGTGAATAAATCCAGGCATTAAGTAGGACAATGTCTTCCCAGTTCCAGTTTGGGCAACTCCTATAAGATCGATTCCTTGCAGAATTATTGGCCATGCCTGTGACTGAAACAGAATGAAACATTAAAATAAAGAGTACATTTCTTTTTGTCAAGTGTCTGACCTCTCCCACTTCCAAAAATTTTTTTGAGTGCAAAGCACTGGTGGTACAGGTGCTCCTGGAAACAGCTCATAAAAGATAGTTTTTCCATGGTGCTTAAACTCCTAACATTCAGATATTAGTTTGAGGGGGAAAAACAATTAGAATTAGAGAATGCATACCTGAATTGGTGTTGGCTTTTGAAAACCTGCCTTTTTAATGTTTTCCATAATTTCAGGGTAACACTGAAAGGCATCTTCAAATTTACATGTAGGATTGGGGATAGGACGTTTTTCACCATCTTTCAAGTCATCGCACATTATATTATAATTTTCCTTCCTTCAAGGGAAAATAGAACAAGGATTAGTGGCTTTGATCCCTTTGCTCCCCAAACAAGAAATTTTTCCCGGCATTAGCTCAGATCATATCTACAAAGTCAACTACAAAATATAAAAACCAGTAAAATTTAATAACTAAGAAAGAGAAGTGAGTTCATCTTTTTCTCATCAAATAGCTGCAGAAAAGAAAAAAAATTACATTTTACATTATATGGACCAATGAAAGATTCATAGAAAGGTTAAGAATAGAACCTGAAAATTAAATGTTTGTAATTCAAAATCATACTTGGCAAACACTTGAAAGCCTAAAATGTTCCAAGCATATTTCCTCAATTGATCCTTAACAATCCTGAGAAGTAAGAATTTTATCATTTGACAGGTAATTATGAGATTAGTTACTTGTCCAAAGTCTGAGCCCTACCCCAACCCCAGAATAACTGTTCATTCTGCAATATCATGTATCTTAGAAAAAAAGTGGTCACTAGCATCTTTAATTTCACATAAAAAGGATTCAAGAATAAGCAATTAATCCAATATTCAGATATCAAGATTAATTTCTTATGACTTTTAGCAGCTGGCAAAATAATTCTCTAAAACTGCTGTGCAAAACAGCATATGCTAACCACATGTACCACTTAAAGTTCAATTTCCTCAATTATACTAGCCATATTTTAAGTGTTCGATAGCTTTCTATGGATAGTGACTACTCTGTTAGACACAAATTTTGCTTCTTTGAAGAAAGTTTTATTGAGGAGCAATAAATGCTACCCAATACCCTAAATATGCTCTGTTTATATATAAACACATTCTTTAAAATATGTAACATGAAGGTAGGCCTCCCTGGTGGTGCAAGGGGTTAAGACACAACCTATGAAGCAATCCGCAGCCACTGCAGCACAGGTTCGATCCCCGGCCAGGGAGTAACCCACATGACGCAGGAGACTTCTCCTGGCTCGCTCACTGCTCCTGTCAGCAGTGTGTTTCATCTGCCTGTTCTGTTCCCCACTCTGTCTCTGGTGCCCCCTGCTCTAGCCTGTACACCAGTTCTTGTGTGCATTAATAAATAAATCTTTACATATATATATATATAAAAAATGAAGGATCCAACCAATTTTTCATTTGAAAATGGAAGGTATAGTTTTCAAATGCAATCAAAATGCAATCATTTCAAATCTTTGCCTAATGAATTAATTTAATAACTGTATAAAAACTCACTTAAAAACATAATAAAATAAAATTACCTCCAATTATCTATTTGCACCTGTGACATTAAGCTTGTGGTTTCTGATTCAGTGTAAAAGTTTTTCTTAATCGGAGGCAAATCTGAGACAAACGTGAAAATTAAACTTTGATAAATAATCAGAATTTACATTTCATTGACACTTAAAGTAACAACAATTAAACTAAAATACTTGCAACATACAGTTATAGATAGTTGTTCTTGCCCTTATGAGCCAAGCTTATGACAGTCTAGGATCTCTTTTTGACTTGTCTTTCAGTTATTTTTTTTTTAGGATTTAACAATTAAATTTAAAATAAAAGAAACTACAATGTACAAAACAAATATCACAATTGGTTAATCTTCCTCACACTTAGTAGGCTGATTTTATATTTTCTTTGAAGGTCCATCTCATTACTGTTTAGGAATAATTATCTTTTTTCCACTCTCTAAAGTTTGATTTCTCTTAATTGCCTATTATATGTCTTCCAAATTTAAATTTCTGGCTCCCTATCCCAAGTCGCGCCCCTTCCTATAAATGCATTGTCAAGATTATATCAGAAACTTAACATGTAGATAGGTTAACCATGACATGGAGTTAATCATCATTTATATTTGTCATAGATTGGTGCATTAACTTTTTAGATTAAAATAAATAGTATATTACAGCTGCATTTTTTTAAACTCCCTCATTCTGATAGCCAAAATTAGTGCCTGAATTTACTCTAAAATTCAATGGCTATAATGTGAAATATTATAAGCTATATATAATTGCAAGTTGGAAATTCATTTAAAATTAAACAAGACAAATTTTTAAAAATTAAGTCCCTTCAACAACTATCTGCTACTTCATGTAATGTTTTTCCCTATTGATTTTACCGTTTTCAGCTCAGACACACCAACAGCATCAATGTTAACAACTTATGGTTATTTTGATTGGAATATAATGTTGGCATGTTTATTCCCTTCATTTATCCCTTTGGGCCTGATTTTCTATCTAAAACTTTAGCAGGGGCCTCCCTGGTGGAGCTAGGGGTTAAGTCTCAGCACTATTAAGCTATCACCAGCCACTAAGCATGAGTTCAATCCCAGGCCAAGGAGCTAACCACATGGCACAGCAGACCTCTCCTGTCTTGCCCGCTGCTCCCCTTAGCAGTGTATTTCATTAGATCCACCTGTTCTGGTCCCAACTCTGTCTCTGGTGACTCCTCTTACCCACCACACCTTTGGGCTACACCCCAGCTCTTGCATGCATTAATAAGTAAAATAAATCTTTAAAAATAATAAAAAATAAAACTTAAGCAGTGAGTTACCTCAAATAATACAAAGTATAAATAAATTTAATGTTTTAATTTTCCATCTATAGAATAAATCACAACCCAGGCAATACAGAAACTATCCTGCCCTAGGAACTTCTTGTAGCATTTCAAATTTTACTATCATTTTCCATATAGATTTATTGCTAAAAATAAGAGACATTTTATAAAGGATAATAAACACTTCCATAAACAGAAATACCAACACCACATGTAAATGTCAAGACACTAACCTGCCCACTTTTTTTTTTCCCATTTCAAAGATTCTTCTCGAATTTGATCCCAATCAATCAAAGGCTGATCTTCTGTGACAACACTGTCTTCTGTCCTTACATCTTTTCCAACAGAAGGTTGGAATGCAACAATATCTGTTAAAAATATTTTTACTGACTTAGTTACAAAATACATTCTACCACTACACAATCCTCAAAATCATGATACTATTATATTTCATGTTTAATAACCACAAAATAATGTTTCAAATACAAAATTTAGCGTTCTAGTACTACAGTACCATGATAATTCTAGTTATGGTTTTTGCCATCAATTTTATGAAATGGAAAAATTTTATTGACGGTAAGGAAAACAGCATGAGGTCCTAATATCCACTAATGAATCACACACATATCACTTAATCATTACAATAATCCTATGAGGCGGATGTTACACCCAGGACAGACTCTTATCTTTCCTAAGAAACACTAAGGCATAATGCTGTCATCTGAAACCAAGACTCTTCTTTAAAATTCCATGTTGCCTCTGGAAATCATTCAATACTTTTTTTCTAGTCCAAGAAGATCTGATATATCAAATATACTCCAAAAATAATTTAGGCTTTTTTTCAAAGTCTGTGATAATCTAGTGGAAAGATCATAGAGCCAGTTGGCCAGGACTAATCTTTGTTCTACTTCTGTTAATTAGGGACTATTTTAAAAGTTTATTTTTTCCTGGCCCTCTCGGGTGAGTCTCAGCGATATCAAGTCTCAGCGATATCAAAGTAGTGTCAGTCATTGTGGCATGAGCTTGATCCCTGGCTGGGGAGCTAACACACATGGCACAGCAGACCTGTACTGTCTTGCCGCTGCTCCCCTTAGTAGTATATTTTAATAGATCTGCTTGTTCTGCTCCCCACTCTGTCTCTTATGAATCCTCTTATTCCCCCACCTCTGGCCTACACCCCAGTTCTTATATGCATAAATAAAATAAATCTTTTTTTAAAAAAGGACTTGGTCTCCCTTTGAAAAAATGTTTATTTTGTCCTCTCACTCTTTGGTGGCTTAAGATAAACAGGCTAGACTTAACTACAGAGATGAAGTAGATATTTAATTTGAGGAAAAAAGGATTCTGGGATTTCAAAGGGAAAAAACCCTTTAGCACACTAGATTTAATGATGACAATCTAAAACTTCTCAGGAAAAAAATCAGCAACAACATGGTGTATAACACTAAATACAATTTTACAAATTTTATGGGACTATCGTGGGTAAAATTACTTACCAACTCTGGCAGCTGAACTGTAATTTTCTTGTTTTTTAACAAGATTATCTATCATTGCTTTAGCTTTTGTCTGCATTGCTTTGCTGCCAAAAATTTTGACCTCAGCTTCAAGATGCCCTTTTATTATCTATACGGGGATATAAAGGGGAAATAGGTGAGATTAAAGTCCCTTCACTACCATCTCCCAATCACTCAACATAGTATGAAGTATAAACAGAATATACTATTGCTATTGTATAGCAGCAATAGTATACTGATCAGTGTCAGTGTCTAAGATTCTAATTGATGAAAGGGATGCTACTTATGTTCACTCTGAGAATTACCTTTAGGTTGGATGAGGGGAGGAGGGAAGGAGTAGGAGACAACTAATTTTATTTTATATATTTTTTACCTCATTCTTCATTTTTGTACAAAGTATGTTTTCTCCTCTCCAGTATAGTCTCCATGAAATTCCCACCACCAATTCACCCATGCACCATCACCATACTCCCTTGTGGAGAGCACTAATTTTATATCTATTAGTAATAGATAGTGAGTAAATAGGTAGTGAGTAAATTCAACAAATAGTATTAGATTATGCTGTTATACCTAGTAAGTGATTTCAATTACTTTGAGTCTCACTTCAAACATATAAAATGGTAATTTGGTTAATCTTACAGAATTGTATAGGGATGGAGTGGATTAATTTATATGCTATGTAAAAATAACTGATAGTTAGGTATGCAAATTTTTAACCTGAGAGAATGCTATACTTACACATCATGTATATACAGATATTCAATATCTATGTATTACAGTATACTGTAATGGAAGCAAACTTAGAAGCTAAAAGGATACTTGAAGGCTAAGACCTAAAGTAGCACATTTAAACATACATAATCATAGATACCCTCATTGATTCAATAGTATTTATCTACTGTTTATCTACTAGTATTTATCTAGTATTTATCTACTATATATAATACTATTATATCAAATGTCTTAGACTGGTGATTGAAACAAAGCTTACTACCTGCAGTGTCCATAGATATTTTGTGTAAGTGCTTAAAAGAGACTGAAATGGGATGCTGAGAGAATTCAAAAAAGACACCTACACAGAATGAGGAAGCAGGAAGTCTTAGATTTCTCTGACAGTAGGAATTACATTAACTAGAACAGGGAAGTGTCAGAATTGTGTGGGAATACTTGAGGAGTGGGTTGAGGGAGTGAGGAAAGAGGAAGGTGGAGGTTGAAGAAGCCAGATCAAGTGGACCATGCTAAGAAGTATTAGATATTATGAAAGGGCTTTATGCAGAGACAGCTCATGAACACATAATCATTTGTGTTTTAGAAAGACTGTCCCAGCCACAGTGAAGATTGTAAGCAGGATGGACAGTTAGGGGAAAATGCTCCAAATGATGTGACTCTTCTTGAGAAGTATAGGAAACAGAAAGCTCAGTGATGAGCTGGTTGTAAGATAAAGGGAGGGAATAATCTGAGACTTCTGGTTTTGGAATACAGAAGATGAAGATTTGAAGGGTGAGGGTCAGGAAGGTCATGATGAGTATTCCCCAGAGATCTCATTCTTCAGAGGAGGTTATCACTTAAGATTTTTACCTCCATGAGTAAAAAAACCTGGATATGGAATGGAGCACAGCTTAGGTAATTTCTTTAAAAGAATGGTAGTTGAAGATCTTTGCTGTATCATATCTAAGTTTACACAGTAAGTTAATAACTGAAGCAGAAATTAGAGTTAGGAATGAATAATGCTTTTAAGAACACACATCACTTACCTGTATTTTGGTGTTTGTTGTACTTTGAATATCTCTTATTTTTGACCCACCACGACCTGTTTTTTAAAATAAAGTAGTTTTTAAAGAAAAAAGCCAAGTTGAAATCAGTAAGGGGGATTTACCTACTTTCCTCAAAGAACCTTCTCTAGTTCTTTCTCATATTATCCAAAGAAAGGTTCCGAAAGTCTTGTATCATTTTCAGTTAGGAAGTAGGGAATCAAGAGCTTTCTATTCCAAATTTAGGTCGGTAGTAAAAGGCTCCTTTCCCAAAGGTAGATACCAATGACTCATTATCAGCCCAAGTACAAACCAACTGGATCCCACGTGATGGCAAGGATGTGGAGAAACTGGAACTCTTGCACAGGGCAGTTTAACAAAAAATCCAATTAAAAATGGTCAGAGGACTCAAACAGGCATTACTTTAAAGACATATGAACGTCCAACACATATCTATGAGATGCTGAAACCATTAGAGAAATGCAAATCAAAACCATACTGAGACATCATCTTATTTATCCATTAGAATGAATAATAAGTGTTGGTGAGGATTTAAAAAGAGTATCCTTGTGCACTGTTAGTGGTGCAACCATTTTGTTTGTCTATACAAAAATCTGTATAGACACCTCAAAAATATTAAAACTAGAACTACCATATATAATGCCAATTCTCAGTATTAATCCAAAATAATTCAATTCAGACTCTCAAAATGTTATCTGTACTTCCCTGTTCTTCAGGGCAGAGTTCATAATTTCCAAGATGTGGAAATAATTAAATGGATTGGAAGTGATAGATAATTGGAAATAACATGGGGTATGTGTGTGTGTATATATATATGTGTGTGTGTATATATATATATGTGTGTGTGTGTGTGTGTGTATATATATATATATATATATATATATACTTTTTTCAGTCTTAAAAAAAAAAAAAGAAATCCTGGGGCCTCCCTGGTGGTGCAGGGGGTTAAATCTCAGCACTATGAAGCTATTGGTAGCCACTGCAGCACGAGTTCAATACCTGGCCAGGGAGCTAATCCACATGCGCAGCAAACCTCTCCTGTCTCACCCACTGCTCCCCCCAGCAATGTATTTCAGTAGATCCCCCTGTTTTGCTCCCACCCTGCCTCTCGTGAATCCTCTCACACACACTCACCCTCCCCACACCTCTGGCCTACACCCCAGCTCTTGTATGCATAAATAAATAAATCTTAAAAAAAAAAAAAAAAGAAATCCTGCTAGTGGGGCCATGGATAAAATCTGAGGACATTATGCTAAGTAAAATAAGCCAATCACTAAAAACAAATAGTGTATGATTGTTTCCATGAGGTATCTAATATACTCAAGCTGACAGAACAATAGTATGGAGATTACTAGGGAAGGGGGAAATTGGAATGGGGAAATAAGAAGTTGTTCAATGGGTAGTTTCAGTCAAGCTAGAGGAAAACATTTTAGAGAAGTACTATATAACACTGTTCTCATGACTATTATTGTACTGTACACTAAAATTGTTTAATTTAAATTTGTTTTTTACCATAAAAAAATCGGATCCAGAACCAACATCGAGTGGGTACTTTTTAGCACAGAGGCTGTATTACACAGGTGCTCAGTAAGTGTTGAATTTAAAGTGATTTTATTGGGCCTCCCCAGTTGAACGCTGGGCTGTGAAGCTGCCCACAGCCTCTGTGGCACCGATTCCGATCCCTGGCCCCCGGGTGAGGGCGAGCGTCCCACATGGCACGCAGACCTTTCCTGCCACGTCCACTGGTCCCCTCAGCAATGAACTTCGTCAGTTTGCCTGTTCTGTTCCCCGCTCTGGCTCTGGTGATTTCTCTCACCCTCCTGCACTTCTGACTACACCCAGTGCTTGTATAAGAAAATAAATAAATGTTAAAAAAAATAAAGTGATTTTATTACAAATCTAGTGACTTTTGTTAATGAAGCCTAACTTCAGATCTCTGAGCCTCTTGAGGTACTGAAAAAAATCTCTGGTTGGTCGAGCTATCAGTTTTATATTGCTCTATTTAATCGCTGCCAGTTCAATTTTTCCAAACAGTTTTCGAAAAGGGGTAAAGCAAAATACTAGCTCCCTCCCCTGATGGGAAAAATGTTGGAATTTATCTTCAGACTTAGTGGCAATAAATGTGGCACAGCTACATTCCAATAATTCCTAAATGCTTTTCAAAAATGTATTGTAACATTCATGATGTACTGAGAAGAGTCTGTTTTTCAGTAGAAAATCACACTTAAAGAAGCTAAGTGTAAGATATGGCTAATGTCCATTAGTTAATGGTTCTAAATGGTGCTGAAACAGACTGATTCAGTACTACTTTGTTGCTCATGTTGGTGTAAGCACTACTTTGTTGGTGTACGCTGTCAAAAGGCCTGGTTTTTACCGAAAATTTCATGTCTTCTAAGACTTTGCTTTCCCAAAACATAACCTCTACAAAATATCAAAAGGTGCATTAGAAGACATCATACTAGCACCAGATGGCATGAGAGATACTATAAGGAGAGTCCTGAATATCATTAGGTGGCAGCTGATTGCAGGTGAGGCGAACCGGGGCGGGGATGCCCTCGCCCAGGCTCCGCCCCTGGCCCCACCCATTCTTCGTCCCTAACCTGTGCCGCATACCCATCCTCTCGCTCTCACCGATCACGATGCCGACCCAGTCTTTCTTCAATCTAAAGCACAGCGGCGGTTCCTGGGGACCAGCGGCCCCTGGCTGCTGGAAGTCGGCGGAGTCCCTCCAGCCGCCACCTTTGCCGCCTCTACGGGCCCCCCGACCTCTTCGAGTCCGTTCCTCCACTGGTGTCTCGGGTGGCCGGGTCTGGGCCGAGCTTTCCTGGGAAGCAACGACCCCGGGAGAGGCGTTGCCCCCCGCTTCTTTCCTAGACATGGTTCCGTGAATGAGATCCGGCACGTCCGACGTCGTTCGGGTCTAGCGCCGTCGGGGGCGAGTCTACAAGGGCAGCCACGCAGCCGCTGCTTAAGGAGCCCGCGCGAGACTCGCCCAGCCCTGCACCTGCCTCGCCGCGCAGTCATTGGTGAACTAGACGTTGTAGGCGGGACCCTCAGGACTTGACCAATGGGATCTCTTGATCCTGCGAGCGCGCCTTGAACGCGTCAATGCGCCAACCTTGTGTTCCTTTTTCAGGCGTGTGACTTTCCTCGACCGCCCTATGTGCCTCGCCTTACTAAACTCCTTTTCCTTCTACCCCAAAATTCAGGGGCTTAGAAACGTTTTTACGCGTGATTCGTAAAAGTAGGTAATTTTTACAACATGTCTCAGTATACACATAAAAATGTTGATATCAAGCTTGACAAAACAGTCTTTGAGCATTGATAACGTGAGCAGTTATCAGTTATCAGCAGTTATCTGGTTTAAGTACCTGGTTTAAACCTATATTAGTTTGTAAATTGTTGGTTTATAATCTACAAAGTTTAATGATCCACAGTTAAAAAAACCTCAGAGATGCTACTTCCGTGCTTCATGCAACACTTGACTTGAACGTTTGTTGTGCTTTTCGAGATAATGAAATAAATTGAATAAATGAATAAATTACTGCAGCCTGTCTCTGGCTGAACATATTTCAGTGATGCAGGCCAGCTGGGAGTGCCCCTGCGTTGACTAGGATCTTCAAATTGCCCAAGTCTCAGTTCAATGATCTAAGAACATAGTAGACATGTACTGCAATGGTAGGCACTGTGATCTGTGCCCAGAATTGGGGGACGGGGAAGATGGACCAGGTGGTCCGTCTGGGTTGAATGGTATTATCTATAATTGAATGTGAATGTCTGGAGAAATAGGATTACAGTGCTATTTGGAGCAATCAGGAAATACATAACAACATAAATGTGTTAGGTATTTAATCTCGTTACTCCTTAATCTTAAATGGGTAGTATTAATGATTTTTAGAAAGGAATTTTGTTGGATTAAATTTGCAAATATTTAGTTGAGGACTTTTCCATATATGTTCATGAAAAATGGTTCTGTGGTATTCTTGTGTTTTATCGGGTTTTCGTATAAGGGCAATGTTGTCCTCAGTTCATAGAATGAGTTAGAAAGTTTTCCTTCTGCTTCTGTTTTCTGGAAAAGATTGTAGAAAATTGGTTTGATTTCCTCCTCAAATGTTTGGGTAGTCCAGTGAACACATTTCAGTCTGTGCTTTTGTTTTGCAAAGTTATTACCAGTTCAGTTATGTCTTGTTTGTCTATTTCTTCTTGAGTGAATTTTGGCAGATTGTGTCTTTCAACGAATTGGTCATTTCATCTGAATTATCAAACTTGTGGGCATAGACTTCATAGTATTCCTTTATCTTTCAAGAGTTCATGGGATCTGTAGTGATGTCTGCTTTTTCATTTCTGATACTAATTTGTTTTGTTGGCTAAAATATTCTAACATTAATTTGTGTTATTGGCTGAAGTAATCACCATTGTGAAGCAATTCAAAGAGAAGTTTATTTAAAAAGAATATTCAGAGCAAAACTGAGTTTCTGGTATCTAATAATATAGGTCCCGCCCTTCAGAAGTTTTGATCTTTTACATACACTATGTGCAGTAAGCATTAAGATGCAGAGTTCTGTAGCAGAGAGAAAGATATTATCTGGTTACATCCTTAATGAAGATAAATGAAGAATAGTGTATATGAAAAAATGGTCTTTTTTGCAATGTCAGATATCATCACTTTGTGGGAAAGCACAAGAACTGAGGATAATAAACACTTCTGTCTATTCTGAAAAGTGCTTCTCTAGGTATGAGGGCCCTCAACTGTGCAGCTGGGCATTTATCTCTGGTTCCTTTTTCCAGCAACTTGAACCATGATGGGGGTGGACTGGGCATGTGAATTCCTTTGTGTGATTTGGCTACATGTCTTTCTTTTTGCTGACTCAGGCTTCTGGAGCTGTCAGCTCTGCAGTTTTCTCAGAGCACAGACATCTCTAACAAACAGATTCTTTTTTTAGTCGGCAGTGTCTTCCTTTTTTTCATAGTTAACATAGCTAGAGGTTTATTGATTGTAATGATTTTTTTTTTTAAAAAAAAGAACCAGCTTTTAGTTTCATTGACTTTTCTTTATTTTCTGTTTTCAATTCCATTGCTTTCTGCCCTAATTTTTATGATTTCTTTACTTCTGCTTACTTTTGATTTAATTTACTCTTCTTTTTTCTAGTTTCCTAGAATGGAAATTTAGATTTGTTTTTAGATCTTTTTTTCTTTTCTAATATATGCATTAAATGTATATTTACACTTAACACTTTCATGTCATCCCACAATTTTGATATTTGTTTTCATTTAGTTCAAAAAATCTTTTAACTTTCAGCCTCCTCTGGTGGCACAGCGGTTAAGCGCTGGGCTACGAGGCTGCCCGCGGCCTCTGCAGCCGGCCACCAGCGAGGGACCCACATGGCACGCAGACCTCTCCTGCCGTGCCCACTGCTCCCCTCAGCAGTGCGTTTCGTCAGTCTGCCTGTTCTGTTCCCCGCTCTGGCTCTGGTGAATTCTCTCACCCTCCCAACACTTCTGACTGTACCCAGTGCTTGTATAAATAAATCTTTAAAAAAAAAAAAACAAACTTTTAACTTCTCTTGATATTTCTTCTTTGACCCACATTACTGAGAAATGGTTTTTATTCAAGTATTTTGGGATTTTCCAGATGTCCTCTGATGATTAGTCTAATTCCACCATGGTCTGAGAAAATAATGTTAAAAACAAATTCATAGAATAAATTTAGAGATCTAATTTAGCTTCATTAAATGTTTTATGAATCTGGCAGCATACCATCAAGCAAGTAAAAAGGCAGTGCTAGGAGTTGTACAAAATTGAGAGTTTTTATAGTTAGAAAGAGAATAGCTACTAGCAAAAGAAAAGAGAGTATTTCAGGCAAAGTCACCTTCCCTTAAAGGAAGGCAGAAGGGGTCTCATCATGGAGATTACCTCACTAGTGATGACCATCCATTGATTGCTTTAAACTTTCACTTTTGGGAGAGATTACAATTAGATTAGGTATTAAGTCTTAGAGGGGTCTGGCATAAATGACTCAATTTGGGGCCTGTTACTTCTTTTTTAATAATTAGCACGGCACAAAGGGAAATCATCCCTATACCTCATAGTTCTTCTAGGCTGAAAATAAACAAGCATTAAACCCATTAAGAGAAAAAAGTCAAGAGGTTTAATAATAATATATATACCTCCTGCATACATAGGAGAGACACAGTAAGACTGAATAATTCACATGGCTTCAGACACCATAGGTAACATAAGCTAATACAAGGGATGGTGGGGGGAGGTGGGGAAAAGGGAAAGTCAGTTATGGAAGGATATCAGGGGAGGCACACTAAACTAAGGTATGACAGTATTGAAGATTTATTCTGCTTTCTCCATTTAAAAGAGTTGAGATTTGGGCCTCCCCTGGTGGCGCTGTGGTTGAGCGCTGGGCTGTGAAGCTGCCTGCAGCCTCTGCAGTGCCGGTTCCATCCCCGGGTGCTCCCCGGCCACCGGAGGGAGGGTCCCACATGGTGCGCAGACCTCTTCTGCCGCCCGCTGCTCCCCTCAGCAGTGTACTTTGGTCCTTCTGCCTGCTCTGCTCCCCGCTCTGGCTCTGGTGAGTTCTCTCACCCTCCCGCGCTTCTGACTGTACCCAGTGCTTGTATAAATAAATAAATAAAATAAAATAAATTTTAAAAAAAAAAATAAATAAATAAAAGAGTTGAGATTAGTTCTGTTAGGTGCAGTGAGGGAGATGGTTTGTCCTTCGCACATGTAAATCTCTTTTACAAATGGTGACCTCTATGCAGACTTCAGAGCTCCTCCTATTAAATAAACCTTTTTGCTAAAAAAGGAATATTTGGGAATGGCTAATTTTGCTCCTATACAATACATTTTGTGATTTATATTCTTTTAAATTTGTGAAGAATGTGGGATTTTGGTCCAGAATGTGGTATATCTTGGTGAAAGATCCTTGTGAGCTGAAGAATGTGTATTCTGCTGTTAATGGATGTGGTAGTCTATAGATGTAGTTCTATCCAGTGGAGTGACAGTGATATTGAATTAAACTAAGTCTCCTTATTGATTTTCTGCTTAGCAGAACAGTCCATATGATAGTGAAGTGTTGAAATGTCCAATTATAATAGTAGATTCATCTGTAACTCTGTAATTCCACCAGTTAAGTCTCACTTATTTTGATTCTGTTTTTAGTCATGTTAAAATTATAGTTTCTTAAGAAAATTGATCCCTTTAACATTACAACATCCCTCTTTATCCTGATAATTTCCTTTGCTCAGGAGTCACCTCTGTCTGAAGTAATTGTAGTACAATATTGAATAAAAGTGAGAGCACTTCTGCCCATTTTTTGACTGGGTTATTTACTTTGTTTTTGTTGAATCTTGTCAGCTCTTTGTAGATTTTTATGATCAGGCCTTTATCATTAGTGTTGTATGCAAAAATTTTTTCCCAATCAGTGGGGTGTCTCTTTGTTTTGGTTACTGTCTCTTTTGCTGTACAGAAGCTCTTTAATTTGATGTAGTCCCAGCTGTTTATCTTTGCCTTCACTATCACTGCTTTGGATGATGTGTCTTTAAAGATGTTATGGAGGAGTATGTCATGTAGTGTTTTGCCTATATTTCCTTCTATATATTTCATGGTTTCAGGTCTCATGCTTAGTTCTTTTTTTTTTTTTTACAATTTTTTTAAATAATAAATTTTATTTTTATATTCCCCCATACAATTGCAAACCCCCCATTCTGACCCCAATCCTTCCCCTCTCGCCCCCCACCCCCCAAAAAGTGTCTCTGATTCATAGTTTTTTGTTGATTTTGATTTTCACTTTCTTATAGTTATTCATTTTCCTGGTCCCTTATTTAAGTTTTCTAGATTCCTGCTATGAGTGAGACCATCCGGTATTTTTCTTTTTCTTTTTGGCTTATTTCGCTGAGCATGATCCCTTTCAGCGCCATCCATGTTGCTGCAAATTGCATGTGTTTATCTTTTTTGAATGCTGAGTAATATTCCA